TCCTTATCAACAATTGTGAGAATTTCGAAATCGGCACGAGGCATACGCCTGGTACGTTTGGCTTAATAAGCGAGTACATTTTTATATATACGTTAATATTGATAATATTTTGGAATGTGCAAAAAATTTAAGCTAAGCCATAAGAAATATAAAGTGGCGGGCACAGGTCAAACGTTTTTTATTATTTTTTTACAACAATTCCAATTACATATGTATGTACATTAAGATGCACTTAGAAGTATAAAAATATTTGCATATACATATGTATATGTTCAATATTTGTCATTAACTCACAAGTAAACTAGACAAAAGCGGAAAATATTTAATATTAAAAAAAAACTATGTGTGTAAATTTCTAATATATATTAGTATTAATATATATATATATATATATACTCATTATGTTATATGATTTATTTTTGAAAGATTTAGTTTGGAGTTTGAAACGATATCTCACATTTTGGTTCGATATGCATAATGTTTCGAATATGGATAGGTCATTGCCTTGGTTAATATATGACTTAGAACCGATCAATTCGAAAAAGTCAGGATTCTCGTTCATTTTGCTTGGGTTTTGGATTATTATATATAGTCTCATAAAGTTATAAATCACAAATGAAAATGTGAAAAAGTTATAACGGTTGTGGGCATCTCGTTACAATTTTTTTTGATAGGTCAGTCAGCCGATTGATACAAAAGCAAACGAACGAAAGTTACGACGACCCGAAAACATAGTCATCAAAAGCGTAACTGTGTATTATATTATTTATTATATTCATATTTTATTATGAACCCAAGAACAAAATTTGTATGATGGTATTCACTTTATGACTTTACGAATCGTTATGATATCTCGTAATAATAAATAAATAACGTGGAAAAGCAATTAACATTTTTACTAGTACCACGAAGTCTCGGGCAAAATCTAGCTTCCAATAAAGTTTCAACCTACTTATTATACTTACTAGAGCTCAAAATTTCGTGGTCATTTTTTATTTGTTCTCCTGCTCTCACCTTTGTGAATTTACCTTGGCTCGAGCATTTGTAATAATTATTACTGCCCATCAGGTCACCGAATAAAACTATTTCTAAGTTTTGACCAAGGCGAACTTATAGAAGGTGAAGTCGTCCCAGACGGGAGGAAGGAAGATCTCCCATTTCGTCCAATTATATATATCATTAATTTATTATATATTAATTATATTTTATATTTCCAGCCTAGGAGGAGGAGCTCCAATTTGTGGCGTGTGTCCTGATATTTTCAACAAAATAGTTTATTCTAAGCCGCCTCGAATGGCTGATGAATTTTTATGAGCTTTGAATTTCATGTTAGAAATACAGAATTCCAATCTGAATTCTTGACATTCTCTGCCGAAGGGCGACTGATATTAGAACATTTTTTTTTTTATAATTTTGAATGTTTGGTTAAACCAGGACTTGAACCCCGACCCCGAATGTTAACATGCATTGCCAATCACTCGTCCATTACAAAGAAAATGTGAACATTGGGGGCGATTTCCTTTTGACAGTCGATTGTAATATTAATAATAATAAGCACAAGAAATACCCTCCACCCCCATAACTGTGGAGTTAAGCATCGAGATTTAAAACTCGACAGCTACCGCTACAGAAAAAAGAATTATTCAAAAGCTGAGATTTAGTAAATATGGAATTTTAAAATTTAATTGTTGAGAGAAGTAAGAATATTCGTCTGAGTCTGAGCAATCGAAGGTGCTGGAATGAAAATTAAAACTGTGGCACAATCGGTGAAACGGTTCATTTAATTCATAAACTGCCTAGATACGAGGTGTGTTCAAAAAATTTCGCGAATTTTGTGTTTTTTCAAAAATTATTTATTTATTTTGCCCCCTTCAAAGTAAAAGCCCCAAATCAACAAAGTTTAAGACTTGCTCCAAACTACAGCTATTAATTATATAAGGAGAAGGGTGAACAAGTCTGCGTGAAAAGCACATGGTCTTACACTTTTTAAGGTTCAAAGGCATGCCGTTGTTATCACACCCAAAAGGTAAATTGTCTAGATCGTTTTGTAACAAACTTCTTTCGTCGAATGAGGTATATGACACAAAAAGTTTTACATCAGGGATATAACAAGATATTTGAATGCGTTATTGCCGAAAATATATCATTTTTGAGTAATAGAAACAGATTCGGACCGAAATGGCTACCTTGAGGAACTCCTAATGAAACATTAATTAATAGTGATAAAGTGTCTTTAAATGTCCCCTTTGTGTTCTATTGCAGGGATACGAGGAAACCCAATGAACAAATCTTGGTTGAAAGCCCAGAAGATTTAGTTTATGGATGAGAATTAAGTGATTAACCCTATCGAATTCTTTACTGAAGTCGGTGTAGATAACGTCAGTTTGCTTATTATCTCTAAAGGCTTTAGAGATATGTGACACATACTCAAGCAAATTTGTAAGTGTTGTTTTTCCTTTACAAAACCCGTTTTGATAATTGGATAGTTGTGAGGAGATCGAAAACGTTATCTGACTATTTATGATTGCCTCAAAAAGCTTAGGTATAGCGGATATTTTTGTAATACCTCTACAATTCTCGATTTTAGACCTATAACCACTCTTATGTAAGGGTACTACAAAAGACTCTTCCATATTGTAGGGAACATACCTTGTTTGAGAGATGAATTAATAAGTTGAATTAAAGACAAATACAGATTTTTTGCACAACTTATCAGAAAGCATGTAGGAATCGATATCTGGACCATAACTGAAAGAATGTTTTAGGTTCATAAGATGGGGAAGCCACATCGAGAGTTAATTGAATAATTTGATTTAAAAAACTGTGCGACATATTGGAACAAAAAAGTCCGAGCTTTTTTTGTTTTTTGCTATTATCTGGTGTGATTTGGCTTTGTTGTATCATGATTATAACGGTGTTTATGTCACATTCCGAACTCGAAATGTGTATTTATTTAAAGAAAAATTTAAAACGCTATAAAATGTTCCGATCATTATCGGTAATAATATAAATCTTATATTACCCTCTATTAAGCTATTCGAGTTGGAAGATTATAAATTAATTGATTATTGTTCTACTTTTGAACTTAACATTGAATACTAAAGTAAAATTATAGTTCAAGTGCTTGAATGTAACTTGCCCATTTACTTATATGTATGTACATATGTACATATAAAAACGAGTATCAAATAGGCAATTAAGAAGAAAACAGTATATTTATAAGTAACCTATTAGCAGATCATTGGCTACAACTATATGTATATTTTTTTTTTTGAAAATTTAGGAGCGAATGGATGTTTATAGAAATCAGAAGTTTTGTTTTTTACTGTAAGCCTTGAAGTATGCTTGTGTGCCGTTTTGAGATTTAAAATTTCTGGAAGCTACTTGAATAATAACAAATTTCCCAATTGGCCACAAACAACTTTCTACATACATAGTACATATATACACACATATATTACTAGTATATTTCACTTTGGCAGGAAACCAATTAGAATTAACATCGTTACTTGCATGAACAGTGCGTGTAAACAGCAGCTAATTTAATAAACTTAAGTATGTTTCATAAATCTTAGAATACTTTCTTTCGATTAATAATCATAAAACATGGAAGTAATTCTACGCATCAAAATATTGTGCAAATCTGTACATATACTTATCACGCATTTAATGCAATAGTGCCTTAACTCACAAAATATTATTCAGTAAAGCTGTTTATACACTTTCCAAGCGAAGAGCCCAGAATACAATAGAGCTGTGGCAGTTTTTAAAACCAGCTGTTTTTGAATTTAGTTCTGTTCGGTGACCTGATGAGAAGTAACAAATGTTACCAATTTTGACATTTCGTTACTTGCTAATTCTACTGATATTTCCCATCGAGCAGAGCTATTAGCCAATAAATAATAACATTTTTGTCAATCTCGGTAAACAGATAAACATTAAAATAAGAAATTCTTTTCCAATTTCTTCCGAATAATACATATTTACCATTTTCTTGAACTATGTATATAGGAATAGATACGATAATTCAATTGAAATATAATTCAATTTCACAAAGTTAGCAACAGCTTCACTCTAACTCGACTATGATTAAAATAATGGGCACTTTTTGTTACAGCCGGCCCTTAGTTGAAATAAAGTAATGACTTGTAATAATAATAATATGATGCTGCGCGAAAATCAAATATAATTTTTTTTTTATCTAATCGCCAATCGTATATTAATCGGAAGGAATTTTTTGTGCTATACCACCGTCATGTGTTGCGCAGATTTCTGCGATATCGTATTTTTTGAGTTATGATACTTTTGAAGTAAATGAGCGTAAATGTCGTTGATTAAACTGATGTTGTTGTTAGCAAATAACAGAAATACGTAATAATTGGAAAAATACTAATCCAGTCTTCATATGTACATTTACACAGTGGTTCTATTTCGATAAGGGCAAGGGAAAGTCATACAATCGAAATCGCATGTTTCAACAAATTTTTATGTATGTACATACATATTTGCATGCATATAGACATTCATAATTATATACCCATTAAAAACAGAAGATATCGCTTATAGTAAAGGGCAAACATTTTGATGTGCGGTACATAGCAAACAATTCAAATGGTGATCTTTTTATCTGAGTTTTCGAAAAATGTATAATAAGTATACCTACATCGATTTGTAATAAAAAATTATCCAGATTTTCTTTAAGTATTCAAAAATTTTGATTCAAAGTCTTTCTAAATTTCATTCAAAGTGGTAAAAATGCTATCGTTTTTCTCCATACTGTACAAATTTACCTGTATCCATGTGCACATATGTATACCTACACACATACATACATGCATTCATTATACTCTATGAACCCTAAGCATTTCTGATCTTCTCAGTGCTTTCATGCTGCGCAACTTATGCGCAAAAGCCACCCAAAACAACACCCGACCGAGAACACGCGTCAATAGATCTGGTAGCGATTGCAAACCTTCTACGCTGTGTATAGGCATAACCTTCGCGTCGTCAAGATCAGTCCGTGTATAAGTCGCGAAGAGTATGGACGTCTGACGATTTTAAAGCAATCGAAATATTAGAAGAATTGCAGAATTGCAAATAAAAAGTCGGGAGTGCTTTTTATTGTGAATAAATCATAATTGAATACTTTATTAACAAAATAAATAGTGATAAACCAAACACAACTGTGATACGTTCTCACCTGTGGAAACTAAACAAAGGTTTGTGAATACCAATATTTGACTGGTTTTTAAGGTCTATCATATGTACATATGTATGTATGTAAATTCATTACATATTCATTTTGGATTCTCTATATTAAATCGTTAAAAATAACGATTTAATGTGTGTTTTAATACAATACAACCATAACAATATTTCCTTTTACAAATATATATATGTATATCTGAGTACGAATTCAACAACCAGTTTTGTCAGCAGCATCTTATTAGATTCAAGGGGAATGTATGTATGTATGTCAGCTTCTCATTCTTCATTAACGCAATGAAATAACTCTCAAGGTATCTTAATTATTTAAATAAGCAAAAAAATTAAACATATATGTTATATACTAACGTACATACATATGTATTTATGATGTAGATACATATGTGCAAGTTCCAGCTATACAAGAACAATCGTTTTGGTTTGAAGACGTTTAATTTTTTTTCTTAATTATATCACAATATTTTCACGTTTTTTACAAATAATTACTTATACTGATGCGAGCGTCTTTAGAGTTAAAGAACCCTACAGTAAAACTTTAGTATATTTCTTTCTCGAGGGGAAGAGGAAGAACAATTTCAGTGGAGATTAATAAAATTTGAGTCAATAGTCCTGTTCGGGGAGCTGCAGGACAGTAAAATTTGCACACAGTGAGCGCATTTCGTTAATGGAATTTCTCAAAGAACATATCTAATTTAACAACGGAAAATTTTAATTTCAGTTCATAATTAGTTTCTGTTCAGATCGCCATTGCTGGCGTGACTCTCAAGATAGTATCGAGTACAACATAAAAAATTATAGAAATAAATGTCCAAAGTAATCCATTCCGATTATATTTCTGATGAAGTAAAAAGCTGCTCATAAAGATATTTATCCGTTCGGAGAAAATTTATTGAAAAAAACAACAAGAACTGCGTTGCTCAAAATGGAGAGGGAGTACGGCCGATTGTCGCCGCCCAAATATTAGGTACCCCTGGTATATAGCCAGCGACAATTTCGCTATATTTTCTGCTGCCCAGCAGAATTTTGCTTCTACAATATTGTTTATTATTTGTATAAATTGTGCAAATATCAGGTGTACAACTTTGCCTCCGCCGTTTTCCGATAGGTGGCTGTACCGGCTGAGGCTCGTTGAAATACATAGATGATAATGCCTTTAAAGTGAGTGTGGAAAGTGCCTAACGAATTGTCATCGCCGTTTATGTGGCTAATTCTCGCCATTTGCGGGAAGTTTTACTTTTCTGTTACAATTCGAAAAAAAAATGCAGCTGAAGCTCATCAAATGCTCTCAGAAATTTACGGTGATGCTGCTCTGAGTGAAAGAACGTGCGGGAGTGGTTTCAACCTTTTAAAAATGGTGATTTCGATTTCGAAGACAAACATGGTTATAATTTGTATTTGGTGGGATCAGCTCGGTGTGATTTACTACGAGCTCTTAAAACCGGTTGAAACCATCACAGGAGATCGCTATCGAACGCAACTGATGCGCCTTAGTCGCGCGCTCAAAGAAAAGCGGCCACAATATAAAGAGCGACATGACAAAGTCATCCTCCAACACGACAATACTCGGCCTCACTCGCGAAAGTGGTCAAAAAGTACCTGGAAACGCTGAAATGGGAAGTCTTGCCCCACCCGCCGTATTCCCCAGATGTCGCCCCTTCTGACTTCCACCTATTCTGTTCGATGGCACACGACCTGGCAGATCAACATCTTTAATCCTTCGAAGAATTGGAAAAATGGATTGCTTCATGGATAGCATCAAAATAGCACTCCCTTTTTCGAGCCGGGATTCGAAAATTGCCGGAAAGATGGGAGAAAGTTGTCGCTAGCGTTGTCTGTAAGCACTTTTTCGCAATATGGCTTTTAATTTTGGAAAAAACGACGGAAGCAAATTTGTACACCTGATAATAAAAGTATTTGACCTTGAATACAAGTTTTTTGCAAACAAGCAACTTTTCAAGACTCATTAGTTTTTATTAAAAGTTAACCTTAATGAAAGTAACTAAAAATTAATAAGTGCAATAAACAATCATTTTTAATATTAACATTAAGTTAATGGTCGCTACTGTACAGTATATGCGTAAGTAACTATTTTAATTATTCTTTTTTTAGAAAGATAAAAATGATTAGCCTTTGACCGCCGATTTTTATTTTGTTTTGTTTTACTTCAATAATTTGCATAATCTACATATTTACATATGTATATAAGTGAGCGTTTCCAACTTGACTTACTTAGTTTCCGGTATCAAACGGACATACCTATGGATGTAATTACCTACAAAAATGAATGTGCAACTCTGGCAGTGGTAGTGATATGCATATGTAACAGCATGACGTCATCAAGGGATCAAACATCAATGAACTGCTGGGAACACTTAATGGGGTTTTAATTTCATTGTTTATTCTGCAATGCAAATTTTTTTGAAGTTCGTTCTTAAATGTTATAAATATATGATGACAAAGAACCTATTTACATATTCATTTATTTTAAAGTGTAAAAGAATTATTTTTGAAATTTTTTCATTTATGTTAAAAAAACAGCCTTACACAGACAGTAGTTCTGTTTGAATTAGCCAATGACTTAGAGCGTAACAAGCCTATTCTGTCGAGGTAACAAAATTTACTTTGGTGTTACTATTTCGTATTCTGAGTTCACTGTCACCCTGTAAATTTTGTTACCAGCGAAATACGAGATAAAAGAAATTTGCTGTTTGAGTTTGTGTTGTTAGTTTGAGAAAAAATAAAAAAAATTTAGGCATTTTTTGGGCTAGAATTCATTGAAGGTGAAGAAAAAAGTTGCGAGAAAAAAATGACCCTTTTAATTGGGAAGATAGTGTTTTTATTCAGCTTTTTTTTCGTTTGAGCATATTTTCCAAAATTATGTTCAAATATTTATGATTTAATAAAGAAATAAATAAAACTTATTAATTTTGTTGTGCACCTTCCGTTTCGATGTGAATAATCTTCTTTTTTGCTGGAAAATATAATATGACATATGACGAAAAAAGCAGTGCTGCCAAAGTTTTTCAACCATTGTAACCGGTTCGCCAAAGTTAAATGTAAAGTAAATGATTTGTTTTGCAGTTACGTTTAAATTCGTTCATTAATATGTACATACATACATTGTTTTCAGCTTTAAGATACTCTCATAAATAGTTTAATACATTTAACAACTTTTTTTTTATTAATTTTATTTAAAAATTATTGTAATGCACCAATAAAGTTACTAGTAAATATAAATGTTTTTGCAGATAGTCTACTAAAAGGACGAGTCATGTAAGACTTGAGTTGCAACCATTTTTATCATTTAGCATTCAATAAAAGCTTTATTTTTCCTTCGTCGTTTTTGGAGGCTTAAGGATCCACGTTCGCTGCTGTGACCCTGGCAAGAACCTTGTTTGGCAATATTTTGCGGCTTATTTAGTTGACACCGCTTTCTATTAAATTAAAGGAACCCAAAATCATCTTACATTGTGCGAAATATAATAATATATTCTAATTCTATGCCTTCAGCTTTCCTAGCTTCCAATTCCTCTTCCTCGTCGCATTGGAAAATTGGGAATGTCAATCCCTCCGTAGCTATTTTACAGGAAACTAAAGTTATTTTATATATTTATATATGTATAACATATGTAAATACATATATATAAATATAGTATATTTGTGCGAATATTGGCGCCGTCATCTGCTCTCACGTCGGCATCGCGTGATTTTTACACCGCAACTCGATTCGCCGGTTGGCTCACGCTATTTCGATAGGTTTGTGTTACAAGTTAAAAAAAAAATGACTTACGCGCAAGATGAGAAACGTCATTTTATATATTTAAATTCGTACTTATGTATGTGACTCGCACTCTCTTGATTTATTCTCAATACTCCAATTTAGTTGAAAGTTTTGAGCATTTTCTTATAAATAAATGCATTAAATTAGTTCCAATAATTGCTACACCGACATATATCTATGTACGTTCGTACATAAATTGATTTGCTGAAAATGCTCCATAAATTAAATTCTCAATTTGGAGAGAATTCGTTTGGCGGCAGATATGAAAGAGAGAACATATTCTAAACTTTTTGTTTGTAGGTTTATCAGCACTTTGCCGGCTTTTGTCGTGCTATATATGAAATAAGGGTATATATGTATTCATCTGCATACATATTATATGCATGTGTGTATGTTCATAAATATGTATAAATGTATCTACATAAATCATTTCCTATACGCATTAGGTTAGGCCACAAATGCATATGTACAAACATAAGTACTTATGGAAAATAACCTTTTATAACATAAATTTTGTGCAAGCTTTCTTCTTCGTATTAAGAGTTTATAAACATAAATTTTTTTTTCGGATGATCTCTTCCTAGCGTCTTGATGTGTTTTCAGCAATTGGAGAGACCTAATTTTTTTTATAAGCCGCTACCACAACAATAATCTACAGTTTATTTAAATTAGCAGCCAGCAAACTCACTCGAAGGGCTTGACTTTCCTTGCCGAGGGGGGAAAAAATTTAGTCTAAATCACTAAATTCTTTAGTTATTTAAGTGTCTATAGCATTTTTAGCCAACCGATGTGGTGGTTCATCATTTGGACAAGTTTTTGAAAAAAATACGTACCATAGTAAAATGTTCATTAAATGTTTATTCTTTTAAAACTATTTAGAACCAAATATTTACATAAATTTTATATAATTGGGTTGGCTCCAGTTGGGTGTACAAAATGGGTTGAATTTTCGCAGTAAGAATTAAAGGACAGTTATAAGTGGTTAAGAACTTATTAAATTTTAAGTATTAAGCCCTCAAATAGTTGCTACATATAAATAAAATACAGTTATATAAGTATTTGGAAATTTTGAAATATATTATGTATGTATTCACAAATAGCTCAATTAATTTACATACATACATATGTGCATGGCTATATAATTTTTATGTTTCATATTCATGCATTTTAGAGGTAAATCATATTAAACCTTCACATTTGTTCCACATACAAAGTCGAAAGGCCTTGACCTTAAGATGAAAACACTCATACATATGTATGTAAGTTTGCATGAATATAGAGATATCTGGCATTGTACTTTTGAGTTTGTGGGTCTCTCGCTCATTAGGCGAATGGCGCTTAAAAATTCTAGCCGTAAAGTATTGAATGTCACCATGTGCAAATGTATGGATGTATGTAACAGGTGCATATGTATGCCTGTAAATATATGTGTATGTACATAGCTACATAAAGATGTCTCTCAGAAGCTCTCAGCCACCCACCTGAATACATTCTTGAATTCTGTTTATTTTTTGTGAGCATAGAGCATGAACCTAAACCGTTTCTCACCACTTTCTGCAAATGTGAGCTCATGCATACATATGCACATAATTATGTGTGTATTTTGGTTTTTGCGAGTCAGTCGTCCATTTCATTTGGAGCTTTGCACTCGAGAGAAATCGGAAGTTAAAAAAAAGCCGTGGAATATTAGAGAAATTCTGGCATTGATAACTTTTAAATTTGGATTTGTACTAGTAATAATATATTTTTAGTCCAAAAGTACGGAGCAAGAGAGGTTAAGTAAGTGCATTTTACATAAGTTGCATTATTTGTTTAATTCATTCGATTTATGTCGTATTAATATCAAGAGAAATAGTGTACAGATACGTCGCCATAATTCGCATGCATAATGTATGTATATATGTATATGTATATAGTTTACAGCTTCAGTAAACGAGTCATGCTTAACAATTATTGCAAAATGAACCTTCGTTCTTCTTATAAACGAATAAATTTGTTTGATTTAATATTAACATAAATACTAACATATATACACATATTAGTGGTGGCTTTAGCCTGGATATATTTTTAGCTCCGGGTGCCCTAAACATGCATGTACATCTATTTTAAACCTGGTCGCAGTGATGTGCCCTTCAGTTTTTGTATTTATTGCCAAATCCCTTATCAGCTGATGTCACGGTGATCACAAACATGTATGTTAATCATACATTATTATTTCAAATAGAAAATTTTAATAAACCAGGCTTCAGCCAGGAGGTCTGTGATACCAAAACTATGGGAACAATTTTTTTTAGAAATAAAACGTAAACAAATTTAAGAAAGTGCACAAAAACTCTAATCGCTAAATTAAAATCTGTATTTTAATAGAAAAACGACCCATGGTCAGTTTTCGTCTTATTATATTTAAGTAAGCAAATCAAAACATATATATTTTTATCTTTTCTTTTTCTTCACAGCAAAAGTATAAAATCATGCCACCAAATGCAACAGCAAATACACAATCAATAACCAATTCCTTGGTTGCAAACAGTGGCGATGATTCAAAATCACTCACTGATAACTCCACTGGTGTACTCTTCGAACAGGATGCTGAAACTTATGATGGTGGCTTAGTAAAGGATATTGAAATATTAAAGAAAGCCGAGAAAAGAAGACTCAAACTGGTTTGGCGAAATATAATAGCATTTGTGTACGTCCACTTGGCTGCCGTGTATGGCCTTTGGCTAATGTTGACTTCTGCTAAATGGCAAACCAGCAGTTTAGGTGAGTACAATAGACCATATCTCAAAACACTCGTGCCCGCTTATAAATTGGGTCAGTATCGACCAGCATTTAAAATATTTATACGCAAATAGTAACACATTTAATTTCCATTATCTTTGGTGCAGAAAATTTCAAAATCAATTTCATCTGCGAGATAGGATTTCAAGAATTTACCAATGGTAACGCATGTCTGTCGTTCACGCGCTAGTCAGGTCTTTGGCGCTAAAGTGATCTCGATTTAAATCCGGTCACTCCCGAAAACCACTTTGGTGAATATTTTTGCGGCTACAACAACAACAGCATTCCAAAATCTTTTTTTTTTTTTGCGTAGATATGGTTTGCAAGCATTTTGTCAGTTCAGCGCCGCCATATTTAAATGGTGTAGTCGGTGTACAACTTACCGGAGGACCGTTGCCTCCATGCACTCGGTTTCCAAATCACCTTATTGCCTTCTACATGAGCAATTCATACCCATGTATTTATTTTTTAAAGAAATTTATTCATTTACTAAATTTGCTTTATTGCCTAATAAGAAGTGTATGTGCCACTTGTGAAACTTTTTTCGGTTTCTAATACCCTCATAAGGCTGAGGTGCAAGACGTGGGTTGAGAAAAGAATTAACATATCTCCACATGTAGACATAAACTCAAATGGAATTAAATCCGATCACAGTTTGAATAGGAATTTCAATCAAACAATGAAAAAATTATACAAAAAATATTGTTGAGTTTTCAAAATTTTATAAGCTATTACAAAATTGTGTGTGATATTTTTAGTCATAATTACAAAATTTTTGTGTAATCTCTGATTTTATTGAGATTTTGATATAGCTTCTTAAGCCATAGAACTACCGAAATAAATTCAAAGTCACAATCCAAAAAAATCGATTTTGAATTATGGATCTTTTCAATATACCAAAGAAAGTAAATCGCCATGTCTTGAAGGCGTTATGTGCTTTGAGTGGAGGAGATAGCACGCAAGTCGTCGTATTGGCCGACATAATAAATCAAGTTAAACATCAAATGAAAAATTTGGTACCGGTGCAGAATCTAGATAACACTGTACAGAAATCATTAAAAAATCTAAGTGAGATTGGTTTAATTGAACGGCATGGCATGTATAGGTATGCACTTGGGCGTTGTGCCACAGTTATCCCTGGCCCACCGACGCAACCGAATTCTCGTACACCCGATCGCCGTGTATTTCGAGGCAATGTAAGCACTCATGGCAATATTTATCTCTTCACAAAACCACGCTTCTTTTATTGTTCTCACTTAGGATCCACGGCGTTGTAGCCGCAGTAACTTGGACCCCAATATGAAACGCGGTCATGGCTGGAGCGACGAGGATTCACTATCGGGCGATGAATTTGATCGTACACGCAAAAGGTTGCGTACCAATAATAAGCAAGTTCGCCACTGTGGTCGTTGGGCATACCTACCTCGAGTGCGTCAACACAGAACACAACACCGGTATGACCTGAACTTTAACCTAAATACCACCGAAATCGATCCAGCATTCGTTTCGGAAGATCTATACTCATTGGATCACCCGCTTACGCAGTTGCAAGAATATCGAATCTCCAGAGACTGTCCTCAATTTTCATTTGGTGTTGTCAGCAGCGACATCACACATAATGTACCAATGGACTTTAGTCTTGCTAATGTTACGCCCACACCATCTCTAGAAGTAGCAGAAATTAATGATGATGTTAAAAAAATTGTAGCTGTGCGTGAAATTATAGAAACACCACCTTTACAACAAAATGAGAAAGAAAATACTAATACGGATAATGAACTCGAAGAATATGAAGAAAGAGATGAAGCAGTTCAAACCGAGGTCAAACCGGAGCATTCAACTTAGATTCAAACATTCAACATCTCCAAAATATTTCTTGTTAAAAATCGAATACCAAATTTGGCCACATCAAATAGATGAACACAATATTTTAAGTACTTTAACTCACGAAGTATTGTTCACGATTGCTTTGCGCTATGTAAATGTTTGTGATTAGTTTTTTTTTTTTTTTTTTTAAGAAATGAAATACTTATTCACTGGGTATCTAAATTTATTAAATTAATTTCTAATAATCGCTTATTGAAATACAAGTATTAGGTATACCCAAAAGTTCTGTCTGTTTTTGGAATAAAACAAAATATTTGTATACTGCAACACCAATCTTATCTTCCGAATATGGTTAGATATGGTTTGTTGGCGGCCGCGGTAGCCGAGTGGTTAGCATTGCGTACTGCCATTCGGAAGGCTCGGGTTCAAATCCCCGCGCGACTAACATCCCAGAGTTGTAGAAAATTAATTTAAATAAAAAATTAAGTTAAATCTTATAATTGCCGTGGCCCCTCGGCAGGGAATGTCAATCCCTCCGAGCGTACTTCTGACATGAAATAAAGTTGCTCATAGAAAAACCATCAGCCGTTCGGAGGCGACTAAGAATAAACAAAATGGTTTGTTCAGCTGAATTAAGCCTTTCTGGCTTATCATTATCTGTCATATGTTTCAAATTTTTCGTAGCATCTCCTGCATGTCCTACCAGGAATGTACCATCGCACAAACTCTTTCAATAAATTTCTACATGCTTCTGCAGCATTTCAACTTTATTATAGTTTATTTGCTAGGTCAGTATGTATACATAAAACGATGAAAATATATATAGCCGCACATGCTTAGACCTAATATAAATCTAGTTTTTAAAATGCGTGGTACAATACTACATATACTGCAATTTCCGCTGGTTTTAATTTGAAATATGTAATTTAGTTATAAAAACAACGGCAAGAGAAAAATGCGTTTTTCCTTATTTTGTTTTCCAACACTACATATCGTACATACTAACTTCCTATATACATAATTTTATTACATTGCAGCGATTTTCCTTTATCTTATTTCCGGACTGGGTATAACTGCGGGAGCACATCGACTCTGGGCTCATCGCGCCTACAAGGCTAAATGGCCGTTGCGTCTGATACTTATGATCTTCAACACGATCGCCTTCCAGGATGCTGCTTATCACTGGGCGCGAGACCATCGTGTGCATCACAAATATTCGGAAACTGATGCCGATCCGCATAACGCGACGCGCGGTTTCTTCTTTTCGCACATCGGTTGGTTATTGTGCAAAAAACACCCGCAAGTCAAAGCCAAAGGTAAAGGCATGGACTTATCCGATCTACGTGCCGATCCAATTTTGATGTTCCAAAAAAAGTGAGTAAAAGTTTTATTTTAAAATAAACTGTTTTTATTATCCAATAAAAAAATGATGTATTTCTTCTTTAGATATTATATGATTTTGATGCCGATTTTTTGTTTTTTGGTGCCAACAATGATCCCGATGTACGCATGGAATGAGAAGTTTGTCAACGCGTGGTTTGTTGCTGCTATGTTTCGTTGGTGCTTTACCTTAAACGTAACTTGGCTGGTCAATAGTGCAGCACATAAATTTGGCGGAAAACCATATGACAGGTACTATACATACACATCTACGATATTCAGGGTTTTCCAATAAGAGTGATTATTTTGCTATTCAAAGATAAATTACATATATTTATTTCAATGTAAAGAGGCTCCGGTTACAGGACCATATCCCTTTTATGAAATTCCCCATCATCAAAGCGCACAGTGGGTGCTGTATACTTGCAATAGCTTCACGAATTCTATCTTTCTTGGTCTTGAAACGACGTTTACATGTTAGTGTAGACCTTATCTTTCACGTGCCCGGAAGGATGAAGTCGCAAGGTGTTAAATCACAAGCTTGCGATTACCTCTTCGAGAGATAATACAGTTTAAAAATTTTTCCCTTAACAAGATTAATGGTTTCGTAGATTGTGTGGCACGTACTCGTAACTATTGATAAAGCCTAATTTTTGATAAAATAAGGTCAAATTACCATGCCTGACCATAAGCCGCACCAATCAATAAATCTTGATTTTTCCAAGCCCCAGATGCTCGAGATGGATATGGGCTTCAGCAGTCAAGATGATTTTTTTATGAAATTTTTATTGTGAATTTTAATCATCTCAATGGGTTGTTGAAGCGTGTATCCTTCCATTTTTATTACTGACGTAATTGTTATTTGTCAAATGTCAAAAAAATACCGCTTGAAGAGAGACAATAGGAATAGGAATAGCAGGCAACTCAATATATCTACATATTCTACTAAAAAAAAAAAAAAAAAAAAAAATTATGTAATATTCTGTACAATTTTTAATTGTTTTTAATAGTAATTTATTTGTATTTGTTCATAGATTTATTAATCCAGCTGAAAATAAATCAGTTGCTTTCTTTGCATTCGGTGAAGGCTGGCATAACTATCATCACGTATTTCCATGGGACTACAAGACCGCTGAACTTGGGGATTATTCGCTGAATTTGACTACAGCTTTTATTGATTTCTTTGCCAAAATTGGTTGGGCTTATGATCTAAAGCAGGTTTCACGTGATATTATCGAGAAACGTGTCAAGCGTACGGGTGACGGTTCACATGCTACATGGGGCTGGGGTGATAAGGATCAACCTAAAGAAGAAATGGCAGATGCGTTAATCACACATAAAAAATCCGAATAAAGCTGAAATTAAACAACCAGCGTAGAGCGACAGATCAAAGTGAGCGTGTGTGTGAATGTAAGAAGTTGAAACAACTGTTGGCAGAACTAACTACAGAATATGACTGCTAGAGTGGTCATCTCCTTAGCGATAATGATTCAAAATGTGTACATGAATAATGTTAGTGTTGTGAATGTGTGGAGTTGCCAATCAATGCAATCAACAGTTGCCTATTTGCGAATACTTTGAAAATTGAAAAGCAAAAAAAAAACTAATAATTGTAAACTTCCACTGCAAAATAAGGTCAGTTTCAGATTTGAAATTCGAATGAAAAGTTTGGTGTTATGTGCATTAGTATATGTTTATGAGAATTCGGAAAACCTTATTTATGTATTCTTATTGTAAGTCCGATTTTGAGGCTTAATCATCCGCTAAATATCATACTTATGAATATAGAATTAGTCGAACAACAGACTCGAATGGTCAATAACAAAACATTAGAGTTAAACAAAAGATGGGTTAAACGATTTCTTATCTTTCAAGTTGATTTAATTGCAGTGAAAACTCTGTATTCCATAATTACTCATCGAAATTGCTACTAATTGAGCTAAACACCACACAACACACGCTAATTATTAAAACTACCACAAATAAGGTTATTAGTATATATAAATGAAAAAGATAATATTATATATAATATGTATGTTATTTCTAAAATAAATATAAACTATTACATATAAATTGTTGAGTAATTCTAAAAACATCTATTTTTTAAAATTCTAAATTGATTCCATTATAATTTACATATACACTTGATGGCTAAAGTGAACCAAATATATTTAAACAAAAAACGATTATGATGTTATTAATTATTTGTGCAGTGTAGGAAACACTTTTTGTGGGCTTTTAATATTTGAATATTTTTACGGTTATGTAGCAGCAATATAAACATAGTATGTTATGCGTAATAATATGTGGATACACTGAACTATTTTTTCCCGCTTTATCTTGAAAATAATATTAAGTACTTAAACTGCAAAATCTTTGAGTGCAAGAGATTAATGACAGAAAATATGTATGGTATTTATGGCGATAAGTGCATCAAGGGAGCAGCAAGGGTTCCACTTCGCTACTGGGGAGAGGAGAGATATATAATTGGCCGAGCTCCTCCAAGTTGTCGTTTTGCGTCTTGATGTTTTCCCAACAAAGGGAACAAAGGGACTTACAATTTATACTAAGCCTGCTCCGAACGGCTGATGGTTTTTTATGAGGAACTTTATATCATGTCAGAAATACACTCGGAGGTCTTGACATTCCCTGTCGATGGGTGATCGTAATTAGAAAATTTAATTTGGTTTTTTATTCAAGTTAACTTTCTATAACTTCTCGATGTTGGTCGCACGGGGATTTGAACCCGAGCCTTCCGAAGTGCAGTATGCAATGCCGAGTGGTACCGCGGCCCCAAGAGAGATATCGAGATATCTCTATTGTTGACTGGTTTCCCCAACTTAGCAGCGGGAAATTTCACATGCGGGGTATTTTAACCTAAAATACCTATTGACAGCCCTATATCTAATAAAATCCCAAACAAGTCCGGTGCATAGAACCGGCTGTCGGTAGAGTAGATTGCCAGATAGACGTGCGTTTTATTACTATCCTTAACCGTAATATATAAATTTGAGATTTCCTCTAGTCTTTTAAACTCGTAAGACAAGGTCTAGTAGATACTCGGCTTGCACAAGTTGTTCTTACGTTTCAATGAGAAATATATAAATGTCCAAGAATTATTTCATTAAAACTATATTTCAACAAGAAATTCATAGTTCTTTTTTCTTTAGATCATTTAATTTTGAAAACTTTTGTACATCTACATTTATTTTATTTTTAATTCATTTACAAAACACAAACATAACATAAGGTAGTTTGGATTTCAATAATCACATTCGCTCATACATATGAATGCACAAATGAACCAATGTTAATTTAAAAAAATCACCAGTAAATTTCAAACTTTCTTTAAAGATATCTATTTTTTTGTTCCTTCCTTCTGTTTCGACTCCTTTGCAATTTTCTCTGCCTCCAGACGCGCTGCTTCTGCAGCTTGTTTTTCCACCTCTTTTTGCTCAGCTGCAGCAGCCAATTTTTTATCATCCCAATCTGCCATGGACTTTTCTCGTTTTAGCCATGAATGTGTTGTGTCTGATTTAAAAGCTGTAAAGGGACATATTGAATAATTTTAGGATGTCATTAATGTATATAATGTAATTACTTGGCCTTACTACTTCTTAATTAAAATTAAAAGCTGTATTATTGAATAATAAATATCTTCACTATTAAAGGTGTGCATTATTTTTGGCCAGTATGTTTTTAAATATTTTGTTCAAATATTTTCAATATTATTTCATTAAAGGCAAAAAAACTGTATATTTTTGTTATATTTTATAAATATTATAATAAGAAACCACAAGGCTTGCAACATTTCAAATTACTTTATTAAGTATGGGGTTTTCAAATAAGAGGTGTTATTTTGAAAAACCTGCTATTCCGGTAAAGGCTACTTTTGTTATAAGAGTCATATCTGAGGATCGGAAGACTCAAAATTCATTATTGGAAAACCTCAACATCTCAAGGTGTAATTTTTAGGTCCGATTTTTGGGCCGGCGGGGTTATCGGGCTTTACTTATTCGGAAATGAGGCTTTAGCTACGGTTACGGTGAATAGATTGCACGGTATTGGATGGTATTGGACTGGACAGCGCCAGCGAAATCACAATTCGTTTGGAAAACTTTACCTAATTTGGCATTTTTCACAACGCCTAGACTGGGTGTCTTAGTTTTGGTCGATGTTGTACATTTACACACCATATATCGGGAAAATAAACTACTTACTTTGTATGAACCATTTAATCCCTTGCTGCATTTCCTCAATTATTTCCTTTGATGTATACATAACTTCGTTTTGTACCGCCTGATTAAAGTTTGCCGCATCAAAAACTGCTGAGTATAAGGAATTCCTATCGTGATTTAGTGCTCTCTGTGGAAATTTTGCTAGTGTTTGAGCTAATTCCACGGATTTAATTAAAGATTGACCCGCAGGTACCACGCGATTAACAACTCCTAAGGACAGCGCTTCTTCTGCAGATACTTGTCTTCCAGTTAGAATCAAATCCAGGGCTCTAGAAAAGCCAATCAATGCAGGCAATCGGGCTGTACCCCCATCGATTACAGGAACGCCGAAACGTCGATTGAAGAACCCCAATATCGCAGTTTCTTCCATTACGCGAAGATCACACATTAGAGCCAGCTCCAGTCCATTAGCAATGCAATAACCGCTTATACCGCAAACTACCGGCTTTTGTATGTGACGACGTGTCGGCCCTACTGAGCCTTCGTGAGCCATTAGTATGTCAATACTAACCTGTTCTCCACCATCCTTTCCAAGTTCGAGAATATCATAACCGGCACAAAATGATCCACCGATACCATATAATACAGCTACTGGTGACGTATCATCAGCCTCAAATGCATTAAAAGCCTCGCAAAGTTGGGTGGCAGTGGCTGCATTGATTGCGTTTCGCACTTGTGGCCGATTGATACCTATTAACGTTACATTTTTATCCTTGTCCACTATAATATTTTTTTCAATTAGACCTTCTGAAATGAAAAATAAAGCGTTTAATTCCAAACTTATGTCACTCCGAACATTCAAGTGCCCACACCCTTTCCTCCTTTTTGTAAATGATTAGAAGTACAGATGGATCTAGACGATATATTCTGAAAATCATTTAACAATACGGTGGTGATACCCTTCTTGCTTATGAGTTTTGCCAGCTGTTGTAACATCTTACTAATTCATTTATTATTGGGCCTAATAAACTTAATGTAAGAAACAATTGAATTCATCGGTTACTACTCTTAGCAATCGATAAATTCAAAGATGTGGTAAATATTCGACTACAACCAAGGTGAAATTTCATTTTCAATTCACACGATAGCTCATTATTCCTGAATTCACACAATATTTAATTCATCTCGTATTTTGACAAAAATGGGTTTCCTTGGACAAAGTAATTGTTTTCATTTTGATGCGGATTTTCATTAAAACTTGTTCTCTTGGTTTTCGCAATATAAAAATTATCAAGAATAACACATGCAAAACCAGTTTTCTCTGAAAGACACTCGAAAACTCACGTTCACTCATTCCAGTTGGAGTCTTCACTGGAGCAAACTAGTATAATATATTGTTGCCGAAGGGTATCAACTTAATTACAAATTGAATAAGAAATTGGAAAGCACATCCATTTCGTATTCTAACTTATAACAAAAATTTTCAGATTAACATTTGCATTGTATTATAATACCTAAATTTTTTTTTATAAAAATGTAATGTAATTTTCAAAAGTATGAACAAGGCTGTGTTATATATATTGCTATTATAGTAACGACCTCAAGTCCATACGAAACTGGTCCTTAAAGAAGTCATTAGACCTGTTCGGTGAGTTGTTGGGCAGTAATATTTGCAACAATAGTGCGCAATTTTGATATTTTTTGCTGAATATCTCTTTCGGGTATATCTCAACGAACAGAGCTATTGTCATTTCTGGATTTACAAATAGCTTTTTTTTTGTAATTGCAGCATCGGAATATATGGTTTTCACTTTTGTACAGGGCTAATCTATTTGTATCCCCATTTCCGATTACATAACTGTGCTATGTTTATTACTTCCAATATTTTGAAAAAATTAGCTATTGCTTTTATTGTTACATTTTCCTTGTCAAAATTCAATCGTTTAATGTTGTAACTTACCATTTTCCTCTTAGTTTCCTGAAATATGTTAACATGGTCAAATATGTCAACGGAAGAACTAAAAGTCGTTGCGAACACTTTTGAGCCACGGTCCACAAAACTCTCTTTCAAATAGTTTTCGATGTCGGACTCGGATGTAAGGCATATGTTGTGAGTCCAGTACGACACTAACTACTAACAGCATTGTTGATACATGAAAATCAGTATTAGATAGTTATATAATATTGTATTAGTCTTTTTAAAATATATAGATATATAGAGCTGTTAAGTAATAACCTACAATCATCCAAAGCTAAATAAAAGTCAACCAGTGCCTAAAAAATGCCTCTGTTTTATTTAATAAATAATATAGATCGAAATTCATCTTTTATTAACATTAGTTTTAAAGGTAAATTTTTGTTCATGTAGTACCTCTTCTTCTTCCCAAGGTGGTAATGTTTTAGGCTTCACATGCCACGCTTCCGTTTGAAGTCCTTTACAATTTGCTATAATAGACATACATTAAGAATGGTTATCCCTTATGCCTACGTATAGAATATGTTAAAGCTTACCACAACTAAATGTATTTTAAATAATTAGAACATTGGTGATAACAAAGTGGAATTATTAAATCATGAAATTGTTATGCAAATATACTTACAAATTTTAAAACTCGCTATGGCTCTTTTAATTTCGTTTGATATCTTGTCATTAGCTGATGCAGTTTCTTGTTCTATTGCTGCGTTTAGTCCTTTTCGGCGTTCATAGTAATTTTTGTATATATTTTGACGATCCCTTTGTAGCGCTCCTAATGGAAATTTTGCAATAGAAAAAGCTAAATTTACCGCCTGACCTAGCGCTGTACCTGTGGCTACCAAACGGTTTACTAAACCTATTTTCAGCGCTTCTTGAGCACAAACGCGCCTTCCAGTTAACAGTAAATCTAATGATCGTGATAATCCGACTATTGCAGGCAATCTAGCTATACCTCCATTAATCAGGTTAAACCCGGCAAATCTTTCGAAAAATCCCAAAATTGCTGTATCTTCCATTACACGAAGATCACAATACATTGCCAATTCCAAACCACCTCCCACGCAATATCCATTGATGCCACAAACAATTGGTTTTTTGGGGTGTCGTAATATTGGTGTGTAATTTGAAAGAACATTATAGTTATCACTTTGACCTGAAATTTCTAGCTCAGTAAGATCTGGACCTACGCAAAACGAACCGCCTATTCCATAAATCACAGCCACAGGGGAGCTTCTGTCTTCTTCAAAATTGATTAGCGCTTTATTCAAAGATTTCACGGTTTCAGAACTTAAGGAGTTGCGACTAATTGGTCGATTTAAACCAATTAATGTGATATGGTCATCTCTGTCAACTAAAACAGGGGGACTAGCACAATCATCACCACCAAAAGAGTCGGTGGAAATATGTTGTATTGTTTGTAAACACCGGCCCTGTTGAAACAATTGGAAAATCTTATAAATTTCATGAACCAGTACATCTGTAACTTACAATTTTTAATTTAAGTAATGAAACGTGCTTAAATCGTATTAACAAATTCGCCATGATCTAGTTTCATACGTTTAGATATGTATTTAACGGAAATAAAAATAATACATAATTCTTTCCACACAAATAATTACGTTTTTATAAAAGATGCATATGGATTAGTTTACCGAATTAGTTGGCAATGCTTATCGTTTTCATCAGGATAAGCATTGCCAACTAATTCGGTAAACTAATGGTTTACAGTCATTCGTTACTAAAGCCGATGGCAGATAGAACTTTATTACGTTACATTATCAAACTTTTCCAACAAAGAGACATTTCCAACTGACGTTTTTTGTAATAATTGTTGTTCTTTGTTCAAAATTTTTGTTTAGTAATTATTGAGCTTGTTATATCAGCAAATAATCAACGGGCGTGAAATAATGAGAGATGACCAACTTTCGACATTGTGTTAGTGTCCTCGTTACTTATGAGGGAAATTTTGGTAAGTTGCAATTATAAATTTCAGATGTCAAGCTTAAGCTGTTACGCAACGCGACGCATGAGATTGTTAACGGCTTTAGAGTTTCGACACTCCATTTTCGGTTGCGATTCGAGATACCAAATTGATTGAAGTTGACAGTCTATTACTTGAAATATCGCTGGAAATCTATTGCTGTCATCCACTGTCACCATGATGAGTATTCTTTTGGAGATACGGGTGTAGCACCGATAATCACAATTTTTGCATAACAAATCGTTGTCACATACATTCAATCCCGAATATGTTCTATATTTTCACTGAGCGATATCTATGCTATGAATTTTGAAATGTTTTCAAACTAGAATAATCAAAAATGAAAGCCAGAGAAAGATCGCAAAACGTTTGTTGGTATGAAAAATGTTATGCTTCGTACTTTTTGCAGTCTCTTCGTTGAAATTTTATTTTCATTTAAGAGAGATGAAGACGCCCAGTAACCTTAATGACCTTTACGTTTTTGACGTTTAGCACTACTTTCCTATTGGTATTCGAAGCAACCCTAATTTCTGAAAAAGAAAAGCGTGAGACGAGTCGGACTGAAAGACAAGTAAAAATTATATTGGCGCGTGAAAAGTTTAGAAATCGTTAATTTACGCAAGGAAAATTGTATAATAATTATAAATAGGCAATTTCATTAGTATTTGGACGTGTGCATTAAAAAAGAGATTGAGTGCCACCTGTATCATACATTTTTCTTCGTTTAAAAATCTTGTCTATGAAGTGTTTGATTTTCAGTAACCGCGCCACCACAATTGAGTAATTGCTTGGAGCTTCTGTAGTTCTAAAACAAACCGACGCTACAGTTCGTAACCGAAATAGTCTCTAACTTTACTTTTTATAAGTGTTTGGATAATGCCTATTTGCAAACGTGATGGATTCGATAATATGCCGTCTCGAAATCGAGACGAAAGATTTCATGACAACGACGAGGTGTTCTTTTGTGAAGTAACAAAAGAAATTTTTCGAGACTATGAGTAAGTGAAAATTGATAAATATATTTGATAAGTTAGAAAATGTTTCGTATTTGCCTAAGATAAAACCTCAAAAAGGGTATGCTTTTTTTGCAACAAAATTTCGTTTCTGCTTTGAGTATAAAATGCTACATTAGAAGTAGAAAACTGAAGATTGACGATAAATATTGGTGTAAAACGTAAATGATGTGTAATCAAAGTGTCCAACAGACACAAAGATGACTAGATACGAAACTTACTCAAAATCACTCAAATTGCAGCTGAGAGCGTTCCCCCATCTCACATTCTAATGTTGGCAGCAGTGTCAGATCGGGGAACATTCAACATCTGATGTGCAAAACGCACCAGTGCCACTATGTCAATAAAAAAATCCATTATTTTTGTTTCAAAAGAAATTTGCTTCAGCAGTAAATATTAAAGAAATTATTGTAATTTTATTATGAAAACTTAATATAATTAAATATTGAATTGTTTCTTAATAAAATATTTTAGTGAAATCGCAATTAAAGACTCCGTTGTTTGTAATAAAATACCCAAAATATACCTAAAAATCCAAATAAGTCGTTTTTCCATCACAGTGGCACTGTTCAGAAATGTTATAAAAAATGCGGATTTTTGAGCGCTCTCACGGAATAAAGAGTTTCGTATCTAGTCATCATTGACAGACAGCTGCTATAAAACGGTTGGCGGGAATAAAATGCGAACAACGCACGCGTGTCGAGTTGCCAGAATTCTGAATTTAAAGTTGAAGCCCTAAAACGTTTTTTAATTTTTAAATTTTTGCTTTGATAATGGAAAAATAAAAATAAATAAAATGAAGCACTCCTCAAATCAATGTTTTTCACTTATAAAAATTTTATGCAAGTCCTAGAGCAATCAAATTTTTGACCTGTGTTTTGTTCCGCTAACATAATCCAACTAACTACCACGGGATATCCTAAGTGAGAAAATACCCTTCTATAGTTTTAGATATTGGTCTCTCCATGATTCAATCCCATTGTTGGTTGCTAATGCTAATGTGCCCTCACCGCCATGAAAATATTTACCTTATCCATAAAATTTCAATTTCTTAAAGTATAGATTGTAGAGGGATCTAATTGGAATTCCAACTGCATTTTCCAAAAATATTAGCCAATAACTGTGTTCTGTGAGAAATGTCAGTAAGATTTAGACAGCAAATGAATGCAAATTTTACTGGCTTTGGCCCACCGAACGAGATTCAGTGAAAATTAGTAACAATTGTTACTGCAAATCATCTCACCGAATAGAACTAATATCTTAACATATTTCTATCTTTGCAGAGACTATTTTCGTCATGTAATGGTAATTAATTCCACTGTTTGGCAATGTGAGGCCACTGGCCGCGAAAATCTCACTTATGCAGAGGCGTTGCGCAGTGAACGACGTGCACGGAAGAAAATGGAACTTTTCAAATATTGCTTAAGGGCTCCTGTAATGTTAGTGATTGAAAGCTCGAAGCAGTCGTCTTTGAAAACCCTTAATGCAATCGTATGCAAATTTCTGCGTAAACGTTATTTCATAAATGAAGAAGTAACTGCCTGTCACAAATCTTCTACTTATTATGCGTATACAGTTGTGAGTATAGTACCGCCTAATAACACGCCTCCAGCCAGTGGTGTATACGAGGAAACGGATCAACTTCAATATAAGCTACGTCGGAAAGGCCAAAAACATGAAGAAATCATTGTACCATTCGATAATATTCGCCGCCAACGGCAAGAATTCACAACAGAGAATCTGCAAATGTTCGTTAAAGACAATATAACACGTGTAGATGGTATATTACGACCAAAACCTGAGTCTTATAAAAAGTACGTTACAGATGAAAAGGTTTCATTTGAAAATATATTCATTGGAAGAATACCACATTTCACGCCAGCGAAAATCAAACGGCCAATTCAAGATACAAATAATAAAAAACAATCAACTTTGAATAAATATTTCACCAAAGATGGTGAAGTCGAAAGCAATTTAAAAAATGGTTCAAAACTGAGTGATCTAGAGGCAGAGAGGCGAGAGAAGAAGCTTGCACAAAAAGCTGAAGAAGAAGCAAGAATGCTGGAAAAGCTTAAGCGCATCGCCGAACTGGAGCGGCAAAAGGTGGAAAAACGTGCTAAATTGGTAGAGCGTGTTGAAGCAGAATGCACTGCATTGCTCACTAAGACTGATGACTTGGAACGCAGAGACCAACGTTTACTGCCCCAATATAATACAATTAAAACTTGTATTCCCTTGAAACTACTAGGAGATGCTTTTATGATTCGCGAATTCATGCATTCTTTTGCAAGCACTTTATCAGTGAATGAAAAGTTACGTGGTAATTTAACCTTTTATGAGATGTCACGGGCTTTTTGTATTCGCGAAGTGGCCGGACCACTTGCCGACATTATTTTAATATTATTAGGTACAATATTTGATATGCAAAAGGAAGAAGAGGATGAATGTAGCATTGAGTATTTGCGGCTGCGTCAAGAATTAAAAAGGCGTGAACCGTTTATTACCATGTCAGAGGCAGCTCGTGCTCACTTCTATGCAAAGCGTCATTTTTCTTTTAAAATAAATGAATTGCCAATCGATTCTTTAACTTTAAGCGAGGTTTTGCGTTTGCATTTACTGTCATCTGGAGCTGTGGTAAAAGAACGTGCTGAAAAATGGCGAATTAAATATCGAAACGGGTATTCATCATCGGAGGATCCTGGACTTACGCTTCGAATGCGGCATCCACATATAATACGTACACTTAAAATGTATTCACTGTATCAATTACCATTCATTGATATTATGCGTATTGTGCGCTGTTTAATGGCCCAAATATTAACCTATTCAGGTCCTATAAATCTTATTGAAGAACGTATGGAACAGGTGGCTAATGCAAAAGTAGAATTGCGTGTATTAACCACAATGGAAAACATTCGTATAGCGAATTTTCAAACACAAAAGCGTAGTTTAACCAATGAGTTTCATCAACAAACTATTGAAGACAAAATAAAAAATAACGAGGAAAAGAAAAAACAAATCGAAGACAAATATAATAAAAAAATTGCGGAGTTAATGGCTCAGTCCGATCGTGAGCGTAAGAAGTACGAACAACAAGTGGAAAGTTTCAACTCATCCTTATTCAATTTTCTTGTTTACCTTGGAGTCGACCGTGCTTACCGTAAATATTATGTATTGGAGTCTATGCCAGGCATATTTGTGGAGCATACTGACGACGCTCTGGATACGTGCCTTAGTGAACCACCCAAAAATGCATTGGTGGAAAACTCGCTAATCACAAATTTTGCGAACTTGCCAAAAAATCGTAAAGACCTAAGGGCATATTTACTGAAAATGTATATTAATGAAGATAAGCAAGCAGCAAAGGCCGAAAAGGAAGCAAAATCTTTAAAGATTTTAAAACCTGCAAAGGAAGACAAGGAAAATCACCTGGTAAATGGTATTACCAATGGTGATGATGGGCACGACGAAGGCGGAACTACTGCAAAGCACAGTGAAAATACAATTCCGTCTGAACCAAAAGAACCTCCGTCACAATATCAATTGTATATGTGTACAGGAGATCCAAGAAATTGTATTGTTCACGATGAACGTAATGCCGATAGGCAGAGATGGGCCTATATCTACGAAAAAGAGGATATAGACGCACTTATTGCAGCACTAAATCCATTGGGAGAACGAGAATCTCAGCTGAAGGAGCAGTTAACCGTTTTGCGACAACTTATAATAAAACATTGCAAGAAATGCCCAGAAGATTTACTAACCGTAGATGGTAAGCAGTTGAGTAAATTTAAGGCGGCAATGATGTCGGAAACTAATCGTAGATATAACAAACCCAATTTTGGTTGCTCCGATGATGCTGATATTAACGAAGTAATGTATGCTGCACTTATCGACCGCATAATTCAATTCGAAAGCGATATTTACACAGGCGATCTGGGTCGTTTAAAGGTCAAAGACATGGGAAAATGGCGTGAGGATTTCCAGTCTAATCAATATGATGCACAAGTCAAATTACAATGGGGTATAAATACACACAAGGGCGCCACAAATGGTGATGAAGACATTGTAAATGCCGAAGATGATTATGACGATGATGAAGATACAAAAGAAGTTGGACGTTATTCAAATAAACCGCACAGAGATCCAGGCGATGGACTCGGCGATACTATCGAAATTGATTCAGAAGACAGTGCTGATGAGCTAATCTCATTACATGATTCCAGCACAATTAAAACAAATGTACGTAACTGTGCATCAGCGTTATTGCAGGTAGAACAGGCAATCGAGCGTCGTTTCATAAAGGAGCCTTTCGGTACACCATTAAAAGAAATCAAAGATAAAGAATTACTTGAACAGAAGATGAAAATAGGTTCAACCCGACTGAAACAGTGGGAAATATCCCTAATGGAGAGCACAAGTTTTTCGCAGGTAAATTTCACAAAAAAAAAAAGGCTACTTGATTAATTTTCATCTTGTAATATTTGTAATTTAGGTATTTCTCCATTTAAATATTCTTCATGACTGCATTTTGTGGGCTCGTTCAACTAACAAATCCCTTTGTCAAGTATGTCGACGAGGTAAAGATCCGGACAAGATGTTGCTTTGTGATGAATGTAATCGTGGTACTCACATGTTCTGCATGAAGCCTAAAATGAAGACGGTACCAGAGGGCAATTGGTATTGTGCAAGATGTGTCAAATTGTGGGGTTTACGCAATGAAAGCGAAGAAAAAAATAATAAAGCTGTATCTCAAAAACGAAAACGCACATTTAATATTGATGAAAATGTTGATGATGGCATTGCAAATGGGGTCAAAGACAGCGAGCGAACTCGTAGCAGTGGGCGTCGTAGTAGTAAGCGTTTAAAATCAATTGAAATCGATGAGGCATTGGAAGATGACGATATAGAGGCTGGTAATAATAGTAACGAAGAAGTTGTCGATGACTCTGATGCTGGGAATAATGATAATGAAAACAGTGCCGACGAGGATGACGAAGAAATCGCTAGTGATGAAGACCAAAATGGGGATGTTGAGGACGATAATAAGAAAAAGTTGGATGATCCTTCGGATCAAGAAGAGTAAGTCTCAAATATATATAATGTTTTCAATGGAAATCGGTCGAAACATTACAGAAACAGAAACGTTTACAATTCTTGTAAGGTTACTATCGAGCAATTTTTGCATATCTTCTGTATGTACATACATATTTATCATGTTAGAAATATTTGTTTCAAGTGTTTTCTGGAAAATTTTGGAAATTATATTTGGCTAATTAAATCATTTTATGTATACGCACTACGTAGGAAGGTAGAAGTGCTGTTCAAGAAATTTTAACCTCGGTACCATTTAGTACTGTTGCGCCATTTACATGCACTTTTTGCTAAGTTTGCAGCTAGCGTATGTTGAGAAGCATGCGGTAGAGATTTGCCAAATCATTTCTCGAATATATTTCTCCTTTGCTGATTCGAGTATTAAAATTAATTCTAATAAATATATAAGCATATTTTTTGCGATCTATGAGATTTAATTTGAACTCGACTTTTAATAATTTCTTACAGAGATGAAAATATTTGCGCAATTTGCTCATATGACGGTGGCGATTTATTGTGTATACGTTGTAAAGACGCTTTCCATTTAGAATGTATCAATATGAAGAGAACACCTCGGCATAACGATTATATATGTTCAAAATGCAAATCCTACGAGAAAAAGTCACGAAGAAGTGGCAGAATGAATGGAAAACATGTAGTGGATTCATCAAATGATGACGATGATAACGACTCGGAACCCCTTGTAAAACGTAAGCGATCATCCCGTTCGTCTCTTCGTAACTCCGGATTTCAACAGCAACAGCAGGCAGAGAATGGCCATACCAGTCCACGTGAATCTGCTAGATCTTCATCGAAACGACGTTCGATACGCAGGACCGGGGAAAATTTGCCTTTAAACAGTCCCGCATTGTACCAACTTCTTGATGATGTAATGAAACATGAAAATGCTTGGCCATTTACCCGTCCTGTTTCACACGCAGAAGTGCCAGATTACCACAAGATTATTAAAACGCCAATGGATTTGGCAAAGGTAAAATCAAAACTTAATATGGGCTCATATCAGCTAAATGAGGAAGTGATGAAGGACATACAACTCATTTTCAAAAATTGCGATGAATATAATGTTAAAGGAAATGAAATTTATTGGTGAGTACAACATTTTCATATCTTCATAATAGTAGTGAAGTACTAAGTATGTTAGTAAACAAAAAAAAATTAATTTTTGAAATTAGAATTCAGTTTATAACGAACACAACTGTTATTGGTTTTTGTTTTGATAAATAAATCGAATTTTTTCATTTCAGTGCTGGCTCGACGTTGGAGAAATATGTTATAGAACTAAGCAAACGTCTGAATTTACCGTTTGAACCCAGCGACATGAATTCTTAATTCATGTTAAAATATGACTACAATCTAATACATGTTTAAGAGTAGCATATCCCAATAAGTCTTAATACTAAATTAGAGTGACGTTATCAACTACATACATACATTTATTATAAAAATGTTTATTTGTTTATTTGTATTTCTTTAGCAATTATTATGTTCCAGTTTTAAATAGGCTGAGCTTTGGACAAGTTTATTCGTGTAAAAATATATTTTGGAAGTAGTTTGTAATAATATATTTTGGATATGCAAACATACATAGCCTGCGCACGCTGTTTTCTATTATTCCTATGATGTAACCATGTTGTTGTTTTTTATACTCCATTTCACTTTTCCCTCATTTTGTCTTTAATCATGATACGAATTTTAAGTAAATCCATATATACATATGTAGTTTCTAAGTTCCAAAATGGAAAATGCTCGGATGAAACCGTCTCATGTATTTAATATGTTACGAGCATTTAGAAAATTTTTAAAAATTCATATGATATAAGGCAAAAAAAAAAATAGCTTTTAATTTTTTAAGTTTACCAAAACTCTTTAGCATAAGCATATAAATAAGTACAATTCCGAATATAAAAATAAACCAATCTTTTGATCAAACCGAATTATTATGTTCTTAGGAATTATTATATGAGGAAAATAATTTACATAAAAGAGTGGGAAAAGGGAATAACTTCATTTGGTACCATAGCTAACGGACTGCCTTAAAGGAAAAGAAATTTGAGCATATGCAATCTCAAAATAACAACGATTTTCCCTTGCCATTGACGATTTATACATAGAAAACTAAATCGATTATAATAGTTTTGTTACTGAATTTTACTGTTTTCGGTAACGCAAAAACTCAGTATAATTAGTAACGAGAAAGCGCAATTTTGACGCTTAGTTTAAAGAAAAAGTTGCAAGAAAGTGATCGCATTTGATTTGTGATCATATGATTACATTTTAGACATTTATGCACGACATACATTGGATATGTTGGGGTCGAGTCTGGATTACACGGAGTTTAATCTGCTACAATATCCATATCAAAGTTACGCTAGTATCATGCGGGTCTCTCGAGACAGGTCTGCTCTTCGTCTACTATGGGTGGTGATTTAACTCCCAGTGCGCCGACTACCAGTAAGTTTAGGTTGTTTATGGTCAGAATTTTGACGCCATCGACCTTCACATTAAGTTCGAACCTGTCTTCCTTCGTAAAGGGTATCCAACGATCTGGTCGGTTATATTTTAAGTTGTCGCGCAGTGAAGAAGTGGGATAGGTGGTCGTGATAGCCTTTCACTTTCGAACAAAGATCACTGAAACTTCAAACAATTTATTTTTTGATAATATTTATATAAAAGTACAACGTGTCAGGAATATTTTCCCCCAAGTTTCAGGTCGGTCGCCACGAAACTTTAGAAATTAGAGAGTTTTATAACCCGCCGTCCTTGTCATCGCTTGACAGAGATAAAACTTTAAACGCGTTTTTCTTAAAATCACTTTGCCGAAGTCGGTAGTCAAAATTTCTCAACGACTTTTGATGCGATCGAGTTCAAATTTCTCACCCTTTTTTAAGTATGTTTTTATAGTTCCTAAATGAAAGATTTATTTTATCTTTAATTTCAACTCATTTTACAAGCCAATATATTCGCTCGCTTTGAAATACAGAAGTTCAACAGTAATGCTGGACTAAAATGGTGAGTAAACGTCGGAAGCAGTAAGACCTCAAGTATTTTCGCTACTGGAGAGAGGAGGGATATCGGCCGATATCACTCTTCGTTTTTGGGACCATCCTAGATTGAGACCTTGGTGAGGAAGTCTGCTTCCGCTGGCCTCAGATGTTTTAGCATAAGCATGTTTATTCCGTCGGGGCCGGTGGATTTGGAGGCTTTCGTTCTCCCTATTGCCACTTGAACCTCTCCCCTGCGCTGGTGTGCGGCAGAGAGCTTATAATAGCGAGATGGTGCGATTAACTTTTGGTTCGAAGCTCGATTGAAGTTTCTACAGAGCTAGAAGATCTCGGGAAAGAGATTCACCATTCTGTTAAAATTTGACTTTTAACTATAAAACTTGGTGGTTTAACATAAGGGAAAACTGTTATTCACATCAATATAATGAAAACTAATTAGTTGTTATTTAATAAAAAATCCTTATAATCAACTATTTTATATATAATTTTTTTTTATATTTTTATATTTATTATTTACAAATCCACAAGAAATCTATTTATTATATAAATATGTTTTTATAAATAATTATAGTTAAAACTATCAAACCAAAATAATAATGAAGTCGAAAATATATAATAATTAAAATTATATTTTGGCATCTTTCAAAGGAATTTGAACATGCCCAAGAAGCAAGAAGCCTAAAACCCGCTGAAGCGTCTTGATGTTTTTCCAACAAATGGAAGGATCTACAGTTTATACTAAGCCGCCTTCGAACCGTTGATCACTTTTTTATGAGGAGCTTTTATTTCACGTCATAAATACAGTCGGAGGGGTTGACATTCCTGTCAATGAACTCAATTTTGTTTTTATATTAATTTTCTATAACTTTTTGGATGCTGCTGGCACCAGGATTTGAACACGGGTCTTCTGTTAAAGCTGATTTACTTCGGCATCAGTGTTGGCGCTAACATGGCTTGTACGGTTCTGCTGCGCTTTCTTTCGGCAATATTGTTTTCTTTTGATATCAATGCCTTTGCTAAGCTGCGTTGTATTTGTTTGACAAGAATGACAAAAATGCACAAGTAAACGAAGAGAGAATGACGTACACGTATACAAATGTAAGCATCAGATTTGTCATTTCGGGCTTAAGCCAGTGATGGGAAAAGCGTTCTGCGAGATGATGGTATATGACATCATGCATTTCTGACATATGTATGTTGCCTCAAATGATCGGAAGCCTTCTTGCAGGGCTATTTCACGCTGTGCTACATCATCGTTTTCTGTCGTTTCTGCTCCTTAGACTAAGGTTACCTGTAAACCTAAACGGGGTTAGGTCTCCGAAAGTGTGACAGCCCTTGGCCGGATAAAATCCGGGTCAACTCCGGTGCGTAGAACCGTCTGTCGTGAGAGAGAACCGGCTGCCTGCTCCTCTTACCGTCAGCCATCTTACTGACGTTCCTTCAACGTCAAGCGCTAAATTTTAGATTCTTGTGGCAGAATTAGAAAGGAAGCCACATTTAGCTAGGGGCTTCCAAAAAGGCGTTGTCCAATACAATTTAAAGAGTTATTGTTACAAAAATTAGTGTGATAGGACCATCTGTGCGGGATGGCTATGGATTGTACAAAACATATTACAACAAGAAAAAAATTCAAATGTTTTTTGTTTCATCATTTTAGCTATATACATACATGGTTTTTTTATTTTTAAATTAAAAATGCAAAAATAATGATGAACTACAAGAAGGAGTAAAGACCAACCGCCGCAAGAACCTGTTGCAAATTCGATGGTATTCAAAGAGCAGTTAAATCCAGCTGGTCATATATTTGGTGAGAATGATGATAACAATGAACCACAGCGCGGCGATATTAGCAACAACAATACGCCAACGATTTAGAGCGAGTTCCTGAACAAGGAATGTTCTCGAGTAGATGTTTCATCAGTAGATGATGTGCGCGATGCCGGCTCTTCGCGTAGCACAAATTCGATAACGACCGCCACAGTCTACGATGAACATTTAAATTTTTTTGTCTTCTTCATAGCTTGAAACAAAATTCTCAGCTTGAATGTATCATTTGAATATTGAAAATATGCAAATAAACTGAAAAACCATAATATCACAAATAAATTTCCCAAAACAGAAAATTTCCTGTGGACGGGGTTTTCGCGTTGCGAATGCTATCGTAGTCAGTAAGATGCGAAAAATACTGAATGTAAGGAAGATTCCACTCCAGATTTTTTTGTTTTTGTTTTAGCAGTTTGTTACAACTCATTTAGGGAATTAAATAACGTCATCGAGGTCATCTAACGGAAGTCATGTTGCGCTTGATTTTTTAGTGACACAACAACATGTGACAGTTCTCGCGCATAAAAAATTGAGTTCACCTTGTGAACAATAAGCTTGGAGTTAAGGCATTTTAATCTACTTTCACTCAACAGTGAATTACAGAACATGGCTAACTGCTTGTTTTTTACAACATATGAATCGATATATATGATCTCGAAAATGTAAACAAGCTTGGTTTCAATTAGTTTATTTCGTCGCGAATGTACTGTAGATATTTCACACCTCAAACACTTACATACACGTATGTAGACTTAACTGTTAATGTAAGGGATGATTGGAGACTTCCGACTGGAAAGCATCCGAGAATGTAACAATACTTTTGCATTTGATAATTTTTATTTTATTGATAGAAATACTCATTATCTAATGATCAATAATTTCATAAGTATATTTATGCACTTTTAGGTATTCACAGAAAATGTATTAATTTTGAATAATTCTTAGAATATAATGTTTGTATGTAGGTAATATTAATATTAATGAGTTACTGCGCATTGTCCAGCCAAATCAGAAGAAATGACTTCGCTTGAATTCGATAAAAAAGACATAGTGAGTGCTCTTTTCAAAAACTTTACACTCCATTAAAAGTCTGCTTAAGAATTTATGTATGAATGTTCCGCTTTCAGTGTGTGTTTTTTGTTTCAATTTTACTTTTGTTAGATTTCTTTCTTTTAGTATCTATTTCTCGGTCAGTCCATTAATCGCTTTCATCTGTGTCCTCAGCAAATTTTTTGCGATAATTACGACGAATACGTGCTGCTTTCTGATGAAACAATCCAATTGGTCCAGCATTCGTGTTGGTGTCGTCACAGAGTGGCAATAAGCGATTATTGCCAACAGCAGTTTGTGGATTGTGGATCGGTGTTGTTCCTCCATCACTACTCGATAAAGCACCGTTACTGTGATGCCAACGACTAGTTGTAGAATCATTTGAGCTGGGGCAGATCGTACTCCCTCGGCTGGGTGTTATGGTGGCGCCTATACTGATGCCACTATCGGGCGTACGAAGCAGCATTGTGATATTCTGTTGGTTTTGCTCATGAGTTACTTCATAATTATGGTGACTAGCATTGCTAATATTATTGTTGTTATTACTGTTATTGCTGTTATTGCCACCAATGTCTCTATGGTGGGACTTGTGCAAACTCGACTCGGCTTCTTCTGACTGTTCGTCGTCACCTACACAAATGCCATTCGTTTGAACCGAGTTGTGATGGAAATTGGTATGGCTGCTACTATGGCCAATTCTGTTGCTACTGACCGGATAGTCAAAGTCGTTTTGTACCATATTATTATTGCTGTTGCTATGGCTCCACTTTGCATCTGCTTCGTGATCAGAAACGGCTTCAACGTCGTCACGTGCCGAAAGGATGGCAATTTTTCGTCGTTTTATCGGTGTGGAATATACATGTACACTATTATGATTATCCTCGTTGCCACTAATTATACCATTGGTAGCATTTAGACCATATTCATTGGTACTAGGAATCGCATCGTTAACAAAATACGAGGATGAGGTTGATGACTCGACTGCCTCGTCGGGATAACTGCTGTTTGATAGCCTAGAGTTCGAGTGACTCGAGTAGTTATCCAAAAGCGCCATTTGCGCACGTCGTCGGCGATTGGAGATGACAATGTGGCCGACGCTACTCTCGCTGCTATTATTAATATTACCGATGTTGTGGTTGTTCAACAGCGAATCTACGCTATGTGTTTGAGGTAGTTGAGTTGTCTCTATAGTGCCTGTCACAGTATTGTTCATAATTGGAATTGTGTGAGACGAACTACTAGATGAAATTTGTGGATTTTCAATATCAGCTTGCATAGAATTTGTAGGGATGATGGAGTGTGCATCGAAAACAGGTTCTACACTAAAACTGATCAAACGTTCGGAATCGCCAATTGGTTCATTGAGAATATTGCCGCGCTCCCTGATGGCAGCATCATTAATACGGCGTACACCATTCAGTTTCTTTGTCGGTTGAATAGTCGGGTCGACTTCGACATCAATGGCGTTTTCGTTGCGACGTAGTTGCGCCGATGATGATAACGATGGCACATCATCATCTTCGTACTCATCAGAGTCGATGATGTGTTGTTGATGCTGTCTTAAACGAATGATGTCGTCTGAAACAAAACAGGAAAAAATTCAAAGTAAGATGAAATTTATTAAATGCTATATTAATCTGCTTTGCTCTAATAAGTCATTTGTATTGCCTAATGCGAAGAAGAAACTTAAATACTAAAGCCATTTCTTGTTGCATATTTCCTTAAACTCTACAAGTCGCTTATCATTCGTATCCTAATTTATGGTACAGGAGGCTGGACGTTGACAAAATCCGATGAGTCGGCTTTTGGGCATCATGGAGAGAGAGGTTTGGCGGAAGATTTATGATTCTTTTTGCACAGGCGACAGCGAATATCGCTGACAAAGGGGAAAGTAAAGGAAGAGAAAGACTCCCAAGTGACGCCTACAAACTCATACATTTACACTTCTAGAAAAATCCAAGTAGATTATCAGAATTTGAGTTACTGGATGTAGTACAGAATTGAAAACTATCAACTAACTCCTGTTTATTTACATACTTTTTTTGTGAAACTTATATTTAGTCAAATGATTTTTGTTTTTAAATAAGCCAAAGCACATGTGAAAACTCTCTTCTCCTAAAGAGAGACATTTATTCGGGTTCCACTGATCAGGATTCAGTAAAATTAGAAAGAAAGAAATCAGAACTTATTTTGTTCAATTAAAAAGTTGATTGTTTCCGAACACACTATTACCCCATTAGTGGGACTCATAAGCAGAAGAAACTCGACATAATTCGAAATTATTTATCACTTATGTGTGTATCACTACTCTTTAATTGGGGAACCCAATGCCTAATTGATGTTATTTATCCTTCGAAAGCGAATAATCAAAATCTTTTTTGGTGAAACGTAAGCTTATCCAACGAGTTTTCACGCCGCTTTCTGTTTCATTCGAAGTATAAATTGGATCTGGTGTAAACAGTGCGATAATGAGGTTTAATCTTTCCTAAATTACAGGGATCCCAGTCATTCTTTATATATGCATATATACATATATATACATATGCACGTTTGTTTCCAATGGTCTTCATAGCTATGAAGCAGATTATACTGAAGTAAGTTTGTTTCTTTGATTTCGGGAAAGGTTTGTATGAATTTTTTTTTTTTTTTTTTAGCTATTTGCTTAGATTAGCGGGAGAACTACTATTTTCTCCGACAAGTAGACCGAACTATTGACAAATTGCAATTAGGGTTCGTTTTACTTTCGAGATTCAGTAAATAGTTGGCTTTTTGCTAAGATCAACAGGAATACTACTCCCTTCCGGAAAGTTCTTATTACTTAATGAGAATTCCATCTATTCAAGGCTTACCTCGAGGAGTTCATACAAACATGTAGTTAAATCAGTTAGAAACCAATTAGAATGAAAATTGGACAAAACACTGAAAGTCACAACAATTTGTGGCCGTTTGATAGTAGGTTATAAAATATTTCATTATTATTGTATATTTCGGCTAGCAAATAATGATTATGTTCCGAGTTTTATTTGACCACTCAAACAACAACTACACCGGCGCACAAATTTAGTCAGTTTTGGCGACAGCAACGAGCGAATTGCAAAAACCATAAAAAAAGCAAGGATTGGATATCGCGATACTTAAAAATGGTAGATAAAACCATATAAAACAAGCATAATTCTAATGGATTTCCATCCGCGGAATACTAATATAGAGCGTACTTCGACCAAAAACCAGTTTGCAACATTTGGCAGTAGACACAAAGGACATAAAGCGTGAAACTAAATAAAAAAAAGGTATAAACAACATATGTATGTATGGATGTATGTATGGATGTATGTACGTATAATAACCAAATGTTTGCGCAGCTGAAATAAATAAGCAAGTTGGATGGCGTGTAAATATTAGATTGCGATTCAGATTATGCTCATGATTTAGTAATTTACTCGACGACTGCAAACGCCCTCTATTTAAGAAACACGTGCGCCCGCAACAACTTCGTGCACTACTAGGTATTTCAGGTTAGTTTTTTTCAAAAACCTCAGTAAAAAAATGTCCTGGTGAAAACATAAATTTATACAATCAGCGAATTGTAGTGACGGATAGGTGTTATAATAAATAATAATATTGTTTTTATATTAATTCAAAGTAGCAATGTATTATAAATATATTTATGTACATATGTACGTGTATGTATGTACACATATAAAAAATGTTTATATTCAGTACGAATTAGCAATTCATACGAGTACCGTTTGATTTTAATAGCAAATATGTAATGTACAAGGGGATTAACAAAAGTTCGGTCAGATGGTGACTTTCAATTTGTTTTCATTATATGTAAATAAAACGAGAAAACTTAAGATAGCTGAAGATAGGTTTGACGAAATTCCACCACCATCGCAAACAGAAATTCGCCATGTGAAAATACAAATATTTAGTGAATGCCAAATCGTCAAACCGTTTTTGAAGATTATTTCTGGGTGGTCCGGAAGATTCCAGACCAGACATTTTTCCGTAGAGGACGAGCCCCGAGAAAGTCGACCAAAATCTTTCACTGAAGTCGTCACTGCAGCTCTGGTCAAGTCCGAAATCGACGAGTTCCCACGATTGCCAAAGTTGTATCGCGATTATTATTAAGGATAAACGAAGAAATCTGATCGACGGGTCCCCGAATTTTAAATGAGGCCCAAAAATAGAGGCTTTACGCACTGCTCAATTTTTTCTAAATAAATTCGAAAATGGTCAATCTAGCAACTTTAGTAAAGTCGTTATTGGTGACGAATCTTGGTTCTATAAGTACGATCCAGAAACCAAACAGCAGTCCATGGCATAAAGCTTAGCTGAAATAATGAGTAATTTTTGCCGAACTCTGGGATCGAAGAAATACGTCCAACACCATATTCACCGGATATAGCACTTCGTGATTTCTGGTTATTTGCAAAAATTTAATAAAAAAAATTGAAAGAATCGTCTTTAATCATGAAAGGAGATAATTAAAGCAGTTAATGCTGAACTTGATAAGCTTAAAAAGCAGGATTTTGAAGACTGCTTTCAGAAGGGGATCTATATGCTTAAGAAAAGCATTGAAACCAATGGCGATTATGTAGAGAAGATAAAAAAGGACAAAGATAAGGAATAAATACAAAAGGAATTTTATTGTTTTTTTTCAGGCCAACTTACCGAACTTTACTTAATCCTCTCATATACATATTGTGAGTACCAAAGCTCTCACATAAAATCGTATTTACTCGAATATATGTAAAAGCCACACTGGAATTTTGCAAGTAAATCAAAAAGTCAACAAATCAAAAGGAAAAAAAAAGTTTTGTATACAAAGCAATGTTTTTCTCTCTTTTTGTGCGTACCGTAAGCTTTGCACATGGCGTCTCTAAGAAATTACGCACACTCCATGTATGTGGATAAAATGCACTCCACATGGGTTAAAGAGTTATCCTAAATTAATTACAACCCGTAAAAAATCGAAGCTTCTCTTAAAGCGCTACTCCAAGGTTTAATTTTTAAAAGCAGGACGCATAATACAAAAAAGGGAGAGTAATCATTCGTAATAATCAGGGGTCCCATTGAATCCAATTGTTATCAAAATTAGTTATGAATGCAATGAAAAAATACTTCAGTATCTTTCTTTCACTTTATCTTAAAGACATTGGCCCCTTACATATATTTAATATACTTGTTTCTTCATAAAAAAATTCCGACTTCTTTGAAACAAATTTACTTATCTCGATTTACTTGATTTCTTAAAATAGACTGCAAAACATTTGTATTAAATTGAGTAAATTGCATTGTTCCAGTACCAAAAACAGTTTTTGAAAGCAAATAAAAAATATAAAGTTCGCCATGTCGTATGAGTAACATTTCGTTAACGGGAAAAATCACAGAAAAGTCATAGATTTACTTACTTCACGATTTGTTTAAGTAACATAAATTTGTGTGCCTGTAGAAGAAATTTGAGACCTAACGAGTGCGTTAAAATTGATATTAAAAATATGGATAAATATTTCAATGATTTGGACTTATTTGAAATGCTTTAACATTCCAGTTAATGATGGCTGCCGCATCTGTCTTTGCAGTAAGCTCATTCATTTCTGGCTATCTACTTCATTTCATTTTTTTAAGACACTTTTGGTAGCTTAGTATTTAGTTAGCAAAATAGACCAACGGAGTCAAATCGTAGCTGCGAGGCAACGAGTTGTCAATAATTGCAGTAGAAGACTCACCATTTGTCAACTGTGATACGTGTATTACCCAATTTTCTTCAAATGTAAATCGGAAGCCATGTTCTGAACCATGTATCTGACTCATAGGAATATCATTGAAGTTGTCAAAGTTCAAATAGGCAGTAGTTCAACGGTTGATGACCCACCATTTATATTTAAATGCGCTTTGTAATCTCTGAGGCCAAGCTCGTTCAATTTGGGATATGCATTTTGATGGTTTTTTTCCAACAAACGGAAGGACCTGCGAAATAGAATATAAACCCCCTCCAAATCACTGATTGATTTTTGGGAGCGATTTTATATCATGTTAGAAATACACTCGGAGGGAAGGGTTGCCATTCAAAGCCGAGACCTGACCGCAATTAGAAAAATACTTCATCTCTGATGCTTTGTTTAAATTAATAAATAAATTTTATAAAATTTCTGCAAAAATATTTTTTTGCTTAGAATACACAAGGGTTTTGTTCACGTTCGAAAGGAGTAAAACTAATACGGTTATATTACACCAAATGATGCTGACAAACCAAACAACCCATTTGTACTCCAGGCAGCCCTGATTAAATTAACTCTTTATATATTATACTCGTATTATCGACACATTCAATTTGAAAAGGAACGGCGAAAATATAAAATCATATAGAGGCTGCAAACGTTAAAATACGAAGAGTGCGTTTCATGCGACTTATACATTACGGAGGTGCATTTTGTAAGTACTCTCATATGCCAGAAATAAACCATACTATCCAAGGGTTTTTTGCAGGTTGTGGATTGTGTTACTCACACAAGCACAACATTTGAAATATCTCCTAATATGTCGTTACATGTCGCGACTAAGCAATACTTATTCAACATGCTCGCACACCCCTCAGAGAAAGCATTCACTTATTTGTTTACAAAACAATTGACACTTAACGGAAGGAACAACAAATAGGCCCTTGGGGTGGAAACACGGCCGTCATAAATTCGGCATTATAAAAGCATCAAGGAACTCAACTTCTGGACAGTATACTTCTTTAAGTTATTTAGTACGGCAATTCGAATTTATAGTTATTACACGCAATATATGGGCACCAGAGAAATCACATCAAGTGACGCAATGATTTATTACTTGCTGCTTTTATTCCCTATCAACTATGCTCAAGCAAAAGTACAACAACAACGGCTACAGTGGCAGTTTTCTGTAATTCCAAATGGAACAAATAATATTGAAAGTATAAATTTAACAAAAATCGGTGAAGAGCTGCGGAAATATACTCTCCAGTTACCACATATCAACGTACTGTTGCGTGCCAAGTATTTGGAAAATGACGACGCAAATCCCTATGTAAGATGGTTCATCCGGCATAGTAATTTGCCAGTAATAATTAAATCCTATGATCATAAACAAATTATTAAAAACCAATCGCGAACACTTCTGCCAGTAAGCAAGAATCGCGACAGTTTCGTTATTTCTACCGATTCTCAACAGTTACATAACGTCGCCCAGCGGTTTGTACAACGGGCTGGTGTATTCTTTTTCATACTATCCGATGCTCAATTGCCGCAAAATTCCGGTGACTTGCATAACGTATTACACACCCTGTGGATTAAGTACAGATCTTTCAAGAATTTTTTGCTCACTTTTCAAGGCATTTTTTATTTTAATCCATTCGCTTACGAAGCTGATACCGGAAAATATGGTAGACTTGTTCTAAATGATAACACAAAGCCGCTGGATATTACCATGTTCCGCGACATGCATGGCTATCCGTTGAGGATACAAATTTTTAAATCGGTTTATGCACGCCCATTTCTGAATATGAGCAATCCATCAATAAAGGACGTTTATGGTGTGGATGGGAGAGTGGCAGAACTTCTAGAGCAACAAATGAATTTTACAATGGTTTTGCAAGAACCAGACCCTAATTATTTCGGGTAGGTAACAATTTCATTACACACACTTACAGTTCATAAAGCTCAGTATTCCGTCCTTCACATAGAAAGCTTATTTCTTAAAAAGCTTCAGTTATTTAATGCTGCATATAAATTGAATTGAAGCTTGAAATTTACTAAACATTAAATATGAATTAAATTTTCAAATTATAATCTAATACATAAATACATATATTCGTCATTGAATTGTAATAATTATTTAGTGTTCACTTTCTTTTTACAGCGAACGTTCCAAGGATGGCAAATACAATGGTGCAATCGGTTCGATTATTGAGGATAAGATCGATTTGTGTCTCACGGGTTTCTTTATAAAGGATTATTTAGTGACGGAATATATGGACTTTACAGTTGCCGTTTATGATGATAAATTATGCATTTATGTGCCAAAAGCTCAGCGCATTCCGCAATCTATTCTGCCATTATTCTCCGTCGGTTACGACGTCTGGTTAGGCTTCATTTTGACTGCTCTCGTAAACTGCCTCATCTGGTACCTCATACGACGCCTCAATCTGTATCTTAACATTAGAAAATGCGCCGATGTGTCACTAGATCGTAGTCAGTGGTGGCAGTTTGTCAGAATTTACATAGACACATGGGTACTTTGGGTGCGTGTTAATATCGTACGATATCCTCCTTTCAACTCAGAGCGTATTTTTATCGCATCACTTTGTCTGGTCAGCGTTATATTCGGCGCCATATTCGAGTCCAGTTTGGCTACTGTGTTCATTCATCCATTATATTATAACGATATAAATACATTACAGGAATTAGATGAGAGTAATTTGAAAATTATTTACAAATACTCATCAATGGCAGACGATTTATTCTTTAGCGAAACATCTCCGCTTTATGCAAGCCTTAATAAAAAGCTAGTACATCTGCAGGATTTGAACGCTGACGTCATTTTGGACATTGCAAAACATGGAGGGAAGGCGGGTGTTACGCGGGCCAATTCTCTGATGCTAGAATCATTACAGTTCATATTAGCAAAACAGGTTTACGTCGTGCCAGAATGTCCAAAAGATTATACCATCTCCTATATCATTCCAAAGGATGCTCCCTGGGAAGAGGCAGTCAATAATTTGCTACTTCAATTCTCTTCATTAGGCTTAATAACAAAGTGGATTAACGATATGAAAACGGAAGTTGACATAGACGTAATGAAGAGTGGTTTGGATTTAAATCAAGCAAATACCTTCAAGGTTCTCACAATTAGTGATTTGCAGTTAGCTTTTTATGTTATCTTAATGGGGAATGCAATAGCCGGAATCTCGTTAGTCATGGAGATCTGTCTCAAATGCGGCGGTCAGCACTCAAAAGGAAAATTATGTAGCTTTTGAAAATTTATGGGAATTATTGTGCAGTCTTCCTGTACCATACTGAAAACTAATATAAAATTGTAAGAAATTCACTTAAGTATATACATAAAGCAACACAAGGCTACTTTAAGTTTTATTGTACAGTTTTCAGTTATGTAAATTGAAATCATTGTTAGCTGAGCAATACGTTGAAACCTGTATCACTATAATAAAATGCATAAATAGAAAAGATTCCTACGGACAGCAGCACTCATTGAAAATTCATTTTTCTGGACAAAAAAAAAATTAATTGAAACTAAGTAATACTGGTTAACAAAACAAAAAAATGTTTGCTTTCTTTGGTGCTTATACGTATGAGTATATATTGTATTATACTAGTATATAGCAACAGTTTTTCTTCAACTGCTTTTTTTCTTTGACTATACTATATGTAGTTAACTACTCTCATTTACTATTGCTATATTTAAAATGAAATAGTGTTATCAGGACAAGACATGGATTCCTCATATTACACGCTTATGGTCCAGAGCAAAAAGTATATGCAGTGATGTTCAAAACACCCATGATTTGGTGCGAACCTCGAGATCATAATGCGTTTTGAAAATAAACAATATTAAAGCCGAAAGCCGAAATAAGTATTCACATCCTAACCAGTTTTCTGTTCAACGACCTAAGTTAAACTCACGAAATGCACAACAATGCAATGCATCACATTCAAAGCTTTTCATGACTCAAATCTCTGTGAACCAGTACGCAAAACTTCAAGTGAAGATTCTAATTCAGACTATATAATCAGCGCAACCGTTGAACCGTTGATTTTTTCTACTTAAAGTCGTTCAGTCAGGAAAACGTTATAAAATATCATTTTTAGTGTTCAACAGAAATTTCGTTAAAATGATGTACGAGTATAATCTTTCTGTATTTGATTTTATTAAAATAATACAGTATATATTTCCAAAGGAAAACAATCTTCCAGTATTTTTTTCTCTTAGTCAAAGTCATAACAAAAGTAAAATTGCGTTGATTACAATTTTTTTTTAGACAAAGCTATACAAAGGGTCTTCAAACTTAAGGAAGCACTCGCGTTTTCTGAGAATGGCGCCGGCTTTAACGCAATCTCCCATACAACGGTGCTTTTAAATACTGGTCACAAAAATTTCAATGAGGCGAAATATGACTTACTTTATATAAAGGTAATAATATATGTATGTACATATATACGAAAATAGCATGAGCAATATGATGGCTTGCTTCTTATTATCTGGTCTTACACAATTTTTCATTTTCTTACCATTTTAAGAAAAGGTGTATAAAAACTTCTTATGGTCTTTTTTTACTAATATATGTATGTTTTTAAGGTGTTAACCAGAAGTGGCGTAAGCAACTTTTACACACACGCCCATTAAGAAAGAAGTGCTGTGCTCGGTCATGCTAGAGCCGGTATACCATTTCGATGATTTCAGTATCAATGTGCAATTCATAATATGTGTGTAAAATACCAGATTCCATTTTCTTAAATGAATTAAAGTCTCAAATCTGAAAATCGGTGGTATATAGTTATAGTGGTTTCATTTGGCCAACTGCTACAAATCATCAACTCGGTTCGTCATTCCGATCATATCGTTATAAATTCTGATGGGTATATATTTTCTCCTTCTGGTACTTACATACTTCGAACAGAAGTTATCATTACCATTTCATATACTCGTACATGGAAGGTATAAAAATGTAATTAATCCCGTAGATAAGAATTAAGTACTACCTTGTGGGCGGTAAGATAACCACCCCCATCATTTACTTACATATGTATATACGTATATATGTATCTTCGAAAAGGTGATTATGTGAACTCAACCTGAGAGTATTTGGTAGAATGAAACTGATCTCTGTCATTTGATAAGAGTTAAGAAACTAAATATAGAAACAGCGTATTGTGTCCCGTCCCTGACTAAAATTGACAACTGACTCATGACAAAAATTGTATAAAATTAAACAAAGATCCTGTCAATTATTTGTCAACAACACATAATTTATTTGTTTGCAAAACTTTTTTTTACCGACGATGGTATGATAAAGTGGCATTTAGGGCAATATCGAAACCGCAATACTTACGTATTGACACAAAATACACACACATGCACCTACATATATACACATGTCTAAGCACAGAGGCGATATTTTTCAATAAATAGAGCATTCGGGCAAAGGTCAGTTCATTTCTGATTTTACAAGTACTCACAATGCAAGAACTTGCAAAGCGTTTTCTTAAAATATTTCTTTTCGTATCGTTCACGTCTGAGTTCTTAAAAGCTCAACTGATTGAAACAGTGCCACTTTGGAAGCTTATCTCCAGTACAATTCAAACTGATACTCGCAATAGTAAACTCAATATCGATACATTAGGAGAGCTGCTGCGCGGAATTGATTACTTAAATTTACATTTATTTAAAGAGAGTAATTTGGAGAATGATATAATACAACAATTGCTTCAACAAAGTTTTTGTCCACTTCAATTGAGTGTTGGCCGAATAATGCCGCAACCTACTCCCAATCAACGACATTGGGCTTTGGTCACGTCAAGCGCAGATTTAGCTATGAACCTAAATGGGTATGCTTCTCGGAAGGGTGTACTAATATATATTTTAAGTGATCAAACTGATAAGTAACAATTACTGAGTTTGGCGCGTCGGCTATGGATTGAACGCGGTGCATTAAGGATCTTTTACATCATTCCAAATGGGAGCAGTGGTGGTTTTGATTGCTTCTTTTTGAATCCGTTTGTAAAAACTGGCGGACAACGTGGCGAAATGTCTCGTTTAGACGGGCAAAATTATCAGCGCATTTTTCAAAATCTTCATGGGTATCCCCTGCGTACGTACATTTTTCATTCTGTTTATTCAAATATTGAAGTATTTACCAACGAGACAACAAGAAAAATTATTGGAGCAACAGGTGCTGATGGAAAAGTAGCGGACTTGTTGGCAAATAAAATGAATTTCACAATGGATTTGCAATGGCCGGACGATGCGTTTTTCGGGTATGTTATTAATACTCGAATGTGCTCTTCTTATCTCCAATAAGTTTTATGTAGCAAGTTTGGTAACTTAATATGTACATACATATGTACAAGTATATGCAACAATAATTTTTTTTTTTTTCAAAAAAAACTTTTGAGTTTTATTTCATTTCAGTGGCTAACATTCCGCATTTAGAAATACTTTTTTGTAAAAGATTTGGTTCGGACATTTTCAAACAGTTCGAGCATTTGAACAACGAGCTCTCGCACCTGTTCAATGTTCACTCCTCGAGTATTTACGAACATTAACATAAGCATTTAAACTAAAATGTTTCTTATATCGAGTTTCTTCTCTGCACAAGTATCAAAAGATCTATATATGTATCTGTATATTATATATATATAGCTATATATATATATATCCAGTTCTGTATAAAATATACTGAGCTGGTTGATAACTTTTCTGAGATTTAATTATAAACGCAAAAACTATTTTCCATTGTTTCTAAATTATTGTTTTTATTAAAATAAATTTGGAATGTAGGATGAAAGTAAAGATCCATTTGATTAATTTAAATTTTCCAAATGATATATTCTAGCGCCACAATGAGGCTAGTTTGGGGCTAAGAAAGGTCAAAAGTAAAAAAAAAGAAAGATATTTTTCTCACAGCTGTGATTAACAAACCTTTTATTAAGAAAGACTCTGATAGTGAACGTGTGTGGACAGACTTAATGGCATAAATATATAATATATAATTTGTACTTCCAAAAAAAAAAAAGTTCTTAATTCATTGATTTTATTAAGTACACTACGAGGCCTTGTTGTTTGTATGAATTGAATATTTGTTTGTTTCACAAAAATGTAGAAGCGACAGCTGTTTCGGAGATCACCACATCTCTTCATCAGACTTCTTATGGCAGGGGTCGAACCAATGGATCCTGAGTTAACAGGCGAGTGTTCCACCACTGCGCCAACATCAGCCATATAATCTGTTGTTGTATTATTCAATTCATTATTAACCAACAACTATTAAGTGCGCTAATTTAGCCGTTATTTTCTTAACAGCTTGGTTAGTGTGTTGTGTTGGAATCCTCTATACTTTCAGGCGTTAATTGACTGATTGTATAGGCAGGATTATGTATCAGGTTCAACCTTTATATTTTATAATTTGTTTTTGCGGCTATGCTATATATTATTCTTAATTCGTTTTCTATACTTATCGAATCCATTGCTCGCAAAGCTAAGGTTTCAATTACTGCGGCCGCCGTTAACGCCATTTAATAAATAATTATTTTAATTGAACGAATGTTAAATGCTAAATATTGAAATATTTGATTAGAAAACTGAACCTCTCAGGATAACTAAGTTTTTATACTGAAAAGGGCGTTTAGCTAAAATAAATTTAATGAGCCGATATCTATTCAAGACTGTACCTGTCCATTCCTCAATATTTCTGAATGTTTGATATATTTTCATTACGACATACGTGTATTTATCAAAATTATTAATTTTTTTCAATTTTCTTTTGGTCTAAAGTATGTGCATATACTCTAACCAAAATACGAATATACGAATATGCAAAAGAATAATTACCCATTATTTATTTTGATACAGGGCCCGTTCAAGTAATGGCAGCTACAATGGCGCAATTGGTCGAATAGTACGATTTGAAACCGACCTAATTATAACAGGATTTTTCATAAAGGATTATTTGACACGTGATATTGCATTTTCTTCCCCCGTATACATGGACGAACTTTGTTGTTATGTGAAGAAAGCGAGTCGCATACCTCAGTCCATATTGCCTTTATTCGCTGTGAACGTTGACATTTGGATAACTTTTATATTTGTTGGATTTGTATGTCCCTTTATTTGGATGCTATTGAGATATCTAAATTTAAGCACTCTGGCAAATAGAGCAGCCTTTTCGCAACCCGAAAAGTTAAAAATTCAGGAACTTCGATATATAACTCAGAGCCATGTGCAACAATACAAACGCATCGTTATAGATGCCTGGGTAATGTGGGTACGTGTTAATCTCGTTTATTATCCCCCCTTCACATCGGAACGAGTCTTCATTGCTTCGCTTAGTTTAGTGAGTGTGATTTTTGGTGCACTTTTTGAATCGAGCTTGGCAACAGGATATATACGCCCACTTCACTATAAAGACATCAATTCCATGAAAGAACTTGATGAGGCTAATATACGTATATACATAAAGCATGCAGCCATGAGGGATGACCTTTTTTACGGCCACAGTTCAAAAATATATCAGAATTTAGAAAAAAAATTACTTCTAATCGCCGAATTAGAAGAACGTCTGATTAGAACAATGTCTAGAGGAGGCAGATTTGCTTCTGTTACCAGAGCATCTTCACTTGAACTCGACGACATACACTATTTTATAACGAACAAAATACATAAAATACCAGAATGTCCCAAGAACTATCACATAGCTTTTGTATTTCCAAGTCAATCGCCTTTAGAAAAGAACATAAATATATTATTACTTAAATTTGTTCAAGCCGGCTTTATTGATCATTGGATTGGTGATATGAAATATAAAGCAAAGATAAGAACTCGTAATTTCTCTGGATATTTGGAGGAGAGTGGCGAAAACTGGAAAATTTTAACGCTTAATGATTTGCAATTGGCTTTTTATACAATCATTTTTGGCAGCATTATGGCGTTTGTTGTGCTCGTAATAGAATGGATAATGCAATGTAGACGGAAAAACTTCTCCAAAAAAAACAAAAGTAATGCTTACATATAATATACATACATATGTACATATTTACATACGTACATATGTGTGTTGGTTGCGAAAAAATCACCAAAAGAAATTACTTAGTGAACGATCGAATAAATGTATGTACATATGTGTTTTAATGTGCGAAGTGAAACACTTAAAACTGAAAATAAAAAGTAAATTTGTGGTTTGAAAAGTAAAAAAAAAGAAATTTTTGAATAAATCCTCTCAAATAAAAGATTTGCTGTAAACATTCCTATACAAAAATTTCAAATCATATGTCCTTATCGTAGCTAATATAATGTATATATGTATACATTAGGGTGGGCCAAAAACCTAATCTATCGCATTTAAAATTAACATAATTACAGAGAATATGTATCTGCAAGTCAGGCTTTTTTGCTCAATTTCAAAGGGTATCGGTGAGCAATCATATTATATATATATTTCTAATATATTAAATAATATACTTAATAAAATCTGTTTCGTTAAAATTATTATTATATTTCGATTGCGCGTACCGCTCGACACCCGGGTATTTAGAGCTCTAATACATAAACTTCAATATAATCTGAAGCATGATATATTACACATCAGGTTATATTGAAGTTTAAGCCGATGGGCTCAAAATTTATTATTATCTAATATAAAAAATTCTCGTGTCACAGTGTTAAACACGATTTTAATGAAATTTCATGTGCATATTCTGATAATAACATAACATCTATTTTCCACACCGGGAAGAAGGCCTGAGACTGAAAATTTTAATTTATAGTTCGACTTACCATTTGGAATTTATGTACCTTTTGCTTAGTTTAGCAGGAGCATAACTTTTGTTTCCAGGAATAGCGAAAAAAGAGACATGTGGTTAATTTTTACTTCAATGAGAATACCGTATGTTGAAAATAATTTATAGTTTTTCCTAAATTGATAACGGCTGGACCGAAATAAAATTCAACCTTATTAAGAGAATCATGGGGACCTACTACCATATTGCTTTCTGCTGATCGAGTTCATTTCAATAATTCACATTCAGATTTGAGCTGTCTACATATATTTTATTATTACTCGTAATGTAATATAAAGGCATGTAGTTACGAGTAAGGCGAGGTAAAGTTCGTTGGGTCTGCTAGTGTACTCGTATATACATACATATATATTTACTTTTATTAAACTTTATTTTAAGTTTATGTATAATAATAAAATATTATTTATGTATTTAATTTAATCTAATTCATTTTAGTTTTCAATTATACTTTAATTTAACGAACTTCTTTATTTTTTTTTTTAATTATATTTTTCGGAATTTTATTCTCGTGTCACAGTGTTATACACGATACTCCTCCGAAACGGCTTGAAATTTGATGTGGATATTCAGTAGGTCTGAGAATAGCAAATATCTATTTTTACACCCCTAAGTGATATGGGTAGTCAACTCATAATTTTTTTTCCGATTTTATGGACAGACATTTTTTTTAATCTTTTTATGATGTGACATTACAATATACATATAACCCTAAATTTTCATCCTTCTATCACCAACCCCTAATTTTTTCCAACAAAAAAATTCCTATCCCAGTTTTTGGTAACTGCGCAATGTTATTATTATGCAACTACGGGTTACAAGCTATTCTTACGAGTACGCTTAAGCAAAGATCCGATTGCCATTTACGTGATGGGCTTTGAGTAGCGAGGAAAAAAACTTATTATTTGGTATTATATGATGCTTGATAAGGGTTTCTTGCCATTCTTTGTTATATCAATGCGTGTGGCCGGGTCTGCTAGTAGCGATTTTCGGTCGACACACCTACAGTTTATTCTAAGCCGGCTCCGAACGGCCGATGGATAACAGATAATGCCAAATGTTAAAATTTAAGTGTGCTGTTAAATTACAACGTAAACGATAAATTTGGTGCGTTTTGAACGCTGTGAAAATTTCAGCCGGTAAAATCTAGCAAATAGATATTAGTAGTACCTGATTTGTGATCATACGTGTATGGTTAAATTTTTGTCAACAAAACGAAAATTATTCGGCATTGAAAATTATATTCATATTTAAAAATGATTATCAAAAAGTGATTTTATGTAATTTGGGTAAAGTTAACCCATTCGGTTATTTGATTCGTTAATTAAATTAAATAGTAAAGAGACCCGTTACAAGGCATCTTGTTTGCATCGGTGTGAAAATTAATTAACTAGAAAGCATTGTCCAAGCAGAGGAAGGGGAATAGCTCAACTCTGTTTGAAGGACCAGGTAGAGAACGAACTGGCTGTACTTCGTATTTCCAATTGGCCCCAAACAGCAAAAAGAAGAAACGAATGAGGCAATTTTGTTAAATCGCCTATAATTGCGTAAGCGGTGTTTACGCCAATAAAGTTAGTAAGTGTCCACCAAATGAGCCGCAAAACATTGCGAAGCAAGGTGGTTGCTACGGTAACAACGACGATAACGCATTCTTCAGCTTCCGAAGCTAACGCCAATTCACAAAATGAAATGCTGAGTATGCTATGATTTTATTTAAAAATAATATAAGAAATTCGAAAGTGCTGAGTTATCATTACCTGCTAATACGGAAAAATACTTCTAAACTAATTTTCTTATGATGTATAGTAGTTTTCCGAATTAACGAACATTCGATTCAATGAAACCCGTATAATATAAATAGCGAATAAGATGACTTAGAGAGTACTCACTTTAACGCGTAAGCATCTGCATATGAAAGATAAAAAATAAATAAAGAAATCAAATCAACAACTAAATAAAAAAAAAAAAACGGAAAAGTCTTACAATTTTTTTTTTTTTGAAAGAAATAAAACAAGGCATACTTGTCGTTAGAGCGCGACAGTCGGATTTTCATACGTAACCGATTTTTATATGCCAAAGACTATCGCTTCCTAATATACACAGAAAACAAATTGGTGGAACATTGTCTATCAGTATTACTTGAGGTGCAGTTTTCCATTTTTTTAATTACTAGTTCTTAAAACCTTCTTTTTTAAATTTACTTAAGACCTAAAATATATTGTACTTTTGTTCTCTTTAACTTAAAAATAAATGGTTTATTTATTTAGTACTTGAGTTAACGAATTGGCCTGACAAACAGTATGTTGGTTAAATCGGAAAACTACTGCATTTGCTTCCTCCCTGAAAATCTAAGCAGCAAATTATTGCAAAGCTAGTTTTACAGAAATCTTCGTCCTTTTAGAGGACTATTAGAAAAATATATTGACATTCACTTTGTGACATGTAGAACTTCATAATTTTGAATAAAATTAATAAATTAAAAAATCCATAAAATAACTAATTTTATTAAAATATTTATTTTATGAAAATATAAAGCGGGAAACAATGAACTGTATAAATTAACGGATTTAAATGCAACTCCCAACAGCTGTTGTACAACTTGCTGTTAATTTTTACTGTTACCTGTTAGACGAAAACTCAGCAAATTTCTCTCTTTGGAAGAGTAAAATATCTTACTCCTCAATCTTGTTGCGGGCTATTTTTTACTGACATTTTTCCTAGATACATATATACATATAATTGCATTTTTGTTTTTAATCATTTTGCTTTCACAGTACAATGCTGGGTAGTTTCATTCTCTTTTTGCAGTGGACCTCGTCATTATTTGACATTAAAAGTGTTTCGATTTCTTCATACTAACCTCGTTTTGAGTCTTAAAACTTTGGTATCTCGATAACGAATAAGATTCCTTTGATGAAATTTATTTTGACAAAAAGTTTTTCCAGTCATTTATATACTTATGAACTCAATTTGAGATACCAAAATGTTAAACCAATAAAAACTTTGCCATAGTATATGTATAAATATTATATGTTGAACAAATGAGAATTTTAGGGATGATAAGCTTCTTCTTCAAGTCGGATGGGTGAAAATTTTCACAAATATACCAATACATATAAGTTAACAATATTATTGCAATAAATCCCCAACAATAAATGTAAGCAATATTGCTAAGTCATATTGCACATTTGGAAGTGATAATTTAAATAAGTAGAATAAAGTATATATATAGTAGTATATACACACATATATATATATATATATGTAGTTTTAGCACTCACCCTTTAGCGTAGTTGTTATTCCAGTGCTTGTGCTCGGCGCATTACTGGGAATAGAAGAAATAGCTCCTGTGGGCTCCCTGCTATCGTCTGATGAGGTATCTGCATAAATTAATTTAATATTAAAAAAACTGTAGAATGTCAATGAAAATCAAAGTAATAAAATTGACAGAAAGAAAAAGAATTAAAATCATAACTATTGTGCCATCTATGATATAAATCTTATAAATATTTTAATGGAGAGTTAACCTTAAGATACATACATTTCAGATGCCAGTTGTTGCATGGGTAAAAATAATAGTTTCACGACAGCAGGTTAAACTTGAAAACTATTATATATTAAATCAATCAAATACTTATTGAAATACTAAGTGTTTTTTACATAACTTTTTTTTTAACAAAAATAGTAAATTTACCGTCTAACTCAAAGCGATTTTATAGGTGTTTGAATTTGCCTTTAACTAAGCTTTTTTCGCGGCCACAGTAGCCGAATGGTTAGCATTGCGTACTAAGATTTGGAAAGCCCGGGTTCAAATCCAGGTGTGACCAACATCCAAAAGTTATAGAAAATTAATTAAAGAAAAAATTAATTTAAATATTCTAATTGCGGTCGCACCTCAGCAGGGAATGTCAACCACTCCGAGTGTATTTCTGGCATGAAATAAAGCTCCTCATAAAAACCATCAGCCATTCGGAGGCTGCTTAGTATGAACTGTAGGATCCACCATGTGTTGGAAAAACATCAAGACGCTAAACCATTAATTGGAGGAGGAGATTGGCCGAAAATCGCTTCAGCGGTTGCAAAACGCCAATTATAAATATATAACCTTTTTTCTTTCGAAAAGGATTGAATTGAATTTTATACATCTTTCAGAATCAGTTGATTTTACATTCTGTCAATTAGAGATTAATTATAGTTGAATAGCTACTTTGAAATTAAAAATCGATAGCTAATTCCCCAGCCTGAGTTGAAGAAGTTTACAACATTTAGCGGATTATTTATAAAAAAAATTTTTAAGTAGAAGCTAATTCCACTTTTAATTATCATTGCATACACACTTACCGCAAACGCTATGTTTTTTATATTTTTTACGTTGATAACGGTGACTGCTTGCTATACCCGCTACTCCCGTGGGTGCTTCTGATGTAATAGCGGTCATCGCTTGGCTAGATGAAGCAGCACTTGAGGTAGATGCAATATTTCCATTCAGCGCATCTGGATCAGTAACAAAATTATTTCTACGTGATAAATTGAGATCACGTCGATGAGATGATTGATGACGCTTAAGATGTGTTTTTGAGCGCATTGATTTGCTACAGCTGGCCTCACATTTTCCGGAGCCGTTGTCTCGTACTTTGAGAATTTTGTAAGGTCGTCTGTTACCTAGCGAAGCTCCTTTTATAGCTAAACGACGCAGACGACTGCGTTTAGTTGCAATTAAGTAAGCGATGCGGTTGGCGAAAGCGTGACGCTGCGGTTTGACTCTTTTTCTGGAAACTGATTTACGGCGTTTAATATCTGGAGAATGGCAAATGAAGAAAACCAATTTCAGTCAATAATAAATAGTAGTTTATATATGTGTAGACCTTTTCGTTTAGTGAACCGTCGTTTGACGTGTCTAGTTGCCCGTTCGCGCGTTACACTATTTTCCGTAGGAATGCTCTGTTCCACAATATTCTCTCTGCCGATCCCACCTTCTTCTGATACATTAACTTCTACGCTAATGCCTGCACTAACAACATTTCTACCATCACCGTCATCATTATCATCATCGTCATCGCTTTCATCATCTGGACTACTATCTGAACTATCATTAGAACTAAAACAAGAGTGGCTGTCGTCTGAATTATGCGATGAATCTGTTGAGCTGTCCGCATCCCAGCCTTCGATTTCCTGTTGAATTAATGAATCAAAGAATGCCATCATACGGGGATCCTCGTTTGTATTGCGACTGCTATAATCATGCGACATATGTGACCAGCTGTGTGGGGATGTAGACATCGAAGTAAAGTTGTAAGGTGAGTATAATTCTCTCGGATTTTCAGAGCACGTTGCTTCTTCCAACAATGAGCCCGACCAATCTTTCTGCGTAAAGGGACTCCAAAGCTGAAATATCATATAATTAAAGCTTTTAACAACCACAAATTTCTTTAAAAAAAATTATGTAAAACTACATCTATACATAGATATGAAAATTAATATTTAATATTTTAATCATGCATCTATTTCTTACTCACTTTAACAATTTTTTCAACGCCAGAAGAGGCTATAAGACATTTCTCCGGGTTATAGCGCACTTGATTTACGATAGAACGATGACCGTACAAGACCATTTGGGTGTTCTCTACCCACTGATCAGTCCGCTCCACTATTATTGAAATTACTTATTAAGAAATCTCCTTGACATCATTAAGGGGAAAGTATTTAACTTACAGTTCACATCAGATACACGCCATACGTAAAGATTAAAATCATCCGAGCCTGATAAGACAAATTCATCATTTTCGCCAGCAAAGGTGCAACTTTTCATAGTACACGAATTGTAATAGTTCCCATGGAAGAATGTACACACAGGCTCTGGTGATTGTGTATTGTAAAGTATTGGTGGTAAACGTCGGCGCAGCGCTAATATCAAGCTTCCATTTGAATTGAATCGCACACTCATACAACTTAGTGGATCATCTACATGTCCTCCATATTGAATAACTGGACTGTTAAAATAAATACGAGGTGTGTGAAATAAATTAGCGCAAATGCTTGCAACTATGCATATGAAAAATGAATGGAAAGTTAAGGACACTCCAAAAGTTTGGCCAGCTTTTAAAGTGAACAAATTAATTAGATCGATTTATATTTATTATTATGTTATATTTGTGCAATTCCTTACTGTTTGTGCATAATTGATGTAATTTTTTAGATAACTTTAATTAATGAAACTAATTCACATTGCTCGGAAGTCAACCGGTTTTCGAATGCACTGAAGTAGTAGTAGAAAAGTCTGTTTTTCTACGTTATATAATAGTCGAACTCTCAAAATTATTAAAGTGTGTTACCGCTATAGAAAATTTTTGAATTTGCGGCTAAGATAAATTTCATAGTGATTGATATATTTTTATCTATACTGATTACTACGAAGTTTTTAGAAACATATTTTTATTATGCCTACTTTTGGATCATCCTAATTCCTGACAAGTACATATTTGTGATATTTATGTTTATTAAGTGTTAAAAAAAACATACTGATGAGGTTTACGTATATCCCAGAAAGCAGCTCCTCGTTTAGAGTTAGCAGTTACCAAAAAATTCCCTCCAGCGGGGTGGAATTCGACTGCATGAAATGACGTATGCTGTTGAGCTACCACTAATGGATCGGCGACGTCAACGCGCTGATCGAATACCAAAATTTGTCCATCTTCACACGCTGTCGCAAAAATACTGTCACATTTAGGATCAATTGATAAACCATAAACAGGATTGTTATGTTTGAACACGTTAACAAGTTTACCACTGAAAGAGATGTTTTTAATTAATATATTAGTATTGTAGATTTCGTATTTTAATAAAATAATCAACTTACGTTTCAAAATCATGTGCAACCACCAGATCATCATTACCACCAGACAGAACAATACGATTACAACGATCAAAACCTAAGCAGAATATATTGCTAGTGTGTTCTGTTTGTAATATTCGCGGTCTGCCATGACGAGCAATAGCCTTTTCAATATCCCAGATAAGCACACGTTTGTCGTCGCCTCCTAATTAAACAATAAGTTGTATTATTAATAATTGTGATAAAACACTTTGCAAGACACAAGCTATTTATCAAAACTCATGTGCGGCAAATTTCGATCTCATTACAGTTTTTCCAAGTTTCCTAAATTATCTTAAATTTAAAAATAAGTATATATGTATGTTTGTATGTATATAGTGCATACATACTCGTATATATAATCTATATACATACATATATACATATATACATATATGTATGTATATTTACTTACGTACCTGATGCGAGATATTTTCCACCATTTGAAAATTCAATAGCATTCACACAGCCGTAATGAGCTCGCAAATCAGTCTTGAATAAATTTTTTGCAACACGATAACGCTCCGTAAATAAAAGTCCGGAAAATGTACGAGGGTTTCGTTGCGGCAGCAGGTTCAATTCTCGCTGCACTAGCTGATGGTAGATATTCGCACTGCCACCATATGTTGATTGGGTTGATTGTAACATTTTATTGTAAAAATTGTATTTAATTTCTACTCAACTTAATTCAGTATTTTGAAAGTTAGTGCACCTGCATCTTCTGAATATATAAAATCTATTTTATTTAGACTGCTGAAAAAATATAAATACATATTTATAATTTAATGTGCAGGTGGTTACATATAATAATAAAAAAACGTGTTATCATCTCCCTATGACGTACCAATCCTGTAATTATGTATTTTCTGGACCTGCTGGACGACGTCTAACAAGCAGATAAGTTAATTCATTTTAAAACCAATATATAAGATACAGTACGAGATGGTAGAGTAAGATTGATAAAGAATTCAGTTGTCCAGTTTATTAATTATTTATTTTATATGCCACAGGATTTTGTGCGTGAACTTCATCCTCTTTAGGTTATACACAATATCAGTTATTACAATTTACAAGAAGTTACAAGTTATCCATAGTAGGACGGACACAAAACAGAGCAAAAAAACTTGTCTCATCATTTCTCATATCCATGTACATAAGTATGTACATATGTACATATGTATGTAGGTTTATATGAAAGAATAGGTTATATATGTACATATGTATATACCTGTATCTTAGGTGAGAAATTTGCGATTTTTGAAAATACTATTTAAAGCGTGACCTTTTAATGGCGACGTCATATATGTATGTATGCACGTACATACATACATATATGTAAATAGGTAATTATGAAGATAACTATTAGACCTCTGCTGATTTACTTACTATAATTTATTTACATGAATGTGTAAGCTTTTATGTATGTATGTATATTGGTGATAAGAAATAAGAAATTGAAGGCGTCACCTCCTTAGTGTGCATCCTCCATTAGTCTCCTTGCACTGGGCTGGATTATAACCATCTGCAGAGGTGTAAAAGTACTATATAGCTGTATACAGCCGTGTACACAAGTAAATCTAAACACGCATATACATACTACATATGTATGTATCTAGATTTGAAAAGCATTTTGTAGATATGAATAATTGCAACAATGACATACGAGTATACTATGCATATATGTATGTATGTATATACTTACGGACTTGTATATAGGTATTTATTTCTGATACGAAGGAGTATTGTACATATATGAATGTTTGTATGTTCATGCTTTAATACATACTTGATTACACATCTTCCGAATTTCGGACTTAATTTATCTAAATCTATTATAACTTTTCATTTTGACTAGCATACACGCTTACAGTGCAGAGTTTTTAGTCATTTATGTTTATAAATTTATACATATACATACATACAGTTTCAGCTGTCTTCAGTATTTGGTATGTAGCTGTGTATGCCTGTTCTTTCTAAGGGAACATTATTCAGTTATACATATGTATTTTTATTTTTACCACTTTGCTTCACTATTTATGGAACTGAAAATCACAATTTGAATTCGGATAAACATATATGTGCATAAGGATACATAACACTAGCCACTTCTATAAATTATGCTGTTGACGTTGGATATTACAGTAGGAGCCGATAGACTACGTGATAATTTTTTAATATACACTTGTACATACATACATATGTTTAACTAGTCACATATGTATGTATTTCGATATTTAGATCGAAATTTTTTGGCTATTCAAATGAAATGTTATTCTCTCTGTTATATGCGATTTAACAAATAAAACTTCCATTTTCTTCAAACCACGAACAATTGTAAAATAAGAGACGTTTGTGAAAGAACACAGTATGGAACTACGAATATAATAAACACCGACGATGACGACAAAATAAGCCAGCCAACAATTGCTTCAGCTGAGAAGCCAACCTGATTGTTGGGATTTTTCAATGGTACAGTGGGCCTAGAGGGATGTAAGCCTTTTGAATCAAATGCGATCTTGGATTTAGAAAGAAACTTTCGGATATTTATAAAAAAAAGCATTTGACAAATTGCATGAAATGTGAAACATGTCCACAATTAGGCACAATTAATTTTTAAATTTATTAAAATCACTACTTGATATACTTTTCAGCCACTGTAATTTGTTTAAATGCAATGCTAAAACGAGATAGAAGTTGCGTGACAACAGCTGACTCTACAGTCAGAAAGAGAGATGCAGCTGCCCTTTCAACAGCTGATATTTGTTTATGTTTGACAACTACCAGATCTCTCATAATGAGGAGACATTTTTCAGTGGATTTTTTATTTATTTTTTATTTTGAATCTTACATCTGCGCATTGTAACTGAAAGCTGCTGAAAGGTTGTATATTAGAAAGTGAGTAGAAATTTCTCAAATGGGCCAATTAATTTTCGTGTTGGAAAGAAATTTTAACATCGTAAAAAATAAAAATTCAATTTTTAAAATTTATTTTTCAGAGCTAATGTATATTTGATATGTAATAAAACATGAAAAGATTAGATTTTGAAAGTGAAATATTATGAACACGAAAGCCGGACGCAAAAAAGTTTTAACGGTTTATTCATTGTTAAAGTTCAACCTTCCCGAAACTTATAAAAACTTTGCAATTCAAAACGAGCATTAATTTTTAGAAAAATTAAATAAGTTAGCAGTGATAATAAATAGATTAAATAAAAATATTGCATTCAAATTTTTTGAAAACATTATTAAATGTTAAATATATTAATTTTTTATCTGCAGCTGTTATATATAGTTTTAAGTACAGTAGTTACAAACAAACCAATAAAAGTACATACATATGTTTATGTGTGATTTATTTTCGCAACAGGAGAAGAGTTTTAAACTATAACGTTTCACAGTTGTAAAGCTTTAGGATTATGTTTGTGAAAAATATAGATATATCCTATGTTGAAGAGCCTTTTTTACTTTCCATTACGAAATATTAGCCAAATAACGTACTTATCTTTCTAGTCTCAGGTGCATATTTAAAAAATTTCAAATTCAAGAAAGCAAAATTAAAGAAAATATTTCTGCCTAAACAAAAAAAAAATTGAAACAATTTAAATCATTTGGTTAAACTACTCTAAATTTTATTTTATTGAACTTTGAACTATGGATAACGTTAAGATGCCATTTTGTAAGAATTAAGCTTTTTCTATATTCTAATATATACAAGTTTACACAGATGTGTATACATAAGCTGAATATAATTTTGTGAAATTACAGTACCCGAAGAGGCGCTCAAGACTCAGCGAGTTGAAGTTTATTTGAATGATCTAAAGGAACGGTTGAAAGAACTACGTGTTCAACACGACGAAGTTATTAAAAATTCAGTGGAGATAATCAAAGAAATCGACGAAGTATCGTCTGGGCTCTTGCATCCGCAAAACAACGAGCTTAATTCCACGGACAATGTTACTAAAATTAAAAGACTTATAAAAGAGTTCGAAACTGTGAAGGAATCAAATTCAAACAAAATGCCTGTGTCTATTGAAAGCAAAGTAGATATCCGCAGGATCTTACAAAATTTTGAAAAACTTAATGAAAGCCATGTGCTGAAGGAAAGTCTTGTTCTCTTAAAACGCGCTAAAGAATCACTAGAGAAAATCGATATTTTTCTAGGGACAAATTTAGAAAATGTTATTACTCAGTCGGTGCACGTTGGTCAAATGAACAAAACTTTTCCCAGTCCAACTGTCCCCACACTAGAAGTAGACCAAAGCAATGACTCTGTAAAATCCATGACTTCCGCTGGGTTGATTAAAGCCACAATTGAGATTTCTCCAAAGAAGTCTACTTCGTGTGATTTAGCGATTCCCAAAACTCAAACTTCTACTACTAGTAATTCCAGCTTGCAATATCGAATTAATTTGTTCAATAATGAAAATACGGACCGCAATATGTCATGCATTAATGCCAAAAAAATTACGCCATCATGCTATGCTTCCTGCTGTAGCAGTGTTACGAGTATAGATGTATATAAATCCACAGAAAATTTTTGTACGCCCAATTTGAGTAACGAGGGCAGTTATGTTAACTCACTTGAAATGGGCTATGAAGGCGACAATGACGATAGCGAGTATGACTTGTTTGCTCTTAAACGAAAAAAAAAATAAGATTTTGTCGTCAAATCAACTTAATTAGAGCATGTCACTGAACAGGGTTTAAAAAATTACTTTATAAATCACGACGTTACATTATAAAAATTTATATAAAAAAGTTACTAATTTTAGAACAGAAGCGAAATAAAATTTAGAATGTGTACGTATAAATCTTCAGGCAAAAAGCAGAATGATCTTTGGTATCCTCAAAAACTATGCATACGTATGAACCATTCTCATTGTGTTAATATAAACATGTAACATACGATTAGCGGTTACATTTTTGTAATGCCAACTGTGGTGGGAATCCATGATCAGAAGTAGAAACTGGTCGTCTTTGTATTGTGTAGTAGCTTAATTGAGAAATAACCTTCTTTTAAGTGGTTTGATCATGAATGCAGAGAAACAGTTCGTAAACGAAAAATACAGTAAATTCTGTTTTGTTTTAGAAAATATCATACATAAATTTTTTTAAATTAATATTATAGTTATTTATATTCTTTCGATTTAGTCTACAGATGGCCAAACAAAAGAAAGAAAAACGTATGCAGGCAACTCTCAACTTTATTCTTTAAATGCGCATTTAGTGTTTTTCATATAATGTAGATATTGATTTTACTTAATTGAATCAATAAATAAGAGCAACAGAGTTTAAATTCAATATAACATACACACGCATAAAATATTTCAAGTAGGTACATGATTTTTATAAGTACATTCTTTCGATTCACAGATATTCATTATTACTTATGATGTGCAAAAAACCACATTATGTTTTCGAGCATCAACACTCAGTATTCGCTTCGTGAAAAATGTCAGTGAAATTTATTAAAATAAATATTAGTATAGCTCCTAACAAAGAACCAATCTGGGTTAGACCACCGGTCCATACCAGTGACCGACCTCCCTGAGCACGCATAATCGATGAAATGGACAGCTTGGTGTAACTTACTAGGCCAACTAACAAAGTCCAGGCAATAATCTTTAAAAGAAAAAACAAGGTTCAACGATTACTTACTGAAGCGACTTGGGTTTGGTACGTAAATATATGAGGTATATAATACTCACCGTAATAGATGAACCAGCAATAGTACCATGTAATGGCGGCAATGGACTCATACAAGCGATAACAAATACATATAATGTTAACGCGGTGCATAGGCAGCTCAACACATATATGGGCCTCAACGAAGTATGGGGTATAAAAATCGCCAAGAAGCATGCTACAGGATTAGCAATTACACTTAAAGTTACCGATAAGTGATATGCTGAATTGCCATATGGTAAGCTTGAGTAGGACTGTATTGAACTGAACATACCATTGGCAAAGAATGATAAGCATCCAATAAGTAACAGTAATAAAATATATTCTCCTTGGGAAATTTGCGTGTGATCTTGTTTGCCAGATACATCGGTAACATTCCTTTGGTCTTCACTACTAGTTGCGTTGTTGTCTTCATATTTGTAACTATTTCCAAAATCGATTTGACCTGCAACATATTCACGTTTGGCTAATTTAAGACGATCCAGTAGTGTAAATGCAATTACACTGCAAACAAATATAACAAATATAAATAGGAAGAATTCCATTGGGCTGAAACGGGGAGGTTGTGTTTCCTTCTCGAAGATCTGACCTGCCTCAGTGTCATTCACTAATATGCATTCAGCGTCACCGCCTATTCCTTGCACAAGTGATACAACGCTTGGTAATAAGCCACTTAATCCTTCCCCAACAAAATACCTAGTAAGGAAATAAATAATGATTGATAATTGATTAATAACATTATTTTTAAGAGGTTAAGTTGTAATTACAAGAATACACAATATATTTTCATATAATTTTTTAAAAACGTTAAAAAAAGAAAAAAAAAAATAAAAAGAAAAGTTTTACTTGCATAAAATTTCTCCACTTACGTCACCAAGTATTTCTCCTTAAAACGCCCCATGTAGGGCATGAAAAGCACCGAGCTCGTGCATGCTGTAAGTGCTGATATAAAGGTTAGTATATATAAAGCTAAGCTCCGTTCTTCGCCAAATAAAAACACTGTCTTTTCATAGAAGAAACTGGTGAACAAGGCGGACATTGTGCCCAATACTAATAAAATATAAATAAACAACGCATCGCTTATTCTGCTCTTCGAAAAATGTTGTATTAAAGTATATGTAATAGGACCAATATTGCCTACTTGCACTGCGACGCTAAGGTAGGATGCTAAGCTCCAGCTTTCCGGTGCATCTTTTACCAATAACGGTACTTGAATAAAGGTGCCTGAAAAAAATTAGAATAACATAAGAGTATTACAGATTCTAATATCATGTATGTAAGTAGAAAAAGATATTTACCATTTACCCCCAACCACGTGCCTATGCCAAAAAATATGGCTAAGAGATCTACTATCAAGTTCCGATCTTTTGTTACATTCATATTTTCCCGAAATTTTTTCCGACGAGGTAAAGAGGAATTTCTGGAAAATGTTATTATATTATTTTACTTAAACATTAAAAAATTACAACTGGTTTTTCGTGTCTACCATAAATTATTGTTAAATTAGAACTGATGTATGCTGGAATACTTACGCCAGCTTTTGTAAGCAATTTTGCAATTATATAATATATTATTTGTGGCTAATAAATAAAGAATTTTTTGTTTGTTCGAAATACAATCGCTTTATCTGTTGAAGTGCGAATGTACATACATACATACATATGTACTTAATATATTCATTTATGCATTATGTGCGACCAACATCCAAAATTTATAGAAAATTAATTTCAGAAAAAAATTAATTTAAATATTCTAATTGCGGTCGCCTCCTCATAAAAAACCATCAGACGTTCGGGGGCGGCTTAGGTCCCTCCGTTTGTTGGAAAAACATCAAGACGCAAAACCACAAATTGGAGGTGGAGCTCGGCGGAAAATCGCTTGAGCGGTTACAAAGCGCCAATTATATATAACGGTATAAAATATGTATTTAATTGTTTATGTTAACAACATAATTGGTGTTACAATTTTCCTTCTTGGCATTCTTGGCATCCAAATGTATATGTATGAACATTAAGAATATTGAATTCCATCTAACTTTAAATCAAAGGTCAACCTTCCTTTTTTTACATATTTTACTTAATAAAAATAGGAAGCAAACATATGAAGGAATATATGTAATTAATATTAAAAAGAAAACGTTATTTTGTTGTGCCTCTCTAAGGAGTATGCATATATAAGTACAACGGTACTTACGTATATTCACACACACATGTAATATGTCCGTTGAAATGTCTAATACGAAATTTTGATTAGATTTCTTGTACTTTCTAAATCGGCTGGTTGATATGTTTACAACTTTTATTTATCACTTTTAGTATCAAATAATTTGCAATGACAAAGTAATAAACTTTAGCTAAATTTTTGGCCTAATTTTTCCTATATCTGGGGTGTAGTGTGTGGGTACGACAGGTGTGACATATGTACTTGTATGTATATAACGCAATTTATATAAAAAAGGAGAAAAATGTAATTATTTTTTTTGTCGTTTTATGCTTTTCGAAGACTCCTACATTTCTCTTACAATAATCACTCTGAATATTAAATAACAAAAACTTATTTATTATGTTTCCTTAATTAGCAAATTAGTATACCTTCGTTGAATGAATTTTTTGGACTATGAAACAAAATATTAAATTTTTTTTCTTTTCAGGGCTTTTGAAAACAAACAAATTCGTTTTTGTGTTTTGTTTTCGAAAAATTAAGTATTTAACTTCTCTTGTATAATTGTATACCTTCATTTAAAATTGTATGTCTTCATATACAAGTTGTTCATATTAATTTTTGAAATACAATGCATTATTACTAGTTTAATGTGATCAAATCAAATTAACGAAAATTGGAGTGATTATTATTTCAAGATGCTTGCATATTGAATAAATGTGTGCGTATTTCTATTTAATATTATGAGCAAGAATGTCTTATTAAAGTAATGCTGTTTGAATTTATGAATGAATATAAAAATATTTTCTGATTCTAACTTACTGTAGTACTCAAAAATACACTTACTGGTTTAATAAATAATTACTGCCTAAATCGTAACCCTCTGTTAAACGCGAAGCAGTCAACCTTTCCGATTGCGATGTTAAACATACTGAAATTGCCGCCTCTTCGCCAAAGCTCGCCAACGGATTTTCAATTTCGTCCAAATTTGCATTATTTCCATATCGCTGTTGTTGTATTTGTGTTACCGCTGATAATCGTTCCCTTTGCGGCCTCGGCTGATCGTAATCATTGGACAGATTACTCCACAGTTGTTTGTGTGTGGATTCACCGGTAACTCCATTCTCGCACATACCAGAGTGTTTATAGCTATCAGTGTAAGAATTGTTACTCAAGTTTTAAACTACATATACATGTGTCAACATTCTTATATGTACATACTGGAAAATATTCTCTCAGAATTATTTGAAGCTGTAAATGGTTTTCTGTTTGACCGAAAGATAAGATGTTATCTTTCCTGATAATATATTTGTGTTAATATTAACAGCATATTTAATTTAAACTGATATTTGTTTTCAGTCCTGCGTTCTACTCTGAGGGAAACAGACAGTTTTTTTCAATATAAACTCCTTTACAGTAACCACGGCATCAATGATGTAACCTTTGAACGTAAGCCAAAAATCAGTCCATACATGTTTTTATTTGTAGAGGTTAAACTTCGTTTAAATGGTAAAAAAAAATACTTCAATATCTTAAAACCGTATTTACTTGTAAGAATTGATAATAAATGGCTCTTTCAACGATGTACATAAATTAAATTTTGAATTTTTTTTTTGCTTAAGACTTGATTTGATTGCCTCTATAAAATATGGTATTCATTAAATTGATTTAAACTTTACATGATGTTCTCTAAGAGATTTTAAATCTTCTTATACAATTTGTAAGTGTGCACGTGAATAGATATGCATATGCAATTGGATGTATGCGATGCCGATCTGATTCGATTTAATTGGTGTGACACGTTTATTCCAATATGAATATCTCTTTTCGCTGATGTTTTGCTTGTTTTTTGTCAGAGATAATTAAATTTAATTTATAAACTAAAAATCAGCTGTATCAAATGCTTCTTCAGCTCCTATCTTATTCACAATAATATACGTGCTTGAGATATAGTAAACGTGTATTATTATACGTTCTTAGTTTTCAATGTCTGAGATTTTCACCACTCGAATTAGCAACTTCCCCAATAAACTAAGTCAAAATTTCGCTCTTTCATTTCAAATTTTACTAGATTTTTGCATCACAAGACGTAGTTCAGTAAAAATTATCACTGCCCATCACCTCACCAAAGATTGAATAGAGATCAGATCACGTGACATGCATATGTTATTTAATTTTCAACTAAAATTCTTTGTTCCATTAATTCAACATAATATAACGTAAAACCAAATAAAGTTCATCTTATTTTAACGAACGATATTTAAAGCACTTTATAAAAATATTTGTGACCATTTACATCAAACGCCTTTTGTACGGTTATTACGCACAGACCTGTCTATACCAATCTTTACTATCTCTACAGCGCGGATTGACACACATTGGACAGCGAATCAAGAACTTAGGGTTTACAGTTTGAGTTTCCTTCAGATGATCAGCTACAATAGAGCTTAGCGCTTCAATAAAAAGGGGATGATCATTGGGAGCGGCAGCGCGTCTTATTTCTTCTACACCAACCTATTATTTGTATATACACATTTAATTCAAAATTTGATGTTATTACAGACAATTGATTATATGGGATTACCTCTTTGGCTAATTCATCACAATATTCAATATCCAATTCATGTAAAGTTTCAATGTGTTCATTTACAAATGCAATGGGTACGAGGATAAAGTTTTTTCGTCCTTGTTTTACATAGGCCTAAAGAAAAGTGGATATAATCATACCAGCAAATTCATAGAAGTATCCTTACTTTAATGACATCATCAGTAGCTGGAGCAAGCCAAGGCAGGGGACCAACTTTTGATTGCCACGCCAAAATGTAAGGGTTGGATTTTCCTAGCTCTTGCATAACCAAATGTACGCTGGCACCTACTTCAGATGGATAAGCGTCACCTCGGTTAACTGCTTTCAATGGAAGAGAATGCGCGGTAAATAGTATAACAACGTCCTTACGCTTAGTTTCACTAAACTTATTCAACTCTTCACGTATGCGTTCAGCAAATGTTTTAATCAAAAGTGGATGTGTCGACCATCGGTCAATTACGCTGAGTTTGATATTCTCAGGAAGGGAACTAAAATGCATAAGTTACGTAAAATAAAAATTCATTTTTTAACAATTATTTAGAAAATACGTACTGTTGACGGTAATGTGAGAATATTGAATTAAAGCTTGATCCAGACGTAGCGCAACTATATTGCGGATACTGGGAAAAAAGTACTACTCTTTCGGGTGAGTCCCTGTGAAATAAATTTTAGCTATTATTTTTTAAATAAAGTTTTATAATATAAATATATTGTGTGTACTTTACTTTTCAATTTCCTTTAATGTGTCTTCGGTAAGTGGATTTACATAGCGAAATCCAACATAATGTTTATGTGGTGCCGATTCAGGACATTTACGATCTAGTTCTTTGCACATTAATTCGCCTTGCAAATTTGTCCATTTCAGAATAGGAGAACCACCGCCAATTTCTTTATATTTTTTCTGTACTTCAGCTGTACGTCTCTGAGCAATCCATGGCCCAAGTCGACTTTGAACCGGCAGTTGGATCATGTCTCGATCGGTCATAATTCTCAATAAGTACTCATGTACCTGATCTGTGTGTTGTGGACCACCCATGTTTAACATAAGTATTGCAGTTTTGGGCTTTACAGATGTTGAACTGAATCGTAATGGTAACGAAGTACCAAGCGATTTTCCAATTCCTACAATAGCTCATTCAGTTTCTTACATATTCAAAGTATTATTTCATTACTATTTCGCTTACTTGCTAACAAATTTCCTTTATGTAACATTATCGACCAGGAAAACACTGCACCCAAAACCAATAAATACAAAATGTAGAAGTTATATTTACAATAAAAAAACGATGTCTATGCAATTTATGTTACACAAAGAACCGGAGATATTTCTACGATTTTCTTCTTCTTCTTAAGTGTTTCATTCAAACTGTATGGAACCATTTAGGCCCGTTTTCACAAAGACCGATTAAGTTAACCTTTAACCGTAGGTAACTAACTGTCAGATAGGCCTTGTGGCATTTTCGTTTTCACCAAGTTCTGGAAAAGAACGTATATTAATATACGTTCTTGGTCCCTTCTTATTAATATACGTTCTTTGACTATGACTAGAAAAAGAAGAACTTTTGTTGGGTGGAACCGAAAAAAAGATATTTATACAAGAGTATATGCGAACGGGGCTTCTTTGGCCCCAAAATTCCCAAAATCTAAGTTTACCAATACATATCTGCTTATAAAGGGTGATTTTTAAGAGCTATAAGAAAGTTTAAAAACAACTCATAAAAGTCAGAAAAAGGTATCCCATCTTTATTTGAATCGATAGAGCAGTCCATATTATTTTATGTATGAAGATTATTTCATGCAAATGTTGACCGTGACTGCGCTTCAAATGGTCTATCCGCTTAGTCCAATTTTGGCATACCCTTTCCCACATTACGGCCGGTATCTCACGAATAAATACTTCAATGTTGTACTCCAATGCGTCAATTTAAGCTGGCATGTCTTTATAGACATAAGATTTAACGTAGCCCCAAAAAAATAGGCTAAAAGCGATAAATCGCATGGTCTAGGCGGCAATATCACATTAGAAATATTTATTTATTATTTATTATTAGAATGAAAAATAAGGCTCTTAAACTTGTGTAATCTCTTTAAGTCTTCGTTATTGCAGCATAATTTTAGGCTATTTGGAATTTTGTTATGACCTATGCTAAAAGCATAAAAGACGACCGTAGTTTTTTAGTTTTATGGGCGATTATGAAAAGTATGCTGAGATATGATCGGAATGAATTTTCTGCTAAAAAACACCTTTCTTTGGCAATTTCAAGTGTGTTCAATTTATTTAATTAATTTTATTTAATTTTATTTAATATAATAGAAAAATATAAAAAATATTAAAATATAAAAAAAAATTATTTTAAAAAATCACTAAATATATTAAAACTTATTTAAAAAGTTCGATGTAAAGAAATAAGTTTCAGAAATATTAAAATTTAAAATATTATAAAAAAAATTCTAGACTTTTCATTATGAATGATTGGAATTATAATTGTATTTGTTGCTAATAGTGAATATTATTTGAGATTTTGTCAATACTTTTGTCAGCGATCTAAATAAATAACAATTCTGCCAACGAAAGTGCAAAGTGATCAGTTTTGGTTTGCATCGATTGACTTTTGTCCAAGCTGCGCGGGTTCAAATCCTTCTCTCGATTACTTTTCGCGTTTTATTTTTTGAAATTGCTAAATTTTAAATCGTCGCCAAGGAATTGCTTGTTGATTCGGTGTGCGAGGGAAAAGAAGTTGGCATACTTTTGTGTATGAATATGTTTGTATTTTACTTCAGCTCAACTAGAATTTCTGATTTTTGCATATTTTGCCATCGTCGAAATGAAACTGCTTGTCGATGGCGGGTATAGGGAAAGAGAATAGGCAAGTTTTTGGGAATGTGTGTGATTTTCGTATACACATTGGTCGCTTTGAATGTATGTGTGACGCGAAGAAATCGTTTGTGGATGGCGGGATGAAAGAGGGAAGAGCATGCGCGTTATTATGATTGTGTGCGTTTTTCGTATACATATTAAAATGCTTAAATGTATGAGTTTTCACTTTGGCGTGAGTTGAACATCGAATTGAGATTTTTAGCAAAATTTGGCTTCGCTTGAGAAAACTGTTTGTCGATGAAGTGTAGAAGGGTAGAGGGTTTTTTTGTTATTGATAGTATGAATGGCCTGCGTTTAATTAATATTAAAATAAAAATATTTAAAACTAATTAATATCAAATAGCTATTAATTTTATGGATTATTAAATTAAATTTTATGGATTATTCAATCCAAAAATCTATCATATTTTATCCACCGCCAAACATGCTTATTTGCGTACATATGCACAACATTACCATGGCAACATATATGTATACATATGTACATATATGTCGCTTAGTTGAAATTGCAAAAAATATTGTTCGCATCGTCAACAAAGCGTTTGTATGTAAGCGAAAGCAATACCTCTCCCCGCGCGCAGCTCTTCCACAAGCCACAGCTCACAAAAATCAGAAGTTGAAGAAATTTCTGTACCCGCTACGTACAAACATACTCTCGATAAAGCGAACAAATGTATTGCAATTCAAAAATTAATGTTCCCTAAATGCCCTCAAACCATAAGATTTTAATAAATATAATTTGAATTCAGATCTAAAAGAGTTCTCTGCTTCTCGTTATTTTAAGTTCTCTGGAGAAGGTGCAATTGACTTTTTGTTCGATGCTCGACTGAAGTTTCTACAGAGCTAGAAAATCTCGGGAAAGGGATTCACCACTCTGTTAAAATTTGGCTGTAAACTAACAATTTCAGCGAGGTACTGCGACTATTTAATTTTCCACAACAGAAAGATTTGGAGAAAAAGTGGAGGCAGAATCTCAATATTTTACCTACGGACCACCTGCCACCTTGCAACTCGTACGTATGCGAGAAGCATTTTACGGAGGAGGAGGTGGGATCGCGCTATTTAAAGCCGAATGCTGTGCCAACATTGTGCCTTGGTAAGAGTTTTGTTATTAACAATAAGTATACATATATTTTGTGGTACATACATGTACATATGTACGTAAATGGTTACGGGTTTTGTGTGGCATGATGGTATATACATATGTATGTAGATATGTCTGTGTATGCATGCATAAGTTTTTGGCGCACTTATGCACGTATATGGATATGTATGTAGTAAGTATGTATATTCATTTGTTAAAACAGACCTTTTATTAATTGGGGTATGCGACATAGTATGTATATTATATGTATTAGAATATACAAAAATTTACAGTGATGATGATCGCAAGGATAACATGGACCAGTATACAAAAATATGCGATCATGAACACTACGCTCAAGTGGCGCGGGCCTATCAAAGAAATGCCCTAAAGCAGGATGAAATCATAAGGGAGCTTAGGGCTGAAATAGCTTCCATGACAAATAAGTATAATACCTTGGAGAAAAGATCCATTAGTTTTAGCGCGGATGCAAGCAAACACGCGATCACATTTGCAAAAATGATTTTGAATACCACAAGATCATATACCGAAGAGGAAAAAATATTGGCTCAGAACGTAAGCTATATGTCTACAAAAGCCTACAATTTCATGAGGGATGATTTGTTGTTTGCCTTGCCTCATAAAAAAACACTGCTACGTTGGCGACCTATCCGTTATGTGGCCCCAGGAATTGACAAAAATGTTCTGGAGAACTTGGAGAAGATTGTCAAGGATATGACTGCACAGGAGCGTGTATGTCAAATCATTTTTGATGAAGTGGCAATCAAAAGAGATTTGACATACAACAAAACGCGGGATGTCATAGACGGCTTCGTGGATAACGGACAAGGTCACCGGGAAAACGTTGTTGGAAATAAAGCATGTTTTTTTATGTTGAAGGGCATCATCTCGAAATGGAAATATGTGCTTTCGTACGTTGTATGCAAAGAAGGGCTGAAAGGCAACCAATTGGCGGAACTTTTGGAAAAGTACGTTGATACCGTCGAGAAAATTGGTCTGTGCGTGAAGTCCTTGGTTTGCGATAGAGGCAGCGGAAACATGGTGTTGATGAGGATACTAGGAATAACGCCAGAAAAGCCATATTTCTATTTGAATAAAAAAAAAATATTTTTCCTCTTCGACTATGTACATATAATTAAATGTGTTAGAAATACACTGCTTGTAAGGGATTTAGAAACTGTGGATGGAACGGTCTCCTTTAAGGTGATTAGGAAATTATACGAAATTGACCAGGACAATGTCAATTTTAAAATTTGTCCGAAGCTGACCCGCGCCCATATCGATCCAGGTCCATTCGACAAATTGAGCGTGTCGAGAGCGACGCAGATATTCAGCAATTCGGTAGCTGCCGGAATTGGTATGGCCATTAAGCAGGAGCTTTTTGGAAAAGATCTACATACGCGGAAATGCGCCAAGGCAACCCAGTTGTTCGTGAAAAGAATGAACGATCTTTTCGACGAAGTAGATTGCAAGACATTGTACCATCCCAACCCATTTAGACAGCCAATGATGAGAAATTGTGATCAAAAAATCCAACGCCTAGAGGACCATATAAATTTCTTAAATACGATAAAGAGACCGCAGAATGTTCAGTGTTTTGACTCATTTGTTCAGACTATAAACGGAATGATACAATTGAGCAGGGATTTGTTCAAAGTAGACAAGAAAGTTTCGTTTATACTGCTGGGAAAAATGAACCAAGACGCACTTGAAAATTTCTTTTACAGGGTTAGAGCTAATCTAGGTATTAATACAAGTCCCTCAGCATATGAGATACAATATATTGTTGCGAGGTTGGTCTCAATGCACATTTTGCGTAGAAAGTTTTCAAAAACTGGAAGCAATTGCGAAGAGGATGATGATATAAACCTTGATTGGAATGTTGCCCAGGATGATGAAGAACACGTTAACTTGGAGCCATTGGAGCAAAATGCCGTGGAAAATGTCTATGTTCCAGATGAGCATTTTGCAAATGTTGAAAAACCAGGCGAAATCCAAGTTAAACGATACTACACTGGGTACGCGATATACAACAAGGTGATATGCAAATTGCGATGCGAAAAATGTGTAGAAACGATGAGAAGTAGAATTAATGCCCTAGATAAAAGTTCGGAAACTCTAATTCTGGAAAAGAATTTCAAGGGAGCAGATGATTTGCGGCTGGTAAATCCCGAAGAAAAGCAGTTTGAGATCAGTCGGATGCAAATGGGAATTTACAGTGAAATATTCTCAAAACACGCTGAACGAATAGGAATTAGGCAGTTTATGTTGTCGGCAATAAGGAGAAAAACAGAGGCAACATATCCCGAATGGTACCTCGAAGCAGGCTCCTGTTTAGATCACAGGAATAAGTTTTTGGATTTTTTGATTACTGTACTGCTTTACAAAAACGCAAAATGGTTGGCGAGACAGGGACTCGATATGCACAGGGTAAAAATAAAAAATAAATTTTCAACTAAGTAGTTCCAATCCCTTCAAATTACAAGCTAGACGAAAATTTGTAGGCAACTTCCAACAAGTAGTATTATTATATGTATACGTTATATTATATATTAATAATAAATTTTATTTTCTCGTTTCAGAAAAGCTATTTTATACATACGTGTATACTGTATGTGCCTTAAATATGATATTTATATATAGATATTGTCATTTCAGATTACTCTTGGAAAACCTTGGGATGTTTGTAGAAATGAATGCTGTAGTATTATTGTTAATTGTTTGTTGTTATTATAGTTTTGTAGTTTTTGTTTTTGTTTCTGTTACTATTATTGTTTATTGTTAACTGTATTGCAATTGAAGTATTACTAGAATATAAGTAGTTGTTGTTATTAGTAGCATGTAAGTAGTATGACACTCACGAGCCAAGTTTTGTAAATCAGTAGACATATGATTTTTGAATGTTAAATCATGATTTATAAAACTGGTGAAAAAAGGTTTAATCTTAATAGATTAGGCCGTGTGAGAATTTGCCTAAGGATGCAAGGCAATTCGAAAATCGTGTCTAATTAAAAAAATTTATTTGTTTTTACTTTGAATTAATACATTTTCCTTCTTTTTTTCATTTCAGATTTTTTCTTTATTAACAGCTATATTTTTGATTTAATAATAAATTGAAATATATTTCTGAATAAAATTAATAAATGAATCACCAAAGTGGTTGAAAAATCGTTTTGTTATTGAATTTGGAGTTTTAGTTCATTTCCATATGATAATCGTATTGATGTAGAAGCAAAATTACACACATGCGCACATATATTCTTTTGCATATTTGTCTGTTTGTATAAAAGAAAAATATATGTCGTATATTTATACAAAATTGAATGATTTGCTTCTACCCTCAAACCACCATCAATTACCTAATAAGATAATTAAATTTCAAAGTAGTCTGTGGTACGATGGTTATACTGCTTGCACAGCGTTTTTAAGTATTTAAGTTCGAATCTCCGCAAGGGAGAAATGAGTTTTTAACTTTTTCTATAGAGAATTATTTTGCACATTTTTCCAACGATTGCCGAAATTGTAAAATGACGAAGCAGTATTGCGAAGTAGTGAAGAAGACGCTCGTACATTTGCCGTGATGTGCATGTGTGAATGTGGTTGTATTTCACTTCAGCTGAACTTGAAAATCTGATTTTTGTCAATTTTACCATCGTCGAGAAGAAATAACTTGTGGATGGCGGGTATAGGGGAAGAGAATAGGCAAGTTTTTGTGTATGTATAGATTTATCGTATATGTACACTTTGGTCGCTTTGAATGTATTTGCGTTCAACTCAGACCAACTAGAAATTCTGTTTTTGCAAATTTTGTCATCGTCGCGAGGAAACTGCTTGCTGATGAAGAGTAGAAGAAGGAAGGGCAAACACATTATTGAGATTGTATGCGTTTTACGTGTACATATTAAATTCTATGAATGTATGTGTTTTCACTTTGCCATGAGCTCAACAGCAAATTCCGATTTTTAGCAAAATTCGTCTGCGAAACTGTTTGTGCGTGAAGGGAACAAGGGAAGAGAGTTCAGAAAATGCTCTATATGGATTGGTTTTTTTGTATACGTACATATAAGCAACTTCTGAAGAAGCATTTTGTGAATGAAAGGCAAAATAATGAAAGGTTTGTATGTGATTTTTGGTTTTGTTGCTTTATGCTTCTTCGTTTTATGGTCATTGACCGACGCATTCGCTATCATGATTGAATATTTGCGTTTGAATGGGATTACAAGAATATGTGCATATGTACGTATGTATGTATGGGATATACAAATATTACAAAAAATATGGTTATAGTTTCATTAATATGACTGACTGAAATAACCTAATTTAAATGTGAAATGCATTGATTTATTCAAAATCTTATGATAACCGCGCATATGTATATATGTAAGTACATACATAAAATTAAGTTTCGCTCTTATGTTGAAAAAAATGTACATTATATGTCTACATATTTATTTATGTGTCTACTTATTTCATACATATAGACGTAAGTATATCATTGCCATGGCAATCAGTAAAGCGAATACAATATTGAAGTACACAAAAAATAATTTGCAAGAAAGAAGAAGTGAGAAGCGATTTCTATTCGCATATTAGAGTAAGTATGCAACTATGCATTCGGCAATTAACAAGTTTAGTGGCACAGATGGTAGCATGATGCCACGGTTTTCGATTTTGCCACTTTTGGCGCGGGTTCAAATCTCAATAAGAAGCAAAACAAAACTTTTTCCTTTTCAATTTACTTTTTTTAAATATCAATAATTTAATTTTTGATATTTTTCAAATGATTTCTTAATTAGTGAAATCTTTCGTTAAACACAAAAAACACATAAGGGAATTTTTTTAAATGAATTATATTTCACTCGTTCGCTCATGAATTTTTCCATGGGATCACAAAATTTACACACTTATTTAGGTTGAAAAGTGTAGGGAATATACCTAAATTGTTTGACTGTTTACAAAAATACCCAAACATTTTATTTTTTTCATCCATCTGTAAATATCATTAGTCTTATTTCTTTCTTCTCTTGTAAGTAACATTTTTCTCTATGCTAAATCGCCCGCAATAACAGCTTTTTCTTATGTTAAACCAACAATTCTGTTAGTTCACAGCCAATTTTTAACAGAGTGGTGAATCCCTTTCCCGAGATTTTCTAGCTCTGTAGAAACTTCAATCGAGCATCGAACCAAAAGTCAGTTGCACCTTCTCGTTATTATAAGTTCTCTGGTTCTCTGCTTCTCGTTATAATAAGTTCTCTGCTTGTGTAATCTCTTTAAGTCTTCGTTATTGCAGCATAATTTTAGGCTATTTGGAATTTGCTCAACGTGCGAAGCGATTGAAACCCGGACTGATAAGCATCTTGATCTTTTTTTATTCTCATGAGGATGTCCAATTTTCATATAAGAAATATACTAAAATTCAATCTGGGTTGAGAATTACTGAAAAGCACGTTTACAGGCTGTCATATGCATGTAAAGACGTATAGAGTGAGTTACAGACATTGAATACAACACTCTATTTTTAGGGTTGAATCTGATATTCACTCAAAACATCGCTCCATTTCAAAATTTATCCCTTATTTGCCTACAAGCTCGACGTTGGGGGCGACCATCGCTCTTTGCGTTAATTTCATGCTCAAATGTATGTATGTATGAGTATAATTTTCCATTGTTAAACTATCGGAAGCAACATTAGTTGAAAGCAAAAAAGTTGTGCTAAAAATGTAGTTTAATCAAAACAAGTTAAATAGTTACCGTCTAGCTTATGCACATACCTATTGCGCATATAGAAATAAATCTTTTTAATTGCAATGTTCATTATATTTTGGCATGTGCTCGTCGGTCTTTCTATCTTTCGTTTGTAAAATGAAAGTAGTAATGTACGCATGTGTATATTCATATACATACATACATACATATGTACGTACGTATGTACATGAAATGTGTAGAAGCGTTCAACAACCAACTCGAAAGTAACGAAAATTCAGTCAGTCACATTTTCGAGTTCTAACCACCCAGATATCTACTGTGAAACACTCGCACCGTAAAAGCTTGAGCCATTTTATTTAGCAATTTCAGTCTACAATCTATTTTTTTTTAAGCACCAAGTAAAGGTAAAAGGCCTAAAAAGTTTGGCAGCTAGCGTGGATATTAGTTATTTGTATGTGCATACATGGTTATGCATTTAGCCGCATACCTCATACTCAAGTTTAATGTGCTAAAAAAGCCGAGGCAACAGAGTGTAGAAGTGACGCATGAAGTAATAAAACATTCACAACTGTTAACAGACACATGAATGTTGTTGTGCATACAACCAACAACAAACAAATATAAATAAACAAATATTTATGTGGTTGCTTAACTCGTCGGCTATCAACAGTACCAACAGTATCAACAGTATCAGCGCTTCAGAATTTAATCACCGCTCCATCATTGTTAATTCATATCGAAAAACGAAAAAATGAAACGCACGTGAATATTTGCGATTCCGCCATTGACCATCTTCTGCCACTAGACTCGTTTGCCAGTGTGTCAACACACACACTAATGCAGTTAGGGAATAAAAGCCGACAGCAAGTGTAAATATATGGTTATACATATATACATATATATATATTCTAACATTTGAGAGACACATAGCATCATTTTGGCCTTGTACATACTGAAAATGAGGTGATTTGGTGCTCAAAAATTCGACATCGGTGACGTGGTGATTGAAACGAGTCACTTTGCGAGCGTAAAAACCGAGCATTGCTGAGAGCCATTTATTTGTAGTCTCCAACTGATAAAGGAGTGCTGCTTTCAAACAAACAAAAAGAAAAAAATTTCACTCACTAAGCCGAACAAGGAAACTAAAAGTTTGTTAAAATCACAAACAGCAGAGCGAGTAGCAGCTTTCGCTCAGAAACAGCTGAAACTATGAGTTACGATGAAGTAATTGTGCATTTGGGAGATTTTGGCAAGTATCAACGCCTAATATTCTTTCTACTCTGCCTGACTGCCGTCTCTTGTGCCTTTCACAAAATGTCACGCACATTTATTTTTGCCAAGCCGAACTTCCGTTGCTTACTGCCCTTTGAAAATGAAACGAATGCTGGCTTGTCGAATGGCTTCCATCTGGACGAGCACCGATGGCGATTGGCATATCCGGCGGAAACAGCTGATCCGAAAGTCGGATATTATGAGGCTTGCGAGCGTTTCGATCCATTGGACGCGAAATACTTCCAGGCTTCAAATGACAGTAACTGGCCAACGTCGTTTGAAAATTCAACTTTTAGAAATGTTACGACTGTTGCTTGCGGCAGCTACGTTTACGACCAAGTGAACAGTGCTGTCTCTGAATGGAATATGGTTTGTGACCGTAGTTTTTTGGTGGCCATGAGCGATGCAATCTTCATGCTTGGAGTTTTGGTTGGTAGCATTAGCTTCGGTCAGCTGTCGGATAAATGCGGACGTAAACCAGTTTTCTTTGGCTCGCTGCTAGTTCAAGTGTTTTTTGGCATCTTGGCTGGCATTGCACCGGACTATCTCACATACACGATTGCACGATTCATAATTGGTGCCACAACATCAGGCGTATTTCTTGTAGCTTATGTGATTGCAATGGAGATGGTGAGTCCGAAGAAACGCTTATATGCCGGTATATTCCTTTTGATGTTTTTCTCCGTTGGTTTTATGCTAACCGCAGCATTTGCATATTTCATACATGAATGGCGTACGCTACAAATCGCCATCTCACTGCCAGGACTCCTCTTTCTCGCCTACTATTGGATAATACCAGAATCTGCACGTTGGTTGATTTCGAGTAATCGAAAAGACGATGCCATCGCAAATATTCGAAAAGCCGCGCGTTTTAACAAGGTGCACTTTAGCGAAGACACGATTAATCGGCTGCTAAGCGACGAATTGAAAGAAAATTGTGGGAATTCGGATTTAAAAAAACCGACGGAAAGCTCTCCAGAAAGCGCCAGAAGTAATACTGTGTCCGTTTTTGATTTATTGCGCTATCCCAACTTGCGTCGAAAAACACTATTAATTTTCTTCGACTGGTTTGTGAATAGCGGTACCTACTATGGACTTTCTTGGAATACGAATTCTTTGGGTGATAACATGTTCATGAACTTTGTTATTTCCGGTGCAGTCGAAATACCGGCATTTACTTTTTTGTTGTTAACTCTGAATCGTTGGGGACGACGTACCATACTTTGCGGTTGTATGTTAGTGGCCGGACTTGCGTTACTACTCACAATTACTGTGCCTAAAGAGTCGAACTGGCTAATGATTACGTTGGCGATGACCGGCAAGTTTGCTATCACTGCTTCATATGGAACTGTCTACGTTTTCTCGGCTGAGCAATTTCCCACTGTGGTAAGAAATGTTGGATTGGGGGCATCTTCGATGATGGCACGTGTAGGCGGCATATTAGCGCCCTTCATCAATATGTTGGGGAACTATTGGCGACCATTACCGTTATTAATATTTGGTAGTGCGGCATCCATTGGCGGTCTCCTCTCACTACTTTTACCTGAGACCCATAACCAACCTACACTTGAAACTATAGAGGAAGGTGAGAACTTCGGTAGAAGGAAACGTACCGAACCCCTGAACCGGAGTACCGGAGATATATTTACCGTCGATAAAATGGAGAGTGTGCCTTTAAATGAAAATGGTAACTACACTGAAAGCAAAAAAAATAAAATGAATAGTTGAATGAAGTACTAAAACGGGAAGTTTTTAGTTTCAAATAATGTGTATAACTGTGTTTTTAAGTTGCCGAGAACTAATTACTAAAACTGTATTTAGCACAGTTCGTTGAGAAATGTCAGTAAGAATGAGGCTTTAACGAAATGCCGAAATAACGCTCTCTCGGTTGAAGTTTTACAGACTTTTTGCCTTACCGAATGCGGCTCAGTAAAAATTGGTAACAATTGTTACTGCCTCTCAGCTCATCGAACAGATCATTTATACGATTATGTGGCAACCATAAAAAATACTCTTGACGAAAAAATTACAACCTAGAATTTTTGACAACTATGCCGAACATAAAGCGAAATTTCAATAAAACCATTATAATTGCTTCCAAGAAAAAATTTCAGTGTAGAATAACTCAATTATATGACGGATAGGTACAAAACTATTAAAAAATGTTTTAAAATTTCAAAAATTTCAAAAGTTTAAATATATACATATGTATATCGGAATTTCAATATTTCTGAAAAACTGTTTTTTTTTTATTAAATATTGAATAATAGTAAAGTATTGTAAACATGTTTTATCTAAAATATTCCATCTAAATTTTGATTTCCGTAACAAATAATAAATTGAATGGGTTAGCCATTAATTTTGGATTCTATGAACACCCAATTTCTATTTAGAGTATATTTTTATGTGCAGAAATATTAAGTCCGGAAATATTCATCTCCATACTATTAATAAACAGTACATTCACAAATAGATAAATTATATTATAAGTTCTCACAATGGAAATATAAATCGTAAAAAATTAAAAATATGCATTTTTTCTGTTTGTTGCGAATCTTAGATCAATGTTTAAATTCTCATTTAAGTTTCGAAGCTTCGTACTGCCCTCTACTCTCAGAATACTTGCAAAGATAGTTATGGCTCGACAGAGGCTATCTTTTATAAAATTTAGAATTTTGGTTTGCAGCACCATATAAAAGTGTTAAATTTGTGACATTTATTATTAACAGTTTCACGTACCCATCTTGGCATATGAGTAATCAATCTATTTGCTCTTCACCTAATTGACTGAGAAGCCTCTTTAACTTCCATTCAGCTGTCATCAATTAGATAAGAAGTTAACGTTATTTGGATATACAGATAGGCAGACATGGCTAGCTCTAACCTGTTCCTTTTGCGGCCTGCAAATATCGGGTATCAAAAGGAATAGCTCCAGGCGGTTCCATTTTAGAAATTTACTACTGTTCCGCATTGAAATGATTTTCCGCAAATCAACACTGCTGTAATTGCAGTGGATCCACACGGATATGGTACCTTCATAGATCTGCTGTAATTGCAGTGGATCCACACGGAAACGGTACCTTCATAGATCTATCTCGACCATGATGATAATAAATGTCAACGAACTTCATGTACTCGTACATTAGCATATTCACTGAGCACTGAGCTCTTATAAATTGTATTTTATTAGGAAGCTAATAAAAGCATGGAAATATTTTTGCACACACATATATCTGTAAATTGAAGTAATTGCCCAATGTGTGTCTTTTTAATGGAAATGTATGTAAACAATTAAGACTGGCAATTAAGTTGGAGATGCATCTGAGTACGAACATTAGAATGTTTCGCCTCAGAAGCAAATAAAACAGTTCGGCATTCAGTACAAGTACAAGATTTCAATTACTTAAACAGTTTCATTGTTATCGAGCTCGTAGAAAAATTTTGGCAAAAAAATGTGTTAAGCGAAATTCGAAAATAGTATTCGTATTGCTTAATAATAAATATTATTTAAAAACATCATTAGGCATGAACGGAGTCCATCACGGGGTATGAATTAAATTGTCATCAATAAATTGAAGACAATTGTATATGTATATATATACATACAATATGTACATATGTACATACGAGTATAAGTTTCGTTCGGTGAGAAATGTCATTAAAAAATAGCCAGTAACGAGGTGGAGGTCGAGTGAAATATTTTACTCAGCCAAAGCAAGAAATTGACCGAGTGTTCACCCAACAGGATTCAGTAAAAATTAGCCAGAAAGATAACAGTTGCTTATTTTGGTAGTTACATTTTAATCCGTTCCTTTAAGCATTTTATAATTTTCTGCTTTTTAATTTCTTTTATAAAATTTCCGATTTTTTAGTATTTTTACATAATTAATTAACTGTATTAAAAATTATTATAATTGAACTATTCTTCATATTCGCCAAACCTCAAAAAAAAACATTAAATATAATATATTTATTCTGACAGCCCTCCGAATGTGCAAAGATTTACATATATAAAACTGAGTTTGCAACACCTTATCGCTTAAGTTTTCAGCAAGGATGACAGAAATGCGAAAAAGAATTTCGATGGTTTTTCTTATTAGCCAGAAAAATTAAAAAAAAAACTAAGCATGCTTTATCGTTCCTTTTAAATGTACTACCATTTCATTTTGTGCATTATGATCATTGCGACCGTTGCAACCTTGCCTCACGTTATTTTTTGGCTTATTTGATCGACACTTCTTTTTAATAAATTAAGGCAATCCAAAAGCAGCTTGGGTTGTACAAATAATAAGAACATATTCCAATTATGTACAGTTATGTAGTTCAGAAAACGCTACGATTACCCAAGAGCTCATCTCTAGTCAAAAATTAATCATTAATAACACAATTTGAATGCTTTGAAACTTTATAGGTAATCCTGGACTTATTTAAAAAATGACCGTGAAGTCAATTAGTTTTAAAGCTTGACGCCAAAGTCAACATAAATCATTGAAAGTACAAAATAAACTATTTCGAACCCGTAATTGTTTAATACAATACTCAAGTACAAATACAATATATACACATACCTACATATACCTTGATGTTTGTATGTTCATTTATTCTTTTGTCATTAGATTTCGAAAATTGTAACAACTTATTTACATATGTACATACATATGTATATACTAACATACTATCATACATACATATGTGCGTATTTTGTATATTTTATACAAGCATTTGTACAATACATATATATGTATTTAGTATTAATTGTCCGTCTCAAGAAAAGATCTATCTACTATGAAATGACCTCATTATCGAGAGCATTTGCACAAATGCATATGTACATACATACACGTAGTATGTATGTATGCATGTCGAGCTCTATCAGCTGTTTTTAGCTAACAAACCTTAAATTGACTTAGACTCACGCACATTTTTATATTTTTACTATCAGAGGCAAACAGAGAGAACAAATACTTACCTGACAAGTTATCGGTTAAGCATTCGCAGAGTGAACGAAATTTGAAAACAATTTGCCCTCACAAGTCAGCAACAACAACCGGCTTTTTCAAGACTAAACACTACAATATATATATTTATGTATGTATGTATATGCTTTTATTTTTATACTTCTCATAAATGCGTATAAATGTACATACGTGTATGTATGTACATATAATTAGCATTTTAGGTATGTATATGCTTCGACATCCCTTCACTACTAATACTGTAATATTTTACCAATAAACTTCAAAATATCGATTTTTCATTCTTTATGAAATAACGGTATTTAAATATTAGACGAATATCGTTTAAGAACATTTGTACAGGCATGTATTCATACATTCAACTCGAGGGCTCTAGAGAGAGGGCCAATAGAGAAACTTTGAGTAGATCAGTCAATCTGTTCGGAAAATATGCATTTTGAGTGAATGAGAAAAAAAAATTGACTTCGCTTTGGAGCTAAAAAAACCCAAATCTGAGCACAACTGAGCAATTCGTTACATATCTCATTGGTAAATGTTCTCCGCTTAAATTCGTATGTGTGTACCTCTAGTGCTGTTATGCCTTCAATTCCGCTACCAGCAGATAGCACTTGGAGATACGCTTGAAATATTTGCAGCTAGTCGTCTATTGGTAGAGATCGTGAATGGTTTGGAGTTAAGAAATAAAAAAGCGCGCGCGAAGAAAACCTAAGGCCGGGCAGACAGTCGAAACTCTTCACTTCACTACAAACGAAAAATTGTACCGATGTGGTGTGATTGTGATAACTAATGTACAAGTGTTTGAAATAATTATGAACACAAGTGGCTTATCGCCGAAAAATTTTGCAAATTAACTCAAAAATTAACTGAGTACTGAACACTACCGCTTGTATACATAAATATAAATATCCGGCCGTAAATAATTTATGTGATAATTTTGCACATATGAATATTTATGTATATACATACGTGTATATGTACATATGAACAAAAACAATTGCATTGCTTGGCACAGCCTTTGGACATGTGAGTAGGTGACGTATACGCAACGTGCGATAGCCTAAACCTTTATATGAATTAACACACCAACGTATGTATGCAACGCGCCGTTATTATCAACAGCAAAGCAAACTTTAAAATAGGCCAAAGACCAGCCTTAAAAGCACATCTACGATTTAGAAACTTTTCTTACACCAGCAGCAACAATAAATTAGCTAAACTTGTGCAAGCAAATTCAAAATAATATGTATTACCATTATTGAGGCATCAAATCAACTTGCAGTCATTAAAAACGCCAGTTTGAAGTCACAGAAAGAACTTTAATGAAATATTTCCATACATTAATACATGTAACATTTGTATGTACATACATATGTATGTATGTAGCTGTTAGCGGATAATTTTGAAGTTGTTAAAAAAGCTCAAAACAGCTGCACCAGCATTGACCACAAATAAATAATAACCTACTGAGAACGCCACCGAGTATATTCTTTGCCATATGTTCTTTTCCATACACATACATATGTATGTACGTATCGATGTATAAAAACCATTTCCATTGACGTGTACTTTGTGCCAGTGGAGTTGTTAAAAAATTGCAAATTCATCAAAATAATGCGAGAATAACTCTTTTTTTTATTTCTTTACCGAATACTGCCGAAGAAAACCGCACAACTGAAGGTCAACAACATTTCAAGCATTGATATATACCTAAACATATGTAAATAGATATCTACATATATACATAAAGCATGTGAAAAGCCACTAGTAACCATATTCAATTATCCGTGCATCCATACATATGTCCAAGCATTTCCATTCGCATGGCTATTTTTAATTGACAACGACAGGATATTTTAGTTACTGCGTGTAATTTAGCGCGTTCCATTGTTGCTTGTTGCTTCTACGACATTTTGAAGGATTTATAAATATTTACATAACACATATTTACACCATCAGCTTCAATTTATTCCCATTCGTTCAAAGCCGACACAATGAGTTACGATGACGTCATCAAATATTTGGGCGATTTTGGCAAATACCAAAAACAAATTTATTTTCTACTTTGCCTACCCGCTATTTCATGCGCTTTTCACAAGCTTGCTGGCGTGTTTCTTCTAGCACGCCCGGAATTTCGCTGCGTCCTGCCATTCGAGGACCTATCAAATGCGACTTATGACTCATTTCCACGGGAACATTGGAATCTTACTTATCCTCAGGACCCATTGACAGGTAAATATCAACAGTGTGAATATTATAATGTCAGTTATACAATGGACTATTTGGAAACGGCTACATCGCCGACCAAAAATAATGGCACTATAAGATGTACCAATTATGTGTACGATCGCTCAAAGTACGAGAACAGCGCGGTTACCGAATGGAACATGGTGTGTGCTCGTGGCCTATTGACCGCTACAAGCGATAGCTTATTTATGGTTGGCGTTTTGCTGGGCAGTATTGTATTTGGCCAGATGTCAGATAAATATGGTCGTAAACCGATTTTCTTCGCTTCCCTGGTTATACAGGTAGTTTTCGGTGTATTAGCTGGAATCGCGCCCGAATATCTTACATACACAGTGTCACGTATGATTGTGGGTGCAACAACATCAGGCGTCTTTCTCGTAGCCTATGTCATTGCTATGGAAATGGTGGGTTCATCGTATCGTCTCTTCGCCGGTGTGACCGTTCAAATGTTCTTCTCAGTGGGATTCATGGTAACAGCCGCTTTTGCTTATTTTATTCAAGATTGGCGTTGGTTACAAATAGCGCTAAGTCTACCAGGACTATTATTCATGTGCTATCATTGGGTGATACCGGAATCGGCTAGATGGCTGTTGTCGAAAGGCAGAAAAGAAGAGGCAATTGTAATTATAGAGAAAGCTGCGCGTGTAAACCGCGTAACCATACCAAGTGATGTATATGACAATTTAATCGATGAATCAGCTGAGAAAAAGGATGAAACTGCTTCCAATGGCGATATAGGCAAGGGTCCAACTGTGTTCGATCTCTTGAGATATCCGAATTTGCGTAAGAAAACACTTGTAATTCTCTTCGATTGGTTTGTCAACAGCGGCGTATACTATGGTCTGTCGTGGAACACAAATAATCTTGGTGGTAATGCCTTGGTAAATTTTGTGATATCCGGAGCAGTTGAAATTCCAGCCTACTCCTTCCTCCTATTTACACTTAATCGTTGGGGTCGCCGCACAATTCTTTGTGGTTGCATGCTCGTTGCAGGCAGTGCTCTACTTCTGACAATATTTGTGCCAGCCAATGCAAACTGGCTTATTATACTGTTTGCCATGATAGGTAAACTGGCTATAACCGCTTCCTATGGCACCATATATATTTTCTCGGCTGAGCAATTTCCCACAGTGGTGCGAAATGTGGGTCTAGGAGCGGCGTCGATGGTAGCTCGTATTGGTGGTATTTTGGCGCCATATTTAAATTTACTTGGAGAAATTTGGCGCCCTCTACCTCTGATTATATGTGGTTCATTGGCTTTCTTTGCTGGCTTACTGTCTTTAATACTACCTGAGACGCTTAATAAACCGATGCCGGAAACAATTGCTGATGCAGAAGAATTCGGAAAAAACAAACGAAACGATGAGCTACTAGAAGGTGGTGCTGAGGAGTTAGCAAGAATCGCCTCACATGAAGAAGCGGAGAAGAGAGTAAATGGAAAATCTATATGATAATTTTTTTATATGTATGTACATACAATGTAATGAAAAGAATCAAAAAAGGAAGTTTAAAAACGAATCTTATAAATTGTAAGCAATTTTCCTATTAGCAAATAGACATATTAAGGAATTTAAAACGCTTTTGTAGTATCGATTCATAAAATGGCCTGCCGATTAAAATCCAACATTCTTGTTTGTTGTACATCAACATTTTCCGTCACTAACAATGTGCGAAAAGTGAAAATCAAATTTAATACGAAGATTATACTAAATTTCCTCCCAACGCCAGCAATTTAATATTAATTAATAATTAAAGGATGGAAATGTGCTTTGAAACGTCGCATTTCCTCCCAGAGGAAAATTACAAAAATATAAATTCCAATCAATTTACTTATTTGTATATTAAAAACATATTAAGAAATAACATTTTCTTTTATATCATACTATAATTCATTCACAAACAAATTCAGATCATAACAACAATTTGATAGTAATGATATTGAAAAAAACTGTATACTTTTTAAAAAAAGGATATGCTAATAAAATCTTTTATTGCACAAATGTATGAAAAATTGCGATATAGTTAAGGAATAGTATTATTTAAGCAAAATCGGATCTTACCACAGGGACTATGTTATCTATCGGCAGAGCTTCCAACTTATTTTTATCAATATGCGTAGAGTATACGTGTAAATTAAATATATGTACATACATATCTGCGAATGTATTTTTATATATTATATTTGAGTTTATTCATTTGTTCAAGCTACAAAGTTAGAGACATCAAAATAAATGTAAGCGAATTTTATATAACAATAAATAAATAGTTTAAATTTCAAAACCACCTAACATGTTTCTCAAGGCGCAAACATAAACAACCTAAGCAATTTTCGTTTCGTTTTTCACATTTCACAGTTGAAACTGTCATGACTTTAACTGTGCATATTTTATGGCTAAATCAAATCAATCGACTAAAGAATTTATTTACGAAAGATGGGCCTGACATACTTATATGTTTGGATTTCTAACACCTTTAGGAATTTCAGGTTTGACCCATCAGTTGGAAAATGAATAAGCTCAAGCTTTCTTATCATTCGGAAGATGATTTTACGCAAAACTACCTCAATGAAGTGATAAATGATAAAAGCGATTTAAAATGCCTCGAAAGTGCCTCTTAAACTGCAAAAATCTAAATCTACGAGAAGTATGTCCCGAAACTGATCCGAATCGGCCCAAAACGGAGGCCATAGGCGGCTCTTCGGCCAAGATACCGTGAACAGAAAATAAGCGCATTAATAGTTGTTTTAGATTAATATCTCAAAAAAGACTTCAGTATATGTATATGTTTGGGGATTTCATAAAATGCTAGCTGGGTATGTAGATATAAATAAGTCATATATGTATAAAGTAATATGTTTTTTATTTTCTTTAAGTTTTTGTCAATATTAAATTTCAACGCAATCGCAAGAAAAATCAAGTATTTAAATAAATGTAGCTAATTTTTTAGCATGGAAAAGGACTGCGAACTTAGACTCGGACCGCCCGAGCGGTCACCCAAGTTAGATGTTATAGTCGTAGGAGCTGGCTTATCTGGTTTAGTTTCGGCTTACAGGCTATTAGAAAAAGAGCCCTCATTGCGGATAAGAGTATTGGAGGCGAGTAATAGTGTTGGTGGAAGTTTGCAACAAAACACACAAGGTGAAATCGGTGCCAAATGGTTCGAGAAGTCCCAAACACATATTTACCAGTTGTTACAGCATTTAGGTGTACCGATGCAGCAACGTTCTTTGGTAGGATCAACATTACGGCGTTGTTGGGAGCTGGACCAGAGTGTTTCCTCAAATTTGGCTAAATATGAACTGCAACGCTATATAAATGAATTGGAGTTGAAGACGGCTTTCTTCAAACCGGGCCGATTTAGGTTTGTGTCACATTTTATTGATTATATCAAATATGTATGTAAGTATTTATATATGTATGTATATGTGCATATGTTATAGCATAAGAAAGAACTCAACTAAGATGGTGAACCATATAAATAACAGACTATTTTTCAAAGAGTCGCGCAAATTTATGACAAGTCTAATAGAGCTGATCTGCGGTGGGAAAGCTTCCGATATTACTTATAAGGAATTTATGAGCCTTTGCTATGGCTGCGGTGGATTACAAAACATTATTAATATGTAAGACCAAAATATATAAGTGTATAAACATTTATCTACGGCGTATGTAGATTTGAATTTGAAAAATAACATTTTTAACACTACATTTCATACATATACATATATGTATATATTACACGTATTTAAGTCTAAAAGAGTTGTGCAAGTTGGCGCGTTGTAGCCTTCATGAAAGTTTAGAAAGTGGTATCTTGTGTTAATTCGAAAACATTATTTCCAAACACAGAATTTTTGTTAAGAATTTTTGACAGATTTCGAAATTGGCGTCACTAATCGTTTTATTGAACGAATACCGAAAATATGGAATTTTTGATGCTTTTTAAATTGTTTGTTGAGTATTTTTTTAAGTATGTAGTTTTAAAATATATTTTACTACGCAGCTAAATGTGCTTCTGGAATAAAATACTGATACATACCATTTTGTATTTGGTATGATATTAATAGATAGTTTGCTTTGGACTCAATTCAAAAATAATTAACGCAAAATATATATCGGTTAAGGATTCAAAATAGCGAATCGATCCGTTTTTGTTTTCTGAAAATAAAACAGTATTACTGTTATCGTATCGTTATCGTAAGTAAATCAGTAAAGTAATTTGGTTATCTCCTTGACCTTGATCAATTTCAACCAAATTTACTGGCATTCAATTTTCTTTTCTTCCAAATTTCGATTTACACAACTCTCACTTCTAACAGTATTATTACAATGTCATGTAGGAGTATATACATACATTGGTACATTTGTACTTAAATACTCTACATTCTAGTTATTTGGATTGCCCGAATACACTGCTGGAGTTCGATAGCGCTCGCCTTCTGAATGCACTCACACAAGGACTGCAACGTGCCGATATTCTCCTCTCACGGCAGGCGAAAGCGATTTACCATTACAAGGACTACATTGAAGTGCATGACTCTGTGCAGAATATTCACACGACAGATGCACTCATTTTGGCGATTCCACTAAACGCCTTACAACAAATCAACATCTCGCCAACAGTGCCACTAGAATGGCGTAAAATGTTAAACAATGCAAGACCTGGAGTGCGTAAGATGATGACAAGCTTTATAGCTTCTTACAGGGATGGTCATTGGCGAAATGGCGGCTACTCAGGGAGTTTCCTTAAATATGATCCACTTATAGTGGGATGCGAATACCGACCAACGGTCTACACAGGTTTGATGCTTCATAATGACGGTATGGAATCGTTGGTACGTTCGATGACGTTAAACGCTTTAGCACAACACTTTGGGGAGGAAATGAAGGTGCCACATACTTATAGCCAATATACATTCGAGCTGAGCAGCTTGCAACATTTACCCCTCACAACTCCTTGGAATCGCATCATATGGTCATCATCGGCTGCTGCTTCCACCTGCTACCGCGGTTTCTTGGGTGGTGCCGTGCAAAGTGGTTTAAGAGCTTCGTTGAATGCGCTGCTGGTAGTGAGGCCACAAGTTGTGACCTGGACTGACGTTGCTGATATACATTGCCAAAATTGCCCAAACATTCGGGATATAGGAGCGTTAAAGCTGTGGCTTAGTGCTCTTAACCTTTATAACGTAGGATATTATGCTCTGTATGCTTCAAGTGTATTTTTGGCTTTGCAATTTGCCTACAAAAAATTTGGTTGATGATTGACCCTGGTAAATTTACGGTACTTATGTATGTATACGTGTATATATGAAAATATTTAAATAAAATCCTAATATGCCGGTGAATGAGCTTTGAGGCATTCCATTTATTCAGTTCATCGAAGGTACAAATAAAATATAATTTTAATAAAAATTAACGCAACAGTACATTAAGAAAAAGCAAATGTATTATATATGAGGTACATACTCATATATTATTGACGCTTTGTAACCGTTAATGCGATTTTCCGTCGAGTTCCTTCTCCGATTTGTAGTGTGCGTCTTGATGTTTTTCCAACAAATAGAGAGAACCTCTTTTATGAGGAGCTTTTATTTTATGTCAGAGCTCTGCTTTTTAATTTCAATTAATTTTTATTTAAATTAATTTAATTTTTTATTTAAATGATTTTCTTCAATTTTTGGATGTTGATCGGAACGGGACTAGAACCCTGACCTTCCGAATCACAGTACGGCTATCGCGGTCGCCAAAGAAACCCATAAAAATGTGAGTTAGCTCAATCGACCAGATGAGTAACCTTAGTCCATCTCATGAAACCCCATTTTGCCCATTTCGGCCCACAGGGCAACGTACAACGTATCCCTCTCCGAAGAAAAAAAAAAATAAAACGCCCCATGATTTCTTTAGAACAAAGTTTTTAAAATGAATGCTACAATTTCAACTAAATATTATATAATATTTATTATGTATATAAAATACTAGTGGTACAGAACACAACATACATCAAACATTTACAATTATACACATAATATGGTTTCTTTAGTCCTGCATTACCTTTTTACTGCATTTTGGGCCGTTCATAAAAATAAATACGTACATACAAACTTTTATTTCGTGGTTGACTTTACATTTTAATAGCAGTTTCTATCCATTTTATATTCACACGTAACCAAAAGCTTTCGAGAACGATTTTCTTTCTTCAAATTTTTCCTGCCAAAATGTAACGGAATTTAGCAGAATGATTTGATGTGTTCTTAAGAAGGAGTAACACATATTCTAACACTCCAAGCATATGTACATAGACATGGCATATATGTAACACTCATATTTTGAATCTATCGTGTTATCGATCACGAGAGCACAATTTCAGAACCTGACTTATCCACCACACAAATTCGAAACATAATCTAAAGACAGGTTTAAAATTTACTTTCTTGCTAAATCGGATTCAGGAATCGCATTTTTGTAACATCTACGAAGGTCAAAACTACGATAGATTCAAGAATACGGGCGATAGTTAATTTGTTTTTTCATTATTTTTTTTTTTTGTGTTTATAAAACCTAACTTTTTCTGCATAATCATTTTTAGTTCTATGTATAGGTGTGTATTTACGTATGTATATATATTTTTCAATCAACTAAACATTCAATTTCTGAAGCATTTTTAAAGCTATGTTTTGTTTCATCACACAATTTTACAACAGAAAATATTGTTTTCAATTCGTTTTATAATTAATGCGAGGGAGTTGCATATGCTAAACTCCACTCGTCATATTCGTCGTTTGCAAGTTTCGTTTTTTAAGATACATACATATAATTATGTTCATACATATATGTTAATACAATTATCATTATTATGTGTTACATGAAAATTTGTTATAATTATTATCGTCATTATAATTATTTTGTATTACAATTTTTTTGATTATTATTATTATTATATTTATTTTACAAAGGTTTCAATAATAAAATTATTAGTGCGCTAATATATGAGCACAATCCTGCACATAGGCCTTCGGCGCAAATAATATGGTATAATTTTTATTTATGTAACTATAATAATTAATTAATTATATTTTAAATAATAGTTTGTGTTTACGATGACATTATCGGAAATGCATCATCGGTCGTGTTCAAGAAATGATCTCAAATAATGGTGCATTTCCAAGTGCGGCGTTGTTAGCGTCGTTGTATTTCCGCTTCCGCCTCCAGTTCAAACTCTAAGTAGCAGTCGTTGCTTGTATAAAATGTGCGCCATCGCGTACCACCACTATCGGTAACATCTCCAAAACTACTGACTCACATCTGCCTGTAGGGCGAGTGCATTTTCAGCCATTGAAGAACCAATGATGGGCCGCCGGCTTGTATTTCAGGTGGTATGGTACTCAAGGGACATTTGTCTATATTTAAGTATTTCAAGTTCTGACATAGTGCCAGTTCATATGGCAGCTTTTCTAAACAAGGATTTTGATTGATATATAGGTTTTCAAGGTTCTCCAATGAACCAATCTCTTCGGGCAGGTACTGTAAATTGTTTTCGCTCACTGATAGATGCGTGAGATTGCTGAGATGGCCAATACTACGTGGAAGTATCGATATCTGATTAGTTTGTAATATGAGTTTTTGCAATTCGTGCAATAGTCCAATTTCGTTGGGGAGTACTTCGATACGATTCTCCTCCAAGTCAAGAATACGCAATTTGCGTAAATTACCTATGGTATTTGGAATTTTTTTTAGCATATTATTGGATAGCACCAAAATTTCAAGATTTTGCAGGTTCATTATGTCATCAGGTAGTTTTTGTAGAGCGTTTGTTGCTAAATTCAGTTCGACCATATTAACCCAAGTTCCGATATCGAGTGGTAGGGCTGTAAGCACATTCTCTTTCATATTGAGTTTTGTGAGACCTTTTGCACGGGAAAATATTCCATATGGTATTTTGTCGATGCGATTATGTTCCAGATTGATGCTGTAGACGTTGGTAAATTGAGCAGGACCACCAGTCGGATAGCTAGTGAAGGAGTTACGCGATAATGTGATATTTGTGAGCGCATTAAGGCTAGCTAAAAGTCCATCAGGTAATTGTGTTATACCATTGCCTTCTACATTAAACTCGTCCATGAACTTGCAGTTCTTCAATGATGCAGGAATACTTGTAAGTCGATTGTATCTGAAAGGGAGATTGTGAAAAGTTGTTTTACACATATACTTATGTTTTTTGTGTATACACATATGCATTTAAAAAGTCAAAATATCGGCAACTTAATTACCTCAAACCTAATCGTACCAAACTTTTTAAGTTTCCAATAGTCTCTGGTATATCTAATAGTTCGTTGTGCTGCAAATCAAGCGCGCTCAAAGTCACACACTTCCCAATTTCCTCAGGCAAATGTTCAAGGTGGTTGTGAGATACATCGAGTGTAGTCAAATTCACCAATGCACCAATAGCGGGTCCCAATTCCCTTATTTTATTCTCACGTAAGCTCAGCATAGTTAAATTTGTTAGATTGCGTATATCAATGGCCACAGCGGTAATACGGTTAAAACGTAAATACAATGTTGTAAGTGAACGTAGACGATAAATAACCGCCGGAATTTCTGCAAGTTTATTATGACGCAAATCAAGCACTTTAAGCTGTTTACAGTTTTGTAACGATTCTGGCAAGGATGTCAGTGAGTTCTCATTTAATGCTAGAGTCTTTAAGTTCACTAGGCATCCTATTTCAGAAGGCAATTGGCTGATTTTGTTGCTATATAAATATAGTTCCGTTAGATGAATACATTCCTTTACCGATGTTGGTATAACTGTCACGGACGACTTGCTTAAATCCAATCGTTTTATGCCTAAAGATTTAATCTTCAATTAGTACAGAATTTTGTGATTCAAATCTTATTATTTACCTTCTTCCCGACAGCGTTGAAGAGCCTTAACAACATCCTGGTCTGCTTGTATTGGTTTACTTTTCTTGGTCGTTGGCTTGGGTTTATTTGATTCTGGGTGCTTAACAGTCACCATCTTCGGACGCGTTTCCGGTGGCATTTCGTTGTTATTTCCAAAATTATTACCGCTGGCGCCACTGCCACTGGCACTGCCACTATGTGTCTGATTATTTGAGAGACTCGTCGTTATAGCTGCGGAGCAGCTACTGCTGCTATTACTCCCAAAGCAATGTGTAGTCAAAACTCCGCCAACTATATTTCTACCGCTAATGTTAGCACTATTCGCTATGGCCGTATCCTCCGAAGTCAGAGAAGTTGTTGATGCTATTGCTCCGGCAGAAGAACACAGGTTCATAATTTTTTCCAGCGTAACGTTCTTATCTAAAATGTGTTGCTCAAATATGTTTCTATGTACGTAACCAAAAAGCTTCTCAAGTGCAGTAGATATGTGTATTTTAAATATATCAAATTATTCTATTTCCCGCTGAACAGAGTTTATATGCAAGACGCGCGGTACACAAAGAATAGAGTGTTGGTTTGATATTTAGTAAGAACTCTGTTTCAGAATGAAATTTTTCCTATTTCCCGGTGACCGAAGTCTGCATGCGAGAGAGATATCAGTTATGACTCAACAGCGCTGTATACAAAGAATAAAGTTTTTTTTACTCGTTTAGTAAGTGTGGAGAAATTAATATTATTAATAAATGTTTATAAGATCTTCCAATCTCTTCTAATGCTTAATAACTTTAATTTTAACTATAATATAACAATCTTTAATTTGTTGCAACAGCGATTGATGCAGCGCTATAAGCAGGGGTTTTTAACCACCCCTCAAAGGATGTTATAGAGCAGAATACCAATTTAGCTACAAGAACTTGGTTAAGTTTCGTAGTAACTAAACGGTTTTACAAAGGGATAAACCAAAAATTTAGAAAACAATTATAGAGCAAGCCAAACTTATCATTTTTGCTCACCCTATAAAACTATAATAACAAAATTTGTATATCCATGTAAATATATAGGAATTACCATACCATTACATAAAATACGCAATGTTTATGTAAAAGCCATTTTTCATACATTGAAAATAATTTAACACACAAAATTTTTATCTGATTTTTTTAAATAAAACACTTCGCCTTTTTGTTAGTATTCTTATAAAGGAATTGCATTCTTTTATATTTTGACGTTTCTTCTGACGTTCTCTCCACTCCTTATGAAGGGTTGCTGAGGTGTTCCATGATAAGAACATAGCAAAGCCAAGGTCGTAAAAAGTTGTAAAAAGTAACAGTGAAACAAAGATGTATGCGCTTTATAAAACATTTTACAGAAATCATAATCTATGTAAATATTCTTTAAGTCGTTGATGAAATTTAATTACGTTTTCACTCTTCAAAGTTTCATCACATCTATTGGCAAGCTATATAATGATTTCATAGGAGAAAAACATGAAATGCTATAAGGATGCTTTCAAGACAGTTATTTTATAACTCTTAGTTTTCAATTGCCCACGATAATTGATTTTTCATTTTATACACATACATATGCACATATATTTGACAAAGTTTTCGCGAAAACGCGTTAAGATTTACAAAATAAAGGCCCTTACGTTCATAATATAAGTTTTCTTGTTAATATATATCTTTTACGATTCATTACTAAAAATTTATAGTCCTCGTAATTTATTTGAAAATTTTATACCACTTTCACCTATCTGCTAACAACTTTCCTGGCTATTAAGTTAATAAAGAATAGGAATACAAGAATTTTTCTTAAGAGTATTCAAGTTAGGAGAGATATGGAGAGAAAAGCGCATGCGCAGTGAAAACAAGTTATCAAAACTATTTCAGAAGACAACGGACGAAAACATCATTTATTTATTTTTCACAAGTAAAACGAATGTCGCAATTATTAGGCATTTACCTTATATGTTATATCAACTTTTGAAAATACGTACTAATTATTACACATTAAGATTCACACATTAAGATAATCTAACATATGCAAACAAACAATATTATGCTTTAGTTAAAAATTTTCCAAAGCAAAGTTTTGAAAAAAATAATAAACATAAAAATTCTTTGAATTTTAACGCAAAACATAAATAAAGCCATTTATGTATGATGTTTTCTCAACATTAGTTCTTTGATTTAGTGAAATAAATTTTTTTATTATTAATTAATTAATTAAATGAAACATATTCCCTCCGGACGCTGCCAGACTAGTAACCAAAATATTCATCTTCTGCATTAGAAGATTTTCCAATTAACAGAGTCAATCGACAAACAACCCAATTATTCCTGGTTGCGATTACCAAAAATCACTCAAATATCAGTTCGTTACTGGATTATACTGAAACGTATTCGCTGAAATAAACAGTCAGTAAAATTAGTAACGAGATTGCTATTTTGGTGTTTACTTCGGAGGGAAAGTTGGAAAATTCGTGCTGGGAAAATTTCAGCCAGTAAAAACTAGCTAGTATTCAAAAAAAAAAACAGCTGATTTGTAATCACATCATTGAATTTTTGTCAACAAAAAAAAATTGGTTTCAAATAAAAATAATATTAATTCTTCAATATTAATAATATACTAACAAAATACCCAAATATAATTTTGTTAAATTAAATTTAATGATATCAACAATTCAATTAAGTAGTTAAAGTACTCGTTAATCCAAAATTCTGTAGCAGTGGAGTGGAATCATCGCCCGCACACGATCTAGCGTACATTGACGAATTAAGTTAGGACTGATGAAGACATAGAATTAGTATATGGACATTAATATTTTTTATACAATGCAAATTGATTTTGGATCCCTGAAATTTATAAGAGAGCAGTGTCGACCAGTGCCGCAAATGACCATAATGCAAATTCTTAAGCTTTTGGAAGCGATAGCAATGCACGAAACGGAATATTAGTCTCGCTTAAAAGGAAAAATAAAGCTCTTGCTTGGCTTTAACTGAAGCGAAGAAACTTTATAATAATGATTAGTTAATATTGCCAGCCTACATGGCAAATTAATTTCAAACTCATTTTCGTATTTCATTCATCCTTCCTAAAAATCAAAAATCTAAGCAAAAAATTATTGCAATACAAGTTCTACATAAATCATCGTCATTTTAGAGGACTATTAGAAAAAATATATTTGGCATTTTTATCGTTTGACAGCTATAAAACATGTAGAATTTCATAATTGCTGAAATACTATAAATTTAAAATCCAAGTAATTAATTAAAATTGCTACTTTAGTTAACTACTCAGAAAAATACTTAAAAACATAAAAAATAGAATGTATAAATGAACCGATTCAAATTTAACCGCCACATAAACAACTATTATATAACGTGCTGACTAATTTTTACTGAATCCTGTTCGATGAAAACTCAGTAAATTTCTTTCTTTAGGAGAGTAATCTTATCAACTTATTCTCTCAAAATTCGTTACTAGCAGAATTTTTTTGACACTTATCAACGAACACAGCTTGTGAAAACGGGCCTAAAAGCAATGTAACAGCTGGTGTAATTATTTCTCCTTCTTGAATGCTGATTTTGATAATACTTACGAAGGATTATAATTAATAAACTGTAGGTTGTTGCTATATCATGCTTTGAGGACATTCTTAACATGCTCGACAAGTCTTAGTAAACATATTAATGGATCTTTAATTTTTTCGAAATGTGGTAGTTACCATCAGATATGATAAAAACAGTGCCTATTGTTACCATTGTGCGAGCTGGACGACAAAAGTATGCAGATGGTTTGAAACTGCAGAAAGAATTAAGTACGCAGAAAACGGAGGATTGGACCAATTTTCGTAATTATCTTATTTTACAGCAACATGAACCAGTATATACCATTGGCATACGCACAAAAAATTATTCTGATGAGGACGAACAGCGTTTACGTAAACTTGGTGCCGAATTTTATCGGACAAATCGGGGCGGATTGATTACCTTTCATGGACCAGGTCAATTAGTTGCTTATCCCATTATACATTTACGTCAGTTTCAACCGAAAATGCGGTGGTATGTTTCCACACTTGAAAACACGATTATTGCGACTTGTCGTAAAATGGGTATTACACAAGCAACCACTACATTAGATACTGGTATCTGGGTAGGAAATAATAAGATTTGTGCTATTGGTGTGCACGGTTCTCGATACGTGACTACGCACGGAATTGGCTTAAATTGTTGCACTGATTTAAGTTGGTTTGAGCACATTGTTCCATGCGGCATTGAAGGAAAGGGTGTAACATCACTAAGTCGGGAATTAAATCGGAATGTAAGCGTAGAAGAAGCTGCGGATGTGTTCCTTGGATGCTTTAGGGAACATTTTAAATGCCAAACAGAAGAGGACATATAAAATCCGGATAATACAAGATTTGTTTATATTTTCTATCTAACGAAATATACATATAAAAACTACAAACTTATAACTTTTTAACTTACCACCATAAATCTCATTTCCACCGTTTAATTTGTTTCCAAATCAAAACACTCAGCGGTCTAAATACCAGCTTCAATATGCATATTTAGGAATATTGTTCGCTTAATTTTACTTAAAATATATTTCTGACAGGCTAAAAGTTTAATAAACAATACTTTTCGTTTGATTAACTAAAACGTGCTTTATTTAAATTATTTTTAGCCTCTTTGCTATCAGTAATAACCTTTCCTCTCTTTAACGCCTCTGTACGTCCAATTTGGCGTTGTTCAACTTTGCGCATTCGCCTCTCTGCGCGTGATTCAATTGCATTATTGAAATAACGGTCTCGAAAGTCGTATGCATTCGGCAAAATGCATGTCAACTGGGTATTATCTTGTACATAGGTGTCCTCGAGTTTTTCATAGGTTAGAAGCCTACGGGAAGTTAGTCCTGAAAGCGGCTGTTCTGAGTTAGCTACTAAAGCTAAACCGCTGTGTCTTGGAATTATTTCATTGCTGTAGTCTTCCCTGTAATTAAAAAAAAAAATAATGCAAGATATTTACTGTATAATTGATTTTGTAGTACCTATGATACGGAAGCCAGCAGACTAATCGGCCACCCACCTTAAGATGTTGGGCAGCAAAGCTTAGGAGATCGGCATAAAGTTGTTGTAAAGCGTAATGCGAAGTTGAGGGATAATGCGGCAAGTCTGTAGTTCGAGTATTTAGCTTTGATGTGTTTTTTGACTCGACCTTTTCGGTTGATTCTCGAATACCGTAAGGTGCTAAAAATGCATATATGCACTAATGTATGATGACAATTTAAAAAGATAAGAAATTTGTACAGTCAAAATATATCTCAGATTGGCCACTTAACTTGTAATATTTATTAAAGAAATATAAAATAATATTTATGGAAGGAACAAATTTGCAAAAATCGTGATTCGGTAATGTTCTTAAAAATCATAAATTGTGAAATCTGGCCATTTTGAGATACTTAATATTAACTGTTTCCATCTATCTTACGATCTGTTATAATTGAATCAAATTTTAATCCATCACGCCAGAGGGGTTGGGAGAAATCTGATATTATGACATCCATATATCTAGCGCCACATCCATATTGCTCTAAATTGGAACGTACTCTCTCATCTTTTTCACGAGTTTTCTGAGTTATTCGACTTGGTCGTGATCGTCCATGAAGCATCATGAAATCAATATCCGAACCAAACACATATCCTACGAATATTTTTTTATAAAGAATTGCGAAGCGATTGTGTTTTTATATCACATACCACCAAACTTCGCAGCACTCACCAACAACGATCCCGTACCAACGAATGGATCAAGAACCAAGTCAAACTTCTTAACTAGTGCTTGATTTGCCAGTAAAAGACTTAGCTGGGCGTCCATACTTGTATTACCAATAAACTTACGCTTTTTCAGGGAAAGTTCCTTAATAAGTTCACGTTGACCTTTGGCAATCTTTGGGAAGTAATATAGTATTCAAACATATCCTTATACCAAGATTTTAAAAGTTATATAATTACCAGACGACCGAATAGTATATCCTCTGGTTCTTTGGGCACTGCCATGGGGTCGAGACCATAAAACTCAATATAGCACCACTCTTCTTCAGGTGTTTTTAGGTCCACTTCCCCTTGGAAAGGTAAGTAATCTAAGGTCTCAATTTTTTCAACTTTATCCTTTTGGGATATGTGTTTGTTGTAAGTTTCCACAACGATTTTGAACGAACATTTTGTAAAGGGCTCCAAAACATTGCCACTAGTTCCAATATGACTCCGTAATTTTTCGTGAAAGTTTTTATAAGTATCCGAATGAGACCACAGCTCATAAATACAACGTAATGTAACAGACCGAGAGGCAAACTGATGTGCTGCTTCGTCGTTAACAAACTCGACAATCCAAAAGGGTTTCTATGAATCAACATAAAAAAACATCTAATACAAAATAATCAAATATCATTTTTCGATTCGTTCTCTTACCAATAAGTTTTTATTCAATTTCCGATGTTTTAATCCAAATAACTTAACAATGGAGTTGAATTCCTGTTTCATTTAAGAATATAATTATTACATATGTTAAGAAATGTCACATCCCTACTTACGGCAACTCGGAAATCTAAATGTTCTTGCGCAAACCATAAAATATATTTTTTCCATGAGTTTGTCATTTTTGTAAATATAACCAATAAGGACTCCTTTAATTTTTTGTTAATAATTATGTTATTGAAAAGCCGATAACAACAAAAGAGAGCAGAAAAGTCATATATCGATATTCTTTTAAAAATAATTGAGCAATACACAAGGTGTCGTATAGCTCAAGAAAGAATAGGACGTGATCACGCAAAGAGAAACACAAGAAAAATATAAATATTCAATTCATTTTGCTTCGTAATTTTGACAGTCCTTGGCGTTCGTCCTTATTAGCGAATCAAGGTAGTCGCTGGGATAGGAAACACTTTACAAATATTTTTACACAATTTTGTCATATTTTAAATATACAGAAATATGGTATAATTTATTGTGAAAAAAGTTATTTCCTTATAAGGCCGCTTGCGGAGTGCACATTGTAAGCCTACGAGCTTAAAATTCAACTACTCATGAGAAAAAAAACAATTGCAACATGTAAATTTTAACTATCAGCTCCTTATTCCATGCTAAGCATTTTCTACCATTATAAGAAAACAAAAATACCTTTGCTGTTTCGTTATAAAGTATTTGTTCTTTATAACGAAACAGCAAAGGTAACAGGCTCTGTTTCAAAACTATTTTGATTTTCCCTAAAAAATGTTTCTACTTAAACAAAAAAACTAATATATTTTGAATACCATAAGAATTGACATTCCTGAAAATGAGAAAATTGATTACTGATGTAACCTATAAAGTTGAGTTATTTAGAAATACCAAATTTTTAGCCTTCTTACATATTGAAATATTTTTTTTATTTACATAATAGAAAAGTAATTATTTAACAAAATGATTTAACTATTGAAGAATTGGGGGATTTGTTATCATTGCAACCCTGCGTTAAAGTAAACTCGGCCATTTTGCTGAAATTTCGACGGCGTATAGAGGCAGGCCGAAGAATATCAAAAATTTTTCTGCTTCAAGAACGATTTTTGTTGGCAGTATAATTAAAAATTAATAGTTAAAGTGATCCTTTCCAAGAATTGTATAAAACAATTATGGCGCGCTATACTCAACGTCCCGAAAATGCCCTGAAAAGGGCGAATGGTAAGTCCATGCACTGGACCATGCTGTCGAAGGTTCGGTTTTTGCAGTCGTGTTATATCGATGACGAGACATTGAATTGGCATTTTACGAATTGCTGAATCATACATATTTGCGAACAAATTATTTGCAGTATTATGTTTAATATATTTTGTTTGTTTATACAGAATTCATTGAAGTTGGAAAGCCATTGCGAGCTTTGGACACCCTTCAGGAAGTGTTCCGTAACAAACGGTGGAATTATGCTTACTCCGAAACTATTATTGAACCTCTTATGTTCAAATATTTGTATTTGTGTGTGGAGCTGAAAAAATCTCACATAGCTAAAGAGGGGCTCTTCCAATATCGTAACATGTTCCAATTGGTGAATGTGAATTCCTTGGAAAATGTAATTCGTGGCTACTTGCGTATGGCTGAAGAACATACTGAAGCAGCTCAGGCTCAGTCTTCAGCAGCAGTTGCTGTTTTGGAGTTAGATGATCTTGACAACATTGCAACGCCGGAGAGCATATTAATGAGCGCTGTGTGTGGAGAAGATGCTCAAGATCGTTCCGATCGTACTATTCTATTACCATGGGTGAAATTTTTGTGGGAATCATACTGCCAGTGTTTGGAGCTTTTGCGTGTAAATGCACACTGCGAAGCCCTTTACCATGATATCGCAAGAATGGCCTTTCAGTTTTGTCTAAAATACAACCGCAAGAGTGAATTTAGACGGTTATGCGACAAGTTGCGAAAACACTTGGAAGATATATGTAAGAGTACTACTCAAACTACAGGAGTATCTATTACTAAAGTTGAAACCCAACAGCTGTGCTTGGATACTAGGCTTTATCAGTTGGACTCCGCCATACAAATGGAATTATGGCAAGAGGCTTACAAAGCAATTGAGGACATCCATGGTTTAATGGCACTTTCAAAGAAGACACCGGTCCCCAAAACAATGGCAAACTATTATCAAAAATTGGCAATGGTGTTTTCAAAGGCTGGAAATCAGCTTTTCCATGCAGCTGCTTTGCTAAAGCTTTTCCAATTAACTCGTGAATTAAAAAAGAATTTAACTAAGGATGATATGCAACGTATGGCATCTCATGTTCTTATTGCAACTGTTTCTATTCCACTGCCATCAGCCCATCCGGAATTCGATCGTTTTATTGAAGCCGATAAAAGTCCCCTAGAAAAGGCTCAAAAATTAGCTGTGCTGCTTGGACTTCAGCAACCACCAACCAGAGCATCATTGATTAAAGAAGTTGTAAGTAAAAGTATACTATTTTTTAATGAATACAATTAATTTTGTTTGATGAAAAAATTTTTTTTTTTAAAGGTACGGTTGAATGTTCCGCAGTTAGCTTCTGAGGAGTTTAGAAATTTGTACAACTGGTTAGAAGTTGACTTTAACCCGTTGAATTTATGTAATCGTGTACAAACCATAATTGATGTAATTGAAAGTGCCCCACCAGAAAACAACTTGCTCGCTCCTTATATCAAATCATTGAAAGATGTCACAATCATGCGGTTGATTAGACAAATTTCCCAAGTTTATCAGAGTATTGAGTTTAGCCGATTATTGCAATTAGCTTCATTTTGTAATATTTTTGAGCTAGAAAAGTTGCTTGTAGAATCGGTGCGCCATAATGATATGCAAATTCGTATTGATCACCAAAAGAGATGCATTTACTTTGGTACCGATTTGACCGAAAGTCAAAGGGAAGATCACCCTGACGGCCCTACTCTACAGTCAATGCCATCTGAACAAATTCGATCCCAATTGGTTAACATGGCAACTGTTTTGAATCGCGCTGTATCGGTTGTGTATCCGAATCGGGATAAAGAACAACTCTCCAAGTTGCGCGCTCAGATGGTATACCATTACCATGAGATTAAAGATCGTGAGCATCAACGCATTTTGCAGCGTCAAAAGATCATCGAAGACCGTAAAGAGTTTATTGAAAAACAAAATAATGCTCGTGAGGAGGAAGAAGCGCGTCGACTAGAAGAAGAAACCCGTAAGGCTAAATTGGCGGAACAAAAGCGTTTGGAGCAGGAAAATGAAGAACGTGAACGCAAGCGTCATCAAAATGAGATTGAAGCCATAAAGGTTAAAAGTCTCAAGGTAACTACAATTTTTTTCTTGTGCAAATATATGTATCTACTAATATTTCTTTAAATCACACCAGGATAAAATGCAGCAGATATCCCAAACGGCTCATGGTAAAAAGATGCTTTCTAAGCTGGATGAGGAAAGTATCAAAAAGTTGGATGCAGAACAGATTGCAGCAAAGGAATCTGAGGAATTACAGCGTGAACGTAAGGAACTGCAATCCAAACTTAAATCCCAAGAGAAAAAGATCGATTACTTTGAGCGCGCTAAGCGAATGGAGGAAATCCCACTTTTCGAAAAATACTTGGCAGAGAAACAAGTAAAGGATAAAGAGTTTTGGGAAGCACAAGAACAACAACGTATAGAGAATGCAATTACTGAACGAAAAGATGCTGTCGCACAACAGGAGCGCTTGAAACGCATGTACGAAGATCGAGACGTCTTCCTGGAGGCATTGAAAAAGGAGCGAGCTTCGTTATACGTCGATAAGTTAAAGAAATTCGAAGTCGCTTTAACTGAAGAACGTAAGCGCCTATTAGCACTCCGCGTTGACATGCGTCGTCAGGAACGCCGCCGCCAATGGTTACGTGAAAAAGAAGAGGAACGTATGCGTAAGGAAGAAGAAATTCGTAGAGTAAAGGAGGAAGAAGAACGCGCTATTGTCGAAGCTTTACGGAAGGAGCGCGAAGCCGAAGAGGAGAAACGTCGCATTCAATATGAAAAACAACGTGCTAAGGAAGAGGAAGCTGAGCGCCGTATTCAAGAGGAACGTGAACGCTTATCAAGGGAAGTTTCATCTACCGGTGAGAAGGACCGAGACCATTGGCGCTTAAGAGGTGAACGCGGTGATCGCAGCGATCGCATTGAACGGGGTGATCGCATCGAACGCAACGATCGTGGGGAACGCTCAAATGCATCTAACACAGAGTGGCGTCGTGAACGTCCTGAACGCAGTGAGCGCGTGGAACGCAGTGATCGTATAGAGCGCGGAGATCGCATTGAGCGCGGAGATCGCATTGAGCGTGGAGATCGCATTGAGCGTGGAGATCGCATTGAGCGCGGTGATCGCGTTGAACGTGGTGACCGCATTGACCGCCCTGAACGTGGCGACCGTTTTGAGCGCAAGGATGTCGAAGGTGGCGGATCAGACTCTTGGCGCGTTCGCAGGGAACCTGATCCAGCAAATGCACCACGTGGTGGAGCTCCAGGTGGTGTACGCGACAATCGCGATAATCGTGAAACTCGAGAAGGACGGGATGGCACGGATAAGTGGCGTCGTGGGAACACTGGTGCCGGAAGTCAACCAAGACGTGATGATCGAGAGAGCCGTGACGGAGGTGGCAACTGGCGAGATGCCCCACGCAATGAACGTGACCGTGATAATCGCGATATGCGTGACAACCGACGTCGCGATGATCGTGGCGACCGGCGAGATCGTGACCGTGCTGTTGGTGGAGCTGCGAAGGATTCTGGTAATTGGAGAATGGAACGTCCCTCTGCTCGGGACGATAAAGAGAAAAGTGCACCTAAACGCGAGCCACAAGAAAAAGGTAAAAATTTCTCTTTTAATGATAACTCACATTCTACTAATTCTCTTTCAGAGAACAAAAACTCTGACGATGGCGAATGGACAAATGTCAGGCGCCGTTAAACCAGATATTTACGTTCTCTGGTTAAACAGTGCTAAGTTTGATAACACTAAAAATCGCGACTGCACATTCTGCACCTACCACTTATATTCATAAATTACAAAACTACAATATTTGTATGCTGTGCTTTGTGTTTCGTGTTACCACTATTGAATATTATTATTAACATTTAAAAAATATTTGCTGTGGAAATTAGAAAGGCATACGTTTTTGCAAATACTTTATAATTATCAATAAATAAATCAATATAAAAATGAAGTTCGTTATATGCATTTATATAAAGTAGGAGAGTGTTTTCGTATTGTTATTTCTTGTTTTTTCCCCACAAGTGATTCTCTGCCAAGCAGATTCTGAGCATCTAATGTTCTTGTTTTGGTGTTGCCTGTGGTGCAATCGCAAATAACGTATTTGAATAAGACTGTATTTATTATTCCTATACGCTCTTTGCATATATGTTCTTTTCAAATACGTTCTTTGGTAAATTTTAAAAATAAGTGGCAGCACATTCACTTCATTCCAAAAATTCACGGTTTGGCAATTTTATTATCGATTGTGTTTAGCTGTGAAAGGTGCAGAAAGATCGAAATTAATTCATAAAATTTGCTACAACTTTTAGTAAATATTTAAACAAGCTTTTTGTTTTTCTTGTGTATTTGTGTTGATTTTGCAATAAAAATTCAAAGTACTGCGGCTTAAAATTTTGTTCTATAGAAAAGAGTATGCATTACTGTTGGTGAATAGTGGTGATTATGAATATGCTAAAGGAAGGCAACAGCGGAAAGCAGTAGCTACTACACATATTGCACATATATTAAGGGAAAAATATACAAAAAGGAAAGGGACTTTCAGGCGTCGTCGTCGTCGTTTTCTTGGTATACAGATTTGTATTAGAAACGCGACACTGCTAACTACATTCAAGTGAAAAAATTGAATCGTTTGAGAGCAATTAAATCACAAGTAAATCTGTAAATTGCACAATGACCAACATGGAAAAGCAGCATGAAATGGTGAAACGCAGTCTGGTTCAATTTATCAGTGCACACATTCCAGGGGCTGATTTTAGCGTAGTTGATGAAATAGTTTTACAATACATCATTTCTATTTTAGAGGAAGCTTCACAGGATCCTTGTTTCGATGTTGAAGGCTTCGTTGAAATGATGAGCGCATATTTTGCGGAGTTCTCTTCAATTGATCAAGGAATAATTTGCGAATGGATATATAAATTGGCAAATGAATTAAACGAAATGGAAAAGAATCAAGGAAATCGTAATTCTGCATGTTTGTCGTTGAAGTAAGTCTCCCACATTTTCGAAATTAACTTTCAGACACGATTCCCCAATTTATTTTGTTTTAGCTCTCTGAGTCTCTCTGATATTATACCAGAGTCGAAATTACGTGCGCGTAATGCTTCCGTTTCCGAAAAGGATGAACTAACTTCAAATGGTGGAACTGCTGGTGGTGCCGGCTCTAAGCGTTCGCAACATTTGTCTGAGACCAGTGATGGTGGATCTACCGATAGTTCTACTTGCGATTATTTTTTGGATGAAGCTGAAGTTTTACAAGAAATGTTTCCGGACACTGCTTACGTTGAGGTTCGTCTGATTCTTTTTATAATAATTATTTTCTTATAATTATTTTTTTTCTAAAATATAAATTTAAATTTGTTAAAAAAAAGCTCCAATTAATTACGGATAATTAATATTTAATACTAACAGAAATTCCTTAGACAAGAAGGTTTGAAATTAAATGTAAAAATTCACTAGAGAAATATTTTAGATATTTATGCATATGGAATATGTGAAATAAGGTTGTTGCTCAGATTGTCCGAATGACGAAACAGGAACAACGGCACAGCTGAAATATTATTATGTTTACCACATAAATGAACGCTTATTTCTAAGAAAATTTGTTTGCAGGTTAAACATTGTATTGCCATAGCCAAAGGAGACATTGATAGCGCTACTCAGATATTGTTACATCGCCAAGAGACTGGACAAAGTTTAACCGATAAGTCTATTTCTATTACTGGACGTAAAAATATTGTCGTGGACGATGCGGAATTAAAAAATCGTATTATTGAGAGGTTAAATTTATTGTTTTCCTAGTGCTTTATAAAGAAAACTTTTCTTTTTAATAATATTTTATTACTAATGCAGATACTCGTACGTTGATAAAAATGCTACTCAGCGAGAATACAAGCCTATGGTACCGAAGTTCGAGCCAAAGAAATTGGTTCGTTATAGGGATAATAAGATCGTTTCATTAAAAGGCGAGCGATATACAGAAGTAAAGCGCGACGAGGAAGCTGAGTTAAAAAAACCCAAAAAGCAACTCCAACCGTAACTAAAGATTTTGAAATCATGCCACAAGTATTTTATGAAAAAGTTGAAAAACCAGCAACTGAAAGATATAGAAGAGCAGCAGCTTCGTAGTTTTAATCTCAATTTGATATTAGAAAGTCTTAAACAATTTATTACTACCATCTCACTGCTAATAGCACACACAAAGGTATTAACAATATCAAAAACACTAAAGAAGACACACCCACCCATTAAGCGGGTTAGACCACTATATGAAACACCCGTATTCTTAAAAAAATCCATCGAATTTCATAAAAGCATACAATTATTAGACAAAGCGTCGTACAATAACAATCCTTTACGTGCTTGTAAGGCTTTTTACAACGATTCAACTCTTACATTGTTGAAACCATTGCTTACTAAAAATACAATGTTTGAACGCCATTACTTAAAAACCAATTTCAAACTCGTATTCGTTTCCGAATATAATGCAGCTGAGTGCATTTTTAAATTAAACTCCAGATGTGAATCTTTTGTGATTTCAAGTACTATTACTAGGATTTTAGATCATTTATTGTACACTAAATATCAAGGCCATACCAATTTAGTATACCGCTGCATCCATTCAATCAACATTTTACAGCAAGATAAACAAAGTGTTATTTGTAGTAATATATCAAATATAGGTTTTATCTTGTTCATCAATACAGCGTGGAACGTTTTAAAAATAATTTATAATTTTATAGTAGTATTTATTGTTTCTGATATACAACTAAAACTTGAAATTACTTACAAATTTAAATTTTTATGAGCTAATATTTTGTTACGGGAAATGAGTTGATTTTACAACTGTCGATATTTGCTACTATTACTTATTAGGAAATTATGACGATGTCGGCCGGCTGATGGTTTGGCAATCAGATAGCATATTGATCAAGGCAAACCACCAGCAAAACTATTCATGAGACTAAATAAGCTATATTTAATTCGAAATTGCTGGAATTATATACATATTTGTATATGTACTCGGCGCTTAAAATATATTGGATAACGGACTTTATGTGCTAGACAGCGTCAATGCACGTTGGTTATATGTATGTGTGTTCAGAAATATTTCCACTTCATTTATTATTGATCCGTATATATGATAGCCGCTTTGTAACCACTGAAGCGATTTTCGGCCGAGCTCCTCCTTAAATTTGTGGTTTTGCGGCTTGATGTGTATCCAACAAACGGAGGGACCTACATATAAATACATAAGTGTATGCATTTATTAGCCTTCAAAATTGCTATTACTTAAAGCCATATTTGATATTTTTTCGAAAGTTTTCTTTGAAAAGAAAAAAAAACGTAGATAGACATGTCTCAAAGACAAACAAGCTCAAATAGACTTATGGATTTACTTGTAACTACATAAATATGTTTATAAAGCGAGTAATGATTTTTCTAAATTATATTTTATGCTCTAATTAAAGTGTATTGAATTGAATGAACGAAATGCTTAGAAAATATGGGTGAAAGATCAGAGAAGAAGTAAAAAAATTTGAAAAAGACATGACATATCATATCTCTTCATAACTATCCATTATTTTGCGCTGAAATTCTTTTGTATTTATTTTTATTTTATTGTTGCGTTGAAAGTATCACCCACGTAAAAGCGAAAATTCGGTTAATTATAAGGTTAATTAAAAAGTCAGTATTTTTAAAGGCTTACTTAAGCTGGCATTTCTAATTTTATCACTAGTTAAATATTGCTTAAATGCTTATCTAGAAAATTTGAATGGAAATAAAAATGGTTTTGTTTTCTACCGTTACGAATTAAAGTGTTCCAACATTGATACCGAAAGCTAAAAATCAGTTATCAAAGCAAATGTTGCCAAAAATAAAGATAGTAAAGAAGTCAATAGAACCTATAAATACAAAAAAACCTACTAGTCTCACATATAGGTGATCACAAAAGCCATTTACCACTTTTGTTGTTCGAAGAAACGTGCGAATATGAAATTGGAATAGTAATGGTCATTCAGCACAGTATTTGTCACCATACATAAAATACACAATACACGGTTATAAAATTTTGAATTACATAAAAAATATAATATAAACTCATAAATATTTCACAAAGACTATATGAAAATTTAAACTCGCTTAAATTCAAACATTGTAACTTAGTGTGCTTAAGTGTAATTCCTGGTAAACTACATATATAAAATGCAAACTTCCTACATATATTTACCAATATATACTTATATTAACAAACATACACATCCACATACACATATTAAATATTAAACTTAAATTGAAATCAAACAAAATTAGTATAGAAAGTAAAAGTGTAAACATAAGCATATAAAGTTTATTTTAAAACAACAATAAAAACAATGATTGAGTTTTTAACCTTTTTTGGTGTTAAAAATCTCTAAAGTTTGCACAAGTTTTATACACATTATATCGATACCTATTATATCATTCGAATGTCGAAACTGGATTTCGTTTAATCCACATTAAGTTCGATTTATGTTTTATATAAATCTAGAAGTTTTTGTTTTCAAAATTCACATATGCACATATAAATGTATATATGGATAATTATTTGTTATATTTCTTAAAACTATATATTTTACATAAGTTTCATTTATTTTAAAAAGATTTATTTATTTTTTATGATAACAAATGCTATCCATATACAAGCTTACCATTGTGCCCATAGTATGTATTGTAAAAGAAAATATTAATAACAGGGATATTCGCTTAGCCTGGGAAATGCATACTACAGTCCACGGACTGCAAAAAAAAAAACTTATCATAGGAAAAACAGGAATAAATTGGAAAATATTCTATACCCAAACCAAAATTGCATTAAGAAAATCCACATTTTCCCAGGAACTTTTTGCATCTCGGTGTAAGCGAATATCTCTATTGTATAGTTATAAAATACATATCAATGATGAAATGTATAGATTCTCCGAAAATACATATTTAAATTTAGCAATCGATTGTATATCAATTTAAGGCCTACAATTTAATAATTGTCCATTTGGCCATACTGCACATATTTCGTCTTCGATATATATTATATATTATGGGCATCATGTTTATTAACCAGTTAAAATTGGAAAGTTTGTATGGATTGAACTGAAATCATAACCAACTCCATTATACAAAACAGACTTATTGGCATATTATTTATTAAAATGACATATATTTATGTTTACAAAATCATTATTATATAGTTTTTGTTAATGTAATAACGGCAGCCCATTAACGATAGGTTTTAATTTTTTAAAACATATTACTACACTTTATCTGATGACTAAAACGGTTGAATTCACAAATGAATTATTACATATATATACTAAAACTGATATTACGCTTCGAAATAATAGCAACGCATTGTCCTTACATCGTTTATTTATCTGAATAAAATATTACAACTTTTTATGTAAAATTCTTGCCTGAATTAATACCCAAAGAATTGTGTTAACACATACATATGTATCTCTCTTTCTAAGTTTACATTTGATAAGTTTCTTTATATTTATTTATTGTGATATTAGTATAATTTCATCACAATTGAAGATTAATACACTTTAACCTAATGCACATTAACATTAAAAAGAAGTACGTGTGTATATAAATATTTATAAACACGTACACACATACCTAACATAATATAATATCTACTCACTAAAGTGAAAACCAAATGTTTTTGAAAAGTTCATTAAAAATAAATCCACTATCAACACTAGAATGAAAATAAATTTAAAAGAATTATACGCCACCGAATCATAGAGAATAAAGTGCGGGATGACTACACTCGCATGTACTTTATTTTTTATGAAATTGGTAGTTATTCGTTACTTTTTTTATAATGTAAGAAATGGTAAGTAATTATGCTGGTACTATTTTGGATTACTAAACAGTATAAAATATTGAAAGTAATTTTGGAAATTCTACATGTATGCTTATATTATTTATTAATTCAATAGCGATGTTGCAAATACTGAGTGAGAATGTTGAAGATCCTTTAACGTGTTCTAAAAATAAATTAAAAATATAAAATTTAGTTGTTTTCCTTACAAAAACTTAGTTTGTAGATAACTTACCACATTCTTTTATTGTCCTTCCATTTAAATAATTGTATACTTATCTTGGTGCCCGCGGCAGCTGTAGGCTATATCTGTAATGATCCAAGCCGTTAATTGAGTGTGATTTTTTAGCAGTGTAACTATTATTAAGCTTTCCGGAATTTGGAGAATGAAAGAACGTTACAAAGACTCCATGACTTCAAATAGTCACTCAATAATCTTAATTTCATTAATTTAATATTTTGATTTATATTAGGATTTATCTTGGGGTTCGTATAAATTTTGCAGTGTTTTTGTTTTTCTACTTTTTGGGCGCAAACTTGTCAAATAATGGTTACAAGTTGTAATCGTTGATAAGTCTATTAACTTCTCTTAGATCACATTTACACAAATTAACCTTTTCTTCTTTTAGCGGTGTACATACATAATACGATTTTCGGCCAAGCTCCTCCTGCAATTTGTGGTTTGCGCCTAATCGTTTTCCCAACAAAACTAGGACTTGCAGTTTTCGAAGCCGCCTTCGAACGGCCGATGGTCAGAAATACCTTCGGAGGGCAACATCAATTGAAAAAATGAATTTTCTATAATTGTGGATGTTTGGCCAAAGCAGGACTCGAACCCTGGCCTTCCGAACGATAGTACGCTATGCTAACCAGTCGGCTATTGCAGCTGCTATTTAGCCATGTTTAAAAAAAAAAAGTGTAGTTAGTAAACTACTAAAGTTTGCAACTCTGAATTTAGTTAGTACTAAGTAAGCATGATAACATCATCAGCCTTTGTGCTCACGTTTTTGTGATGATTGTATTGAGCGCTCACATACTCGTATGTGTACACTAGTGGGTTAAGGCGTTCGAGAGCTGCAAACGAACTAGCAGACGTCTTTATATTGCCGACAAGACAAGTTCTAAAATTAAAAAACGTGGGGAATAGAATTTGTGTTGGACATTTTTTTGTTTCTATACGTTAAATAAGTTGAAGCGGTAAGCAGGTGGACCGGACCACTATATAAATAAATATGTTGTATATACATATATATATATATATATGTTTGCGTATAAAATACAAATACTATGTGTTTATATACATATGTATGTATGTACATATGGAGTTGTATACAAGTGAATTAAAGATAGTTGATCGCTAAACCAGAATATTTTCAAGTGTATTTGATATACATAAAAACATATATACATATACATATATCCACATACACGCACAAATGTGCATATATACATATTTATATGTGTTTAAATGTTTTAAATATTTACCTATGTAGAAACGGTTAGTGATATTGAAGAAAACCGTTGAAACGAAATAAAACAACAAAAACAAAACAAAGCATTTTACATATACAAAACTAATAGCAATCGACCAGCAGGTCTGTCGAGGTCACGGGACAGACGTTACTCTGTTAGCCACAACTCGAACATTGCCATCAACAACTTGAGTGGAATATTCGTTTATTTATGCATACTCATAAAATAAATATATATATATATGTATGTACATATGTACGTACAAGTGTGTAGGAATTTTGGGTGGTTACAAACACACCAGAGCGGTGTTATTGAAAAGATTATTTCAACGTATCTTTGTATTTGTTGTAAAATCGAAAAAAGAATATGCTCTTCCTACCCAACTAGTTTACATATGTACATATGTATGTAAATATAATTGGGGGCTTGTAGCCGCTGAAGTGATTTTCGGCCGAGGCTTCAATTTGTGGTGTGTGTCCTGTGGACCTACAGTTTTTACAAGGCCTGATGGCTGATGACTTTTTTGAGGAGCTTTTATTTCAAGCCAGGAATGTGTGCCTAAGTGTAACAAAAATTGTTTTACTATTTACATACTAATTCGGTCTAATATGAAAACATTTCTTCTTCATAAATACACTAATGACATTTGCATATGTACATACATACGAGTATATGCATTTGAAAATCTATTTTAAATTAATTTTATATAATTTTTTACCGTCCTCATGCATGTACATAATAACTATATGTACAATACAATACATATGTACATAGATATGCACACATGTACGTATTATATATTCGAAGAAAAAAGCAATAGCATACTACACCCCGTAGAGTTGTGAATGTCCGATGATTTGTGAAAAATAAATTTATAAGGACATAAATGAATGACTAATTCGAATCAGATAGAGTTAAATCTCCAAGCTGAATTTATCGGATGGTGTGTATGTAGGTTGTATTTCAAAAGAAATTTAACAAAACAATTGTCCGTGCAATATGTACATACACATGTATGCAGTCATGTGACGCTTGATTCTTCGAAAATTTTCATTAAGTTTTACTTTGCAACTTACATACGAGTACTTGTTCATACAAGAGTGAATACTCGACATTTCTTATTCAGCAATTCATTTGCAAACATTTTTAACAGATCATAAATATTTTTTTATGTATTTGCCTCTCGTTATTTATAGAACTGAGCATAATTTTTTTTTTTTTGTAAAAATGAATGTGCAGAGTTGCGGTGGTATTTCAAATAACACGCGCTAATCCTGGGCCTTGGAGTTGAATAAAAAGCAAAAACATAGAAAATATCGCAAAGTTTAATTTTTGTTTCACTAAAAACGATAAACAGATTAAAATATTTATTTATAATTAAATCTTCTAATCTTACGGGAGGTAACCACGAGATCAACTACATGCATACATACATATTAAAAAAGTGGCATTGATAAAGCAAAAATTCGCTTATTTGCGAAAAGAATGAGCACGTGATAACCATTTGCAGCCGCGTGTGTGTGGTTGCAAGCGTAAGTGCGATTGCGAGAATATTTCCAAATATGTATGTATGTATGTGTACACGTATATGTATGTTCTCATACATTTGTATATGAATATATGTATGTAAGTACAAATGCATACGTACATACATATATGTACATACATATGTATGTATGTAAATAAGTACGTATGTATCCCTACTTGTGCTACTAGAATAACACAAAACAAATGCAAATATTCATACATATACATATAAACATACAAATATACTCGTTCAAACATTAACTACATTATTGACTTCCAGACATTATCGTTTCCACTGCAGTTACTGCTTAAAAATGATTACTCTCACAAACACATGAAGCCGCAGGCTTTCGTCACTTAAAAAAACCAATAAGACATACATACACGTACATATGTATATGGATGTATAAATATAAACAGATACATATGTATGCATGTAGAAATACATATACGTACATATATTAACCTGTGTGCTTATATCTAAGCTTTGGGAAGCTAGTAAATATCATCGAGCTTCATATTTATCATTACTTGTAGCCAACAGACGTTTCACGACAAGCGAAAAGTTCGTTATTACATTTAATGCGACCTATTAAAAATGTGCGTGTGTTCGTGTTCATGTGTGAATGAATGCAATTTTTTGTTGTTTTCATATCTTATTTTTTTATTAGCAATAAATTGGATTTCACACATGTAAATCATTATTGAAAACTTCTCGATTTGAGGTTAGAAAAATCAAATTTAAGAATAATCTGTAGAAGAAATGTAAGTTTAATTCCCTAAAACTTCCCTTTTACAAAAAATCTAAAAACCCCTCAGACTTTCGGCGGTGGTTTAAAACTGTATGCCTATTAATTTCAAGATTGATTAAGCACTTACAAACCGTGTGAAGGAACGGGATGGGAAGCGTTAAAACGAATGTCAAATGAGACTTTTTTCTCCACATTTTCATTTTGAAATCAATTGAGAATTTCCTACATGGCTTATGTAACTCTTAACTAACTTTCAGTTGACTGCTCACAAATTCAATGAGAGTAAAAATTAAGTAAACATACATATGTACATACATACATACATACATACATACATATGTGGAATGTGCAGCTGCGCCGAGCGGAGCTTAGGAGAGTAATGTGGTTGTGGTTGTTGGGCTTTAATTTAATTGTAAATGCCTCTCCCTTTCATCCTTTTTTCAGCGTGGTTGTTGTGTTCCTTTTCGATTGCGTTTCCATTTCGGCTTTGTGTTAAGTGTAAGCGTGGGGCACCTTGGTGGGTGTTGGGCTTGGTGAAGGTGCAAATGTACAATAATTGGTGGCCTTTGTATTTTCTATTAGACCGTTATGCTATGCTTAAAGGTTAACGTTCTCTGGAAGGGCAGTTGAGTAAACATTAGTCAGCTGACTAGACTACAAAGAAACGCCAGAGGGCCAAAATTATTATTAAAGAATTCATTCGCTGATAAAATCGTAGAGTTGAAAGAATTGCAATAGAAAATAAAAGTTTTTATTTAGTTTTTTAAATAGAAGATGAAATACATTTGTATAATATAAAATTATTTAGGCTGTTTAGCCAAAAAATATAAATTACCAAAAAAAGAATTAAAAAAATTTAATTTACATTTTATAAAACACTTTCACACTGTTTTTTGTTTCAGAAAGAAATTGACGATTTAGATGGTAACTAAGTTTACCTCGTACTTAATTAGGGTTGCAAGTTTTAACTTAAAAAAAAAATGTTTTAAACAAATTCTCAAATGAAAGTATAAACTAGAGCTCAAGCAAAGTGTAAAAATCATTGAAACTTGAAGTTGAAAAATTTCAAAGAAACCTTTGAGAAGTTGGACAACGAACGAGTAGCGAGCGAGAGTCGCGTTGCTTGCACAGCTCGATACCCGGCTATTTAGAAGTCAAGTATATACATCTGTTTCAATTAACTATTTAAATTCTCTTCAATATTCCACTTTTGAATTTTAAAAATTAAAAGTTTGCAGAATTTGTAATTAGTAATAACAAACACGTATGTATGCACATGAGTAATATAGATATGTATTTATTTTGTGAGTACCTCCACTGTTTGCATTAAAAAAAATTCGGGTCACATGCCTACAGGGTGTGGTACGCATGCTTTACGTTTTCTATCTTTTTCTGTTTTTTTTTAAGCCGCACCCAAATGAGTTGGTCTATATTTTTTTTTGCTTTCTTTTTGTACTTGGCAGCCAATATTTGAAAAGCATTGGACTTAAGTTTGCTTATTTTGTATTGAAGTTCATAAATATACACGCACATAAACACGCAAAAAGCAAAATATCAAAAAGTCAAAGCTTCTCAGCGCTATGGAATATTCGCCAATTTTCAAAAGATAATATCATTATATTATATTATTTTTTTATGACTATAAGTCGCCTTTGTAAGGTAGATAATACATATATAATTGGCGCGTTGTAACTGTTGAAGTGATTTTCGGCCGAGCTCTTCCTCTAATTTATGGCTTTGCGTCTTGATTTTTTTCCAACAAATGGAAGGACCAACAGTCTATACTAAGTCGCCTACGAAGGGCCGAGGGTTTTTTTTAATTAGAATCCTGTATTTCATGTCAGAAGTACACTCGGAGGAGTGACTATTCTCTGCCGAGGGGGGAACGCAATTAGAAAATTTAACTTAACTTGGGCGTAAATAATTCAAAAAAATATATATAAGTTTTGAAAACAAATATCCCAGGAACGAAATATTGAAATATTATTTTTTCATGAATATATTAAAATTGTCAAAAAAGACCCCTGAATAGTTTAATCCAGACATTTCAGAATCATGACTAAAATATAAGTAAGCTGGGATGTCACGCTAAAAAGATTTGTTAAACTTTTGTAAATTAGTGATGCATATTGAATGACGGTCAAAAAATCACGAGCAAGAGCCAAATTTCACGAGTTAAGCGGCTGCGAGTGGTCTGCCAGTGAGCCAAAGTTTAGTAGGTTTTGTTGCGCGAAGTTGGACTGGTTTGTAATTAGGTATTTTTATGTAATTTATTTAGTGTAAAAGTCGGAGAATGATATACAAGTTTAAAATAAATATGCAATTAATTTAAGTATATTTTATATTGTGCATTACTAATATTCAGTAATTGGGAAAACATGATTATTTTATTATGGCGCCTCTGCAAGTGCGTAAGCATTGGAAAAGATGACGAGCTTGTAGCGATGCACACAGTACATGCACACTTACACAAATACACACATATGAATGTAATTAAATTTCTATCGGTATGAACAATAGAGTGATATTATATAATTAATAAACGAGACAATTTATTCAGTGGAATGCGTTTTTATATATAACTATATATATATAGATATATGTACATATGTATGTATATATGATTATATGTATGTAAGTAAATATGAACAGAACAAATAGGAGATAATAATATAGTTGATAAATGAATTGTACGTATGTTAATACATACATATGTATGTATATAGCTCTATCTCTTTGTTTTCGCGCATTTTCGGTGAAGTCGCCGAGTGAGAAGTTAACACTAAAAATGCTTCTAACAACACTCTACAATAACAATAAATTTGTACATGCATATGTATATACTTAAAAATATGTATATGTACATATGTACATCCATATAAACGTATGTGTGAAGGTGTAGGTAGAGCAAATTAGTTTATAATCGACATTTGCAATCGGCTGTATACATAATAATTTCATACAAAATATACAATAAAAATGAATATATGAATGTATGTATATACCCATCTGTAATTATAAAAAAAAGACAATTCAACGTTATGTTATTGTTGCTTCCGCTATTGGTGCTACTAGGCGTAATAATCAATTTTGCTTTCAACAATTGGCGATAGTTTAAGGGAACCTCTAATTTATTATGTAACACTCCCTTTTCCAATGAAATTGACTGTACATATATATAACTATGAATAGAAATACAACATTATCTATTGTAACTTAATTTTCATGGCTCGCGATCGCGTCATCAACTACGCACATCTACTCGTGTTCATCAAAATTTTCACGTCAGCATTTTGGCATCATCAGAGAAACGGTCAGTACGAACACTTATGTAAGCAGGCAGGCACAGTCTGTATATATGTACATGTCTATAGATATACACGTATGTACATATAAGTATATACCAATGTATGCATCCATAATCGTATTTCATGTATTTAGCCCCGCACATATGTGTTTGTGCGTTCCAGATCCGATAAAATTGAGAAAACATTTGTGCAATTAATAAATTCTGAGTAAATAAATATAAAATTTTTTGAGAAGGTAAAAAAGTACATGGCTACATTTGAAGTTTACATATTTATGTATGTGTTGATGAACTTGCATATAAGTGCTAACTGCTTTGATAGGCGTTGGCAGTGGTGTATGTTTGATCGGTAAAGCTTATTCACGAGCCTCACATGATTTCTCACATGATCGCAGTGTACAGTGTTCTCTGTGCCAGTCGCTGAATGAAAAAAGCTTAACTGCCTGTTTAGCTGCTGGGCGAAGCACTTTCTGTACACTCTCATACTCAGTCAGTAATACTCTTTAAAACTTAACCAAACCACATTCATTGTCAGGTGACTGTTAACTTATTTTGTGAAGCTGATTTCAGATGCTTTATGAACTTAGCATACATACTTACATGCATAAATATTTTGCCGAAATGAAATGAAATAAAAGAGGATAAAAAAGAATGAAGTAAAAATTAAAAAAAAAATTAAAAAATGAAATAAAATAAAATAAAATAAAATAAAATAAAATAAAATAAAATAAAATAAAATAAAATGGAAAGAAAAAATAATATAAATTTAAATTGGCCAATATAAAGTAAAATTAAGTAAAAAATATGCATCGCTAAATAGACTAATTATACCTGAATTTACAGAAAAAATAAAAACACAACTTATGCATAATATTTTATTATTAAATTAACGTACGTTATTATGTTCCCATATGGGTAAAACAAATATTTGCATATGTAGCCTATGGCAGGGAACAGTATGTATGTGAACAAGTTAAGCAAATATAAATCAGTCAGGAGTACGTAAATGCCTAGAAACCAGTATAAATGGACGCAGTAATTAATTTTGCACGCCAACATTTTAACGACATTTCTTTGTTTTGGTCTGTGTCTGCGAAATATGTATTTCGGATCTATAAATATGAATGCCTATTTATTTATATGAAAAATTTGTTGCAAAAATTATAAAAATAGTACAATATCAGCAACCTAGACGTGTCTTAATTTGCCAGTTTTTAATAAATGATTTTTTCTTCTATTCCTTTCTACATATCTATTTACTTACAGTGGAATAGCGGCGAGACGTCTTCATCAAAATGGGGGACATGTTTCGCAGTGAGGAAATGGCATTATGCCAAATGTTTATACAACCGGAGGCTGCATACACCTCTGTCTCGGAACTGGGCGAGACTGGTTGTGTACAATTCCGTGATGTAAGTACAGATCTTTAGCATGAACGAGACGTTTGCGTCACTGAGATGGCTCGACAAAAACTTTCGTATCTACATATTTACATTCATTGTATAGATGTATTACAAATATTTAATTTTTATTTTAGTTGAACAGCAACGTCAACGCTTTCCAGCGAAAATTCGTCACTGAGGTGCGCCGTTGCGATGAACTCGAACGTAAAATACGTTACATTGAGGCGGAAATTAAGAAGGATGGCATTGTTTTGCAAGACATTCTTGACGACATCCCCCGCGCCCCCAATCCACGCGAAATTATTGATTTAGAGGCACATTTGGAGAAAACCGAAAATGAAATTCTCGAGTTGGCTCAGAATGAGGTTAATCTCAAGTCGAACTACTTGGAGTTAACCGAATTGCGTAAGGTGCTCGAGAATACGCAAGGTTTCTTCTCCGATCAAGAAGTACTGAACTTGGACTCCAGCAACCGCGGCCCAAATGCTGTTGAGGAAGTCGGTCCACAAAATCGTGGTCGCTTGGGTTTCGTTGCGGGCGTTATCAACCGCGAGCGTGTATTTGCGTTCGAGCGCATGCTCTGGCGTATTTCACGTGGTAATGTTTTCCTTAAACGCTCAGATTTGGATGATCCACTCAATGACCCCCAAACTGGTCATCCAATCTACAAGACCGTCTTCGTCGCCTTTTTCCAAGGTGAACAGCTCAAAAATCGCATTAAGAAGGTATGCACAGGTTTCCACGCCTCCATGTATCCATGCCCCAGTTCGCATACTGAACGCGAGGAGATGGTTAAAGGTGTGCGTACCCGTTTGGAAGATTTGAAGTTGGTCCTGAGTCAAACCGAAGATCATCGTAGCCGCGTGCTAGCTACTGTATCCAAGAACTTACCATCTTGGTCAATTATGGTGAAGAAAATGAAAGCCATTTATCACACCTTGAACTTATTCAACATGGATGTCACAAAGAAGTGCCTTATCGGCGAGTGTTGGGTGCCTACCAAGGATCTGCCTGTAGTGCAGAAAGCTTTGTCTGATGGTTCAGCTGCGGTGGGCAGTACTATACCGTCGTTCTTGAACGTGATTGACACCAACGAACAACCACCAACATTCAATCGCACAAATAAGTTCACACGTGGTTTCCAAAATTTGATCGATGCTTACGGTGTAGCTTCCTACCGTGAGGCAAATCCAGCTTTATACACTTGTATTACTTTCCCATTTCTTTTCGCTGTAATGTTCGGTGACTTGGGTCATGGTTTAATTTTGACTTTGTTCGGCGCTTGGATGGTTATATACGAGAAGGGGCTGCAAAGAAAGAAAGCCGGAGAAATTTGGAACATATTCTTCGGTGGACGTTATATTATACTGTTGATGGGTCTCTTCTCATGCTATACCGGTTTCGTTTATAATGATATCTTCTCCAAATCAATGAACGTCTTTGGCTCCACTTGGAAAATACGATATAATACGTCCACAGTTGAAGATAATACCGTATTGCAAATATCACCGAATCACAGTACCTACGGCGTATATCCCATTGGATTGGATCCAATCTGGCAATTGGCCGGAAACAAGATCATTTTCCTCAACACCTACAAAATGAAATTATCAATCATCATAGGTGTAGCCCATATGATCTTTGGTGTTTGCATGTCTGTGGTGAACTTTGTACACTTCAAGCGTTATGCCAGTATAGTATTGGAATTCCTGCCACAAATTCTGTTTTTGCTCTTGTTATTCGGCTACATGGTGTTTATGATGTTCTTCAAGTGGGTAAAATACAATCCGAAGACCGCTTTCCAGCCGGATACTCCCGGATGTGCGCCATCTGTTTTGATTATGTTTATCAATATGATGTTGTTTAAGAGTACGCCGGCTTTGGAAGGTTGCGACGAGTACATGTTCCCAGCACAACCAGTGGTTCAGCAGATATTCGTGTTCATTGGGTTATTGTGTATACCTTGGATGTTGTTGGGCAAACCGTTATACATTAAATTCACACGCAAAAACAAAGTACACGTAAGTCGAGTTTTAGAAATAGAAATGAAAATTTGTTTTGTAACTTTTAACAAAATCTTCTATTCTCTTTCTTACTTTAGGCCAAACACAATGGCGATTTAACTGGCAATATCGAACTTGCCGAAGGTGAAACCCCAATACCGACAAGCCTTGATGAAGCTGACCATAGCGGCGGTGCTGGCGGCCACGACGACGAGCCAATGAGCGAAATCTACATTCACCAGGCCATCCACACCATTGAATATGTGCTCAGTACTATATCCCATACTGCCTCTTATCTGCGTTTGTGGGCTTTGTCTTTGGCTCATGCACGTAAGTGATTTTCGACCCTGAATTAATTTAAGACCCATATTAACAATTGGTATCCTTTTCTGCTGCAGAATTGTCCGAGGTCTTGTGGAACATGGTGTTGTCAATGGGTCTGAAGAGTAGTGACTACACTGGTGCCATTACCTTGTATTTCATCTTCGGCGCTTGGTGTTTGTTCACACTGGCCATCTTGGTTATGATGGAAGGTCTTTCAGCTTTCTTGCATACCCTGCGTTTGCATTGGTAAGGCGGAAAATTCGAAACTACTTATTTTTAGAGTGCGTATTTATTAATATTAAACATTTATCCACTTCTAGGGTGGAGTTCATGAGCAAATTCTACGAAGGCTTAGGCTATGCCTTCCAACCTTTCAGTTTTAAGGCAATCTTAGATGGCGAAGAGGAGGAATAAACAGTGTTCGCCCTCGAAAGTTGTTATGTATTCGCAATTTGATGCGATATCAGTATTGTGGTACTCTTCCCACACATATAAAGTGCCTTCCAGTTAATTTTTCCGTTGGTGTTTATGAGTATTTTGTCGGTCTGCGTTGTATAGATGTCCTCTACAGTTCATTAAGGTATTTTTTTGTTTTTGGTAAAATATTTTGAATTGTCATAAAGTTGTATTTATGTACTATTATGAATTGTTTCAAAAGGATATAAATGTTTATAAATATTAACTACGAAAACAAAATTGAATTGATTTATGTATGTATGCTTGTACGACTATACATTTGGTAATATTGTTCAATAAAACTTATAGAAGAGCAAAGCAAAGCAAAAACTAAAACTTGGTCTTAATTAATTGTTATTATTATTATTATTATCAGTATATATGTTTTTGTTGAAATTCACTCATCAACTTAGCACAGCATTAATGTGATGAATTTATATATAAGTACGGAAGAAACACTTTACAAAAACTTATTTTTGAATGTTGTTGGGTGTAGAACATCTTGCAGACTGAATACTGTTTTCAGTTGTCTGCATAGAATGCTCGTTGTCTGCGTATAGACGCATATAAACTGTTATCTATCAATCAGCCAATCAATCACTGCTTTTAAAGATACAGTTTTGTGTACTTTAAAGTGGAAAATGAAAAATATGTACCTCTACATTAGGTTGGATGTTGGGTTTCAAAAGTCTTAGAACACAGGCGCATACATACTGGCCCTGCAGCAGACTATTCTGTCCACCTAATTTTACAACAAACATTAACTCTAAACATCGACTTCAGTTTCGTGTTTTATGTCATGAATCGTCTCTTGATGATTGACGCAGCAATTATCCTTAACGTCGTCCTAGAAAACATAGTCTAACGGACGCGATACACATACAAATGTTATTCTCTTTAACATTTGGAATTTGGAAATCTCTGAACGTAGCATGGTAATGACGGCTGATAACGACTGCGTCCTCCTCGTTTTCGAAGAACAAGGAAACAATGATGACGCCGGTACACATGCCGCAGGCTTTTCTGTGGCCCCGTGTGGGTTTTTGAGTTTGCATTACATTCACTATCAACTAAACTGTACAGAGGTGTTGTCAATCACACCTACACCTACTTAACGAGCTTAAGTCAAGATTCCCTTTAAGATCATCTAGACAGTTTAAGCATCTTCATGAAAAATAAAGTTTGAAATGCGAGACTCGCTTAGATGCTTGGGCAACATTTTAATACTCATTACGCCGGCATTAATTCCTCCGACATATTTTTCTGTATCAGAAAATATTTGCTGAGAGCTTTAAGGATGGTTATTGTATTTTTCGTTTATACTTCAGGTGCGTTTCCCGGTAGTTTGGGGGTGAAGTAGTTAACACTGGGTGAGTTTGTTTGTGGTATGCATCTTGATGTTTTCCACAAATGGAGGGACTTATAATTTGTACTACGCCGCTCCTGAATGGCTGATGGTTTTTTATGAGGAATTTTTATTTCATGTCAGAAATACACTTAGAGGGGTTCATATTCCCTGCCGAGGGGCGACCGTAATTAGATACTCTCTAACTTTCATTTTATTACCTTTGCAAAAGTTTGATATCCTATAGCCCAAGGATTTTTTTAGGGTAGTAAGGAGGAGTGGAACCAATTTCGGGAGATCGTGAACTCATATTGTGGAATGAAAGAAAGTCAAATTTCTTTTCCAGTAAAAGCGGCTTTTTAAGTACGCATTTTACTTTTAGGTGTGGCCTGATCAAAAGCAATAAGTGCGGCTAAAAATATCAAGTCCAGAAAACTTGACAGGGGGAGGCCCTAATGCAGAGCGTAAATTGGACTCTCATGAACAAGCCAAATTCAACCTCATTGGGATGAAATAGTCGGTGAAAGTGTTGCCTGTGAAGAAGTTTGAATTACAGGAGCAGGACATCTTGCCAAACGATGTGGATATTTGAGCTGGTGTAGAATTTATCTATTGTAGTTTGAAGAAGAATTCGTCGCCTTTCTTCTCTATTAGCTTCTGCGGCGAATAAATATAGCACCACAGTATTCATAATTCTAATTTATTTTTTGTTTTCAATTCACAATGTTTCACCAAATTTCTAAATTTCAATAATACACAATATGACTAATCAGCTGATTTCGAGAGGGGAAATTCTTGGAAAAATCTAACTCTGCCTAATGCACTTACATATATGTATGTATGCAGTACTTATGTACATATTTGGTTATCCAATGTTCCAATAAGTATTTTTTAAACTACCGGCGCCTGAATGTCACGGGATAAACTAAAAATAAAAATAAAATTAAAATCCCATGAACTACATATTCTTATCAAACATACATACGAATATACATACATATATACATATGAATGTAGTACAATATATCTATAGAACTCAGGTGACAACATGATTATTTCCAATATTCTTTGCTCTAAATGATTGATTGGTTTTGAAATGTGATTGCGTTAATTGGCAGTCCAGTTTTAAAATTAAGTCCTCAAATTTGTATTCAGTGTCTATTGGACATCCTACCAAGGTGTTTGTGGTTAAATAGAGTTCGAAATTGCTAATAAAGTGAACCTTTTGTGTATAGGGGTAAGTATTTGATTAATTACCATAAAACTGAAATATTTATAAAATCATTGGCACCGAGAAACCGGAATTTGGACATTTCGTTACTGGCTGTGGCTGTTGTTGTTGTGGTTGCAACCGAAAAAATATTCCCCAAAGAACTTTCTGGGGAATGTTGCGGGAACTACAGTCCTTGGCTGGATAAAGATCCGGGTCGCTTCGGTATAAAGACACGACTGTTGCGGGAACTATTGGGTTTGCCTCTTACGACAGGCATACCTAACCGCGGGTAAAATATTGAGCCCCTAACCCGCAGGGGGTTTCGTGCTATTCGTTACTGGTTGACATTTTGAGCATTTCTCGGCGAACCACCGCAATTAATTAAAATGTTAGCAGCCTTGGTCTCTCCAATATGACCCTTGGTAGCTGCGTTAGAAATTGGTGGAGAAATACCGCTTCAGTTGTAACCGCTGAATGATCTGTATACATAAAATAAATGATCCTGCTACTGATTAATTCGACGCTTTCTTATTTATCGTTCGATTTACATAAAATTTGATACCGAGGTATCTGCCGGTTTAAGATACCATTAGGGACACTTTTACTCCTTTCCGGGGCTGCGACCGATCTGGTAAAAAATTTAAAAAAGTGTTTTACCAGAAATGAAAAACAATGAAAGTATTCCTACAGCATTATCCGGTAGAGTTCCTAAATACACCAAAGAGTGCCAGTCTCCCAACTTACTTTTTGAAATTTTGAGTTAGAGCCCCAATTAGTTTATGTTCAATAACACAAAATGAAAGGTGAGAGTATTGCATCGCTATATAATCGAGGCAATATGGGATCTTTAAGTCCCTACATGATACATAGATGACAATGCCTTTAAAGTGAGTGTGGACAGTGCCTAACGAATTGTCATCGCCGTTTCAGTGATAGTTGTTCTTGTTTTCGTATTATTCACGCTCGAAAATGTCCGTTTATGTGCCTAATTCTCGCCATTTGCGGGAAGTTTTACTTTTCTCTTACAATTCAAAAAAAAAAAATCCAGCTGAAGCACATCGAATGCTCTCAGAAACTTACGGTGATGCTGCTCTGAGTGAAAGAACGTGTAGGGAGTGGTTTTAACGCTTTAAAAATGGTGATTTCGATATCGAGGACAAACATGGTGGTGGAAGAGAAGAAACACGGCCTGGCAGATCAACATTTTCAATCCTTCGAAGAATTGGAAATATGGATTGCTTCATGGATAGCGTCAAAAGAGGACTCCTTTTTTCGAGACGGGATCCGAAAATTGCCGGAAAGATGGGAGAAAGTTGTCGCTGGCGAAGCAAAAATACTTTGAATAATATATCTGTAAGCAGTTTTTCGCAATAAAGCTTTAATTTTGGAAAAAAACGGCGGAAGCAAAGTTGTACACCCTTTGAAAATATTTCATATTATAAGTTATGTATTACTATAAGCCTAAAATCTAAAAATCAAGTTATTACTTTATTAAAGACATTTTCAAATTGCCTGCGAATGAAGTCGTCTCGCCTTAATTTCACGCTTTCGGAATAACTCCATAGTGATAACAGCTATAGAATACATCATTAGCCATTTGTAACCGCTGCAGAGATTTTCAGCCGAGCTCCTCCTCCAATTTGTGGTCTTAATGTTTTTCCAAAAAAAGGAGGGACCTACGGTTTATTCTAAACTGCTTTGGAAACATTGCATTGTTGTCGACTATAGTTAGATAATTTAATTTTGTATTATTTTAGATGTTGGTCGAAGCGGTATTCGAACTTTGGCTCCAATGTTAACCACTCTGCTATTGCGGTCGTACAAATATATACGGCATTTTCACGGCGTAGAAAATTATATTGTCCGTTCTCCTTGTCCGTCCGGCACATAATTTTATCGTTTTCTGTTTCGCTGCTTTACTCTTTTCGTTCCATAAGTTCATGAAATATTAAATTGAGTTGGTGATGTTATTATTATCATTATTAGTAATGGGGGTATAGTTAACATTCTGAGTATGCTGCTAGAGTAGATGCGTGAGTATGAAGAGCTTGAAAAGCTGGCTGACAAGGGTAATGCTCGAAAGTTCTTTTAAAGAACACGACGGCTTACAGAAGGTTTCAAAACGGACCAGACTCGAATAGTAATCGCCCGCTAAAAAACAACAAAGCGGCTGCAGCTGACGTCAGAGCTATTCAAACATGTAGAGCATGTACCTTGTCAATGCATCAGTTATTTTGTAGAATATGGTCTTTCGTCCGATGTATGCCCGACGATTGGAATTTTTGCGTTCTCTGCCCAATCCATAAAGAAATGTGTATCCTACAGTCTGCTCCAGCAAGTCTCCTTAATATCGTATAAAAGGTTCTGTTCTGGTTCTAAACTGATGAACACTAAAGACATTTCTGAGTCGCCCGATACCAAACGAGTCTTTAGACAGGGTGTTTTCTTATCGCGTGACTTCTTTAATTTATTGCTTTTGTGTTCGTTTGTTCATTTCTTTCGTTTTGCCTAATATTACTTTCACGGGAATGAGATGCATTGGGCGGGCATTCCGTAGAAAGAGCTGTCGTCTTCGCTTTATACGGCTTGGGGAAAATTATCCCAGTCCCTGTGGGTAACGGAGGCGGCTCCAAATTATTGGGCACCAATACACACTCGCCAGATAATTCTGAAGGTCTACGCATAGCTTGCAGTCAGGCTTGCAAGTATGTGTCGGATCAGATTCTAGCAATCTACAGAAGTGCCCATTGAGGAAGCTTCTGAGTGTCAGGACGGAGTCATTTGTGTGGAAAGTGGATGAGCACCGAGGTTGGGTACCCACACCCGATCGAGCAGCTATAACTATCTTTTTGTATATCAGTTGCTAGCAAACGTTTTCTGCGGACAGTGTTCCTTCTTTCGTTCTTCCTGACCCATCCCTCTAGCATCCCGCAGCCAGAGCCCAGTCACTTAGGCGGGTTAAAGTTACCCTCGGCAGCATACGTATATACGTACATACATATTGCATAAAAAGTGGAGGTGACACACTCCGTTGGAAAGACCGGGTAGAGGAGGATCTGGCTCCACTTGGTATCTCATATTGGCGATGTAACAAATTCGGCGAAAATCGAGTAAGCGGCGTCTATGCCAACAAAGTAAGTAGGTAAAGACTTTACTTTGAACCATATAAAAATGCTATTTCTGGTTCACACCGGTAAAATTTAAGACATAAATACGAGGTGTGTTCAAAAAGTATCACGAATTTTGAATTTTCGCGGGTTACGTATAACCGAATTTCGATTTTCTTGTGGCGTTATGTTGTTACTCTGTCACTTATGCCAAAAAGCTCGGCCATTTTCAATCGTGATAGCTGACCAACATCTAAAAGTTATAGAAAATTAATTTAAATAAAAAATCGAGTTAAATTTTCTAATTCCTGTCGCCCTTTGGCAGGAAATGTCAACACCTCTTGGTGTATTCATATCACGATATAAAAAACCTTCAGCCGTTCGGAGACATCCATACGCAAAACCACAATTTGGAGGAGGAGCTCGACCGAAAATCGCTTTTGCGAAATAAGCTATTTTATGAACTCTCCCGTTAAGAATTCGTTAATTTAACGTAAGGCATACTATCAGGTCATCATTAAAGCTTTAATTATCTTCTCACCACAGGAAAATTATCATTTGTAAAATAAAATAAAATAAAGGCAATTATTAAACTTTAGGAGAAATATATTTTTCGACGCAGAAGTTTAAGCTACCTCAACGCAATGGGGGATATGTTCCGTAGTGAAAAGATGACCCTCTGCCAGGTGTACATACAAAATGAAGCTGCCTACAGCACAGTTTCCGAGCTGGGCGAGATCGGTTGTGTGCAGTTTCGGGACGTAAGTTTCCTTTATTTTATAAAAATTGTCTTAAAGAATGTTTTTTAATTAGAAATTCCCATTTCAGTTAAACGATAATGTGAATTCTTTTCAACGTCATTACGTGGCCGAGGTGCGACGCTGCGATGAACTTGAGCGCCAAATGCATTATATTGCAGGCGAGTTGAATAAGGATGGAATTCTTATTGACGATTTGGTAGACGATCTGCCGCGTGCGCTGAATCCTCGAGATATTAGCGAATTGGAGTCTACACTCGATAGGGTAGAGACGGAAATACGTGAGCTGTCTCAAAATAATGTCAACCTTCGGGCGAACTACACCGAGCTGACAGAGCTGCGTATGGTTTTGGAGAAGACACAAAGTTTCTTTCATAATGTTTTGGATACTACAACACACTTTGGGGGCGATGAGACACATGCACAGTCACGTGGGCAATTGGGCTTTGTCGCGGGTGTTTTGAACCGCGAACGTTCGTTCGCCTTCGAGCGCATGTTGTGGAGAATATCACGTGGTAATGTTTATGTGAAACGAGCGGACTTGGATGAAGCTCTAATAGATCCACAAACCGGTCTTGAAGTACACAAAACTGTATTTGTGGTCTTTTATCAAGGCGAACAGTTGAATATGCGTATTAAAAAGGTTTGTAACGGTTTTCGTTCATCGCTCTACACCTGTCCGGCAGAGGCTGCCGAACGTGCAGAAATGTTGCGCGGCGTAAGGACACGCTTGGAAGATCTGAAATTAGTTATATCCCAAACTGCTGATCACCGACGGTTGGTGCTCTCCAACACTATCAAGAACTTGCCCCGATGGATGGTGATGATACAAAAAATGAAAGCCATATATCACACTTTGAATATGTTCAATGTTGACGTAACTAAAAAATGTCTCATAGGTGAGGGTTGGGTGCCCAAGAAGGACTTGGCGAATGTTACTCGGGCGCTTGAAAATGGCTCAGCTGAAGTTGGCAGTACGATCCCATCATTTTTGAATGAGCTGGAGTCAAAACAGCCCCCACCGACTTTTAATCGTGTCAACAAGTTCACGAATGGTTTTCAACATCTAATTGATGCTTACGGTATGGCCAACTATCGCGAGGTCAATCCGGCGCTTTACAGTTGCATCACTTTCCCATTCCTTTTTGCGGTCATGTTCGGTGATTTGGGACATGGATTTTGCATATTTCTTTTTGCACTGTGGATGGTTTTGGACGAGCAACGTTTGAGCAGGAAGCGAGGTGGCGAGATTTGGAATATATTTTTTGGTGGCCGTTACATAATTCTGCTTTTGGGTCTCTTCTCCATGTACACGGGGTTTTTGTATAATGATATTTTCTCAAAGTCGTTGAACGTTTTCGGTTCTGGCTGGCGGGTGCGCTACAATAGTACAACCGTGCTAACGAACAATAATCTGCAATTAGATCCCGTCGTGGCCTCAATAAGCACTTATCCCTTGGGCGTGGATCCCATTTGGCAACTGGCAGATAATCAAATTATTTTCCTCAATACATTGAAGATGAAAATGTCCATTATCCTTGGTGTGACACATATGATATTTGGCGTTTGTCTGTCAGTAGTGAACTTCGTACACTTCAAAAAATATGCATTGATTTTCTTGGAATTCATACCACAAATTCTGTTTCTCATATTGCTCTTTGGCTATATGTGTTTTATGATGTTCTATAAGTGGGTTAAATACACGCCGAAGACCGATTATCTGCCAGATACACCCGGTTGTGCACCATCGGTGCTGATTTACTTCATTAACATGATGCTGTTCAGTGCTTCGCCACAGGCAGCGGGTTGTGACGAGTACATGTTTGAAGTGCAGCCGGTCCTTGAGAAGATATTCGTAGTCCTAGCTATAATCTGCATACCATGGATTCTGGTCGGCAAGCCTCTATACATAATGATAACGCGGAAGCTTCGCGTAAGTGTTTTTCAAACCTGTTTGTACGGGTGAGCATATTTTTCCAACCAAGCATTTGCTTTCTGCAGGCTAACCGACAACAGATCTCGTCTCTCGGGAAAATTGCAGAAGAAGGTGCCAATAACGATGATCACGACATAGGAGAGGACGAGCCTATAAGCGAAATTTGGATACACCAAGCCATTCACATGATTGAATACATACTGAGCACTATATCACACACGGCTTCCTACCTGCGATTGTGGGCTTTGTCTTTGGCTCATGCAGGTTTGTCAAACACTTCCAAAACCCAGTTCTGGAAGCGCTTATATTTATACATATCTACATCATAAATTTGTTCACTTTTCATAGAACTTTCTGACGTTCTATGGAACATGGTGCTCTCGGAGGGTCTCAAACTCAACGGCTATCCAGCATCGATTGCTTTGTTCTTTATTTTTGGTGCTTGGGTCTTGCTCACGATAGCCATAATGATTTTGATGGAAGGATTGTCCGCTTTTCTGCACACTTTGCGTTTACATTGGTGAGTTGCTTTGCGATGCCAAATAAGTGTATAAATTTTTGACGTTTTTTGTAATCTAAGGGTTGAATTCATGAGCAAATTCTACACTGGCGCAGGATATGCATTTATACCATTCAGTTTCAAACTATTGTTGCACAAGGAAGACGACGATTAAGGCCGATTTCTAATATCTAATATTTTCAATAATGAAATACGTTCAAGTATATTGTGCGTAGTTAATAAAATACTGTATTAAAACGTGACTCAGTAATAAAACCCGTTAAATAGCAATTCAAGTTTTTATAAATTTATTATTGCCAGTTTCGGTTATTATCTTTAAGTTTCTACTTTTCTTCTTTCATTCATTTATTTAGTTTTAATTTGCATTAAATATTATTTTGAATATTTCGACATAACTTACTGGGGGCATCTGCTTTATTGTATTCTTCACTGCACATGGAACTTACGACTTTAGTTCCGAACTGAATGATTTCTTAATGGAAACTAAATTGCCGATATATTTGAATCAGTTTTGCCTTATCGTTTTGTTACAATGCTTTTGAGGTAGATCAATCAACGCATAAAGTGCCGAAAAACGATTAAATGTTTACGGTCTTATTCGGTCAGGTGTCTTAATTACATTTCTGATTATTATTATTTGAGGAAAAAATTTTACGATTACTTAAGTTGGATTTTTATTTTACCAAAGGAAATATTTAGAAAAGTCAAATAAAATGGACAGCCATAAATAAAGTCATATACTGTATACTACTATATACACATTTTTATTACATACATTCATAACTCAGCCTGAAAATGAATTCCGATTTATCATAATTTCCACTTCGTATTAAATTAAAAACATGCCATCTTCGGGGGTATTCGTAACAAAATTAAAAAATCTTCCCAAAGTTTTCGAGCTGTGTAATACCGAAATTTGAAAATACGGGATTATTTTAATTCATAGTATTCCCGAACTTTGTAGAGAGTTTATATTAGATATCATATTTATTTCAACTTTCGGATTTCTATTTATATTATCGCCTATTTTATTTATTTCTAAAACTCTAGCATCTGCCTTAGCGATCTATATCTCGCGTTCTTCACGCTAGATGGCAATAGAAAGATTATATTTTTGGTTATAAAAAGTACACTTCCCCATGTGTTGATCAATTAACACAGTAGTATTTGAGTAAATGCCAAAGAGGGACATCAACAAAGAGAACATACGGTATATTCTACATTCTTCCACATTGTACATAGTCTTTTCGGTTCTCTACTGTAACGGTCACTCATGTACTATTTTCGTTTCGTCGATTTCGTTTCGGTAATTTTGATGTAAAACATGCTCGACAGTGTGGAGGGCCAATTGTTGCAATTGTCGATAAAAAAAATGTCCTTTGCCAAGGAGGATGCTAAATCGTAACAAAATCGATCAATTTCTGAAGCGGATGGTGACAGCATCAAATGATAATGGTCATGGTCGTGGTCGAAAGACAGTCAGCGCTACGGCCAAACTCTTTATTCAGTTTTGCACTGTCAGCAGTTGGACCCTCTGAAGAAAGGAATCGCCCCGGAGCGCAGAGCTTTGTCCAACAGGAGGGAGATTTTGTTTCATCAGGACAATGTCAGACCACACATGGATAGTGACTTGCCAGAACCTCCGAGAACTTCTTTGGTAGGTTCTTATGAACGACCTTATAGTACGAACTTCGCATCAACAGATTACCATCGCGCTTCTGTCTATGGGGAATGATTGACTGGTGAAGAATTTGAATCTAGAGAAACATGTGAAAATCGATTGTCCCAATTTTTTGCGGATGGACTCCAGGGTTTCTATAACAGAGGCATAATAAAATTACCTTCAAAATAGAGCAAGAAGATACATATTTGACATAAATCGGTTAGTTTTCACAAAACTCGAAATAAATGCAATATGAAACCGCGTTGATGAAAAATCTGAAGAATAATCGAAAATTTGCTTGAAATAAGAAATCCTTTTTTAAAAAAATAATTCTCGAGGTGGCACTAGGCTAGTTCTTCAAAACCTCGCGGTCATCTTTCAATAAATATAACAAATATAATGTTTCATTCAGCAGATGTGAAATTTCTGTGGACCGCGACGACCACTCGGCACATAGCCTTGTTAGCTAAGCCCACCACATTATGAGTGCATGATTGATTGGAAACTCGGGTTTTTAATCACCATCGGCCATTCACAATTGATATTTTACAATAGAATAAAAATAGTTTATAAATTTTAGTTCTAATTTGGCGGTTGAGAGCCGCGCACTTTTAACACGGCGCTGCAGTGAAAGGCAAGTGAAAATTGTTTAAAGATATTTTCATATTTTACATTAATTTAGCATTTACCTCTATTGGAATAGCTTGATTGAGTACTTGCAAACATGGGTAGCATGTTCCGTAGTGAAAAGATGACGCTGTGTCAGATATTTCTGGCACCGGAAGCGGCTTACAACAACATGGCTGATTTGGGTGAACTTGGCTGTGTGCAGTTTCGAGATGTAGGTTGAAATAAATATTTGATCCCTTCCAATCTCACGAATATATAATACTTATATAACTACAACTTCTGTTTACAGCTAAATCATGATGTCACCAATTACCAGCGTAAATTTGTGAACGAAGTGCGCCGCTGCGATGAAATGGAACGACAAATACGCTATATAACGAGAGAGTTGGAGATGGAGGACATCAAACTGAAAGATGTGTATGATGACATACCGGGTGCGCCAAATCCGCGCGAAGTGTCTGAATTGGAGGCACAATTGGAGAAGGCAGAATGCGAGATACGTGAAATGTCTGAGAATAATGTAAACTTGAAATCCAATTTGCTAGAGCTAACCGAATTGTGTAAAGTGCTTGAAAAGACCCAAACCTTCTTCACAGAACAAACCGTTATTGATATGGAGGAACATGCGAATAGCGGTACATTCACAGGTGAGCAACGCGGCCATCTGGGCTTCATAGCGGGCGTTCTAAGCCGTCAACGCGTTTACGCTTTTGAGCGCATGCTTTGGCGTATATCACGCGGCAACATGTTAGTCAAACATGCCGATATTGAAGAGCCACTGCAGGATCCACGCACTGGTATTATGACTTACAGAACAGCCTTTGTGGTCTTCTATCAAGGTGAGCAGCTTAATGCACGCATAAGGAAGGTCTGCACCGGTTTTCATGCCTCGCTTTATCCATGTCCGAATGTACACCACGAGCGTGACGATATGTTGAGAGGTGTGCGTACCCGTTTGGAAGATCTCAAATTGGTATTGAAACGTACGCAGGACCAGCGTAATTGCATATTGGCTGCCATAGCAAAAAGCCTGCCCATCTGGTCCATTAAGATAACCAAAATGAAGGCCATCTATCACACGTTGAATTACTTCAACATTGATGTGACCAGCAAGTGTTTGATTGGAGAAGGATGGGTGCCGACGTTAGATTTGGAATTGGTACAGCAAACGATCGCTAATGGCTCTGCAACCGCGGGTAGTACCAGCTCATTTTTAACGATATTGCAAACAAAAAAAAGTCCTCCCAGCTATTACCGCACCAATAAATTTACACGTGGATTTCAAACTCTGATAAATGCCTACGGCATGGCCAGTTACCGCGAGGTCAATCCGGCACTTTATACCTGTATAACCTTCCCCTTTCTATTTGCCGTTATGTTTGGCGATTTGGGTCATGGGTTCATTATGTTCTTGATTGGCTTCTGGATGGTGATCGACGAAAAGCGGCTATTACGAGTGAAAGGTGGTGAGATTTGGCGTATCATGTTTGGGGGTCGCTACATAATTATGTTGCTCGGTCTTTTTTCTATGTACACCGGTTTCACTTATAACGACACTTTTTCGAAATCATTCAATGTGTTTGGTTCGAAGTGGCGCATTAATTATAATACGACCACAGTTTTGACCAACGACGTCCTGATATTGAATCCCAGCACAGATACTATTGGTACATATCCGTGGGGTATGGACCCCATTTGGCAGTTGGCGGATAACAAGATCATTTTCTACAACTCGTACAAGATGAAATTATCGATCATTTTCGGTGTCTTGCATATGATTTTTGGTGTGTGCCTGTCAGTGGAGAATATGGTGTATTTCAAGAAGTATGCGTACATATTATTAGAATTCGTACCTCAGGTGCTCTTCCTCATTCTATTGTTCGGCTATATGGCCTTCATGATGTTCTACAAATGGGTACAATATTCGCCTACCACCGACTATGAACCCAATCAACCTGCTTGCGCTCCATCAGTATTGATATACTTCATAAATATGATTCTGTTTAAGGCCTCTCCAAAGCTAGCTGGTTGCGACATGTACATGTTCAGTAGTCAGGTGACGGTGGAAAGAGTTTTTTGGATAGTTGCGCTATTCTGCATCCCGTGGATGTTGATTGGCAAACCGATTTATATACAATGTGTGCGAGCGTTCGAGGTATATAAACTACAGGGGAATATTTATATTTAAAATCATATTTAAATGTATATATACTTTTAGAAGAGGGGCAGACGTGAGGAGTATGTTGAGAAAATAGATATTCAAGAAGGCGACATTGTTATTGAAGCTACACTCACTGATCCAGTGCCACACGCTCACCACGAGGATGAAGATGATGAAGAAGAAGAACCAATTAGTGAGATTTGGATTCATCAGGGCATTCATACAATTGAGTATGTGCTGAGCACCATTTCGCATACGGCCTCATATCTGCGGCTGTGGGCTTTATCTTTGGCGCATGCGGGTAATCTCTAAATGATTTACTGTTTCTTGGAGTGATATATGATATTTATTTCTCTCTCCCTCTGCCTCTTGGTGGCTTTTAGAATTGTCGTACGTATTATGGCTTATGGTTATGCAGAAAGGCCTTCATTTCGGGGGTTACCCAGGTGCGATTGGAGTTTATATTATATTCTGGGCATGGGCACTTCTCACCATAGCCATTATGATATTTATGGAAGGTCTGTCAGCTTTTCTGCATACATTGCGTTTGCACTGGTGAGCTTTTCTTATTTGTCTATATATGAATATGTAATACAATATATTAGTATTTGTATTTTTCGCTTCTGGTTACTTTTTATGTTTTAGGGTCGAGTTCATGTCTAAATTCTACTCTGGAACTGGTTATCCCTTTGAGCCATTCAGCTTCACAGCTATTTTTGAAGCCAGCGAAGAAGATTAGACTATTCAAAATTACCATTATTAGAAGAATTTTGGCAAAAAAAGATAGCTTAACTTCATTTAATTTGCTTAAAATACAAATAAACACATACATATGAATACAAATATATAATAAAACAAAAAACAAAAATTTGACAGCATTCGAATTATGGAAAATTAAATCTTCTTATTGCGCTCGCCCCTTGGTAGGGAATGTAAGTCCCTCCGAGTGTATTTATGACCTGAAACAAAGGCTTCTCATAAAAATCCATCCGCCGTTCGGAGCCGGCTTAGTATAAACTGTAGGTCCCTCCATTTGTTGGAAAACCATCAAGACGCATACCAAAAATTGGAGGAGCAGCTCGGGAGAAAATTGTTCTTTCACATGAGTTAACAGTGCCACCATCGCGAAGGAAAGGCACGGGGTTCATACAGGTGAGGATCTTCATTTTGCAAGAGCAGATGGCAGATGCACAACGCTAAACTGTTTGGTGCAATAAACTTTATATTTGTTACTCAACAAAATAATTATCGCACCAACCCCCAATTTACATATATCAGATGTCAGACCAGGAAGCTGAATGTCATCAGCAGTGTTTATCACTCAGACGACGGATCCACATATGTATATATCTGGTGTATAAAAAATACTATTATAGAAAATATTTCAGACTAAGATTAATCCTAACTATTTATATTCTAAACATTTGCTCTCGCTCTCTCCACATTATTTATAACTTTATGCTCCGAAGTCAATGTTTATATTTCATTTCATAATCTGCAAATAAGCCCCTCCACAAAGAACAGAACGGGCACGCCTCTGATTTTTTTTATAATTTTGAATTGCATTCTTTCGAAATCGCAATGAACTTCTGAATTGCAACTGCAGAAGTCAGCAAATTTGCGTTTGAGAAAAAAAAAAAAACTAACTCTTTACGTCAGCAAAAGAACACCGTACTTCAATATCATCTAGCCATCTGGTGTGTGGGTAAATAAATTTGACAAGAATAATAAATACCACGGTAAGCTAAAAAATAGTTTTATTTCATAGGGTTTGGATTATTTAGCAAGATTATCTGAAAGTTTTACCGCTAGTCAGAGTTTACTCTTCAAGACACACGGTTACTTTGTTTGAAGAAAGAAAGATGTCACCCTTTAAGACATCAGCTGTGCCAAAGTTGTCCTTCTTATTCGCACTATGTGCATCCTTCGTCTATGCCGATTTGTTTGTGCAATTAAATGTGAATCGACCGTTAAACGACGTGAGTGAGAAATTTGTCAGTTTTACTGTGGAACCAGCTGATCTGTATCGGGCGCTCGATGGACCAAATAGGTGTGTCATCATTATTATTTTAACTCAAACTTATTCTAATTAAAACTTACTCACAGGAAAACGCTTACACAAATGGCCACGCTGCTTGGTAGCTCGTATGTAAAATTCTCAAATGATTACAACTTCATACCGGAGGATACAGAAACAAAATATAAAAATCCCACAAAGACAATTTGGAAGGGTTTCAATCGCTGGACGAGGTGAGTGGCAATTGAAGCGAAATTTGCAAAACTGAAAAAAAAAATTGTTTTTTTTTTTCACAGTGCCGTTAACTGGACTATGATTGTGCCTCTGCCGTATCAAGCTGGCGATTGGGACCCCATGGAGTCGCTGAGAATATTAAATAGTTCATATCTGACTGGCATCACCGATTGCGTTTGGCAGTTGGGCACAGGTAGGCTGTTATTGAAAAAATTTAAATATTTCCGAAGTTCTTAATAATTTTATGTCATTTAAGAGTTCGGTTCCAGTGCCTCGGCTTACTTAAACGATCTAAATACACTGAACTTGATGGTGGACACATTTAAACCATATGTTGATGACTGGGAATTAACCGGTGCTGAAATGCCCTCGGCAACTAGTAGTGAAGACGTTAGACGTTTTATTGAGCACAACAAAAATATGCATGCGGCATTTAATTGGCTGCAGTGAGTATTTCAACATTACATACGTATATACATGGTTTGCGGTCTATTCTAAAAAGGCTTACCTCAATGTTTTAGAGGATTATTTTTTAGAGAAGAAAGGTTTTCGACTGAGGAGTGGTGGTATCCTAAGAACCATACAATGCGGACTTCAAAATTTATCCCTAGCGATTTTGCTTACACGAGCTATTCGTATGACTTTAATAGAAGTTAAGATCTGTTTCACAATTTTTAATCGCACTGTGAGTGAGATCAGTCATGTAATATCCGCTCTGTCGAAAGTCGTTCTGCGAAAAAGTTAATCCATCCCTTTAACAGTAACAGTTATTTTTACTCCAAAGATCTTCCGGGTCCCTTATTTGTTAGTTGTATATTGTAGAAATTTAACTAATATTGCGTATCATTAAAGGATACTATGAGCATTTCTATATTTCATTGTGTGGTGTTTTATGCTATTCACCAATGTCCATTGCAGACCCCCCGATTCAGCGTTATCGAACTCCATGGTCAGCTCAGTCTATGAGCATGATCGAATTCTGCGAGTGATGCTCAACGAAAAGGTGCCTGTTTGGTTGAACTTCGAGCCTAAGCAAAGGAGTAAGAAGCTGAAGCTGAGGAGTAGCAGCGGTAGCAAAATTACAGAAGAGATCGGCGATGCGTTACGCTGGGCACAGACGCTGGGCGAAGCGGCAAACTCTGGATTTGATGCTATATTTCGGCGAATAGAACAAGATGACTTGGAGCGTCCCAGTCAAAGCTTCTTTGTGACCATGCTCTTTAAAAAGGTGATGGGTTCACGTGTGTTCCCCGCACGTCCCTATTCCATTTTCTTGCGCAGCAACAAATTATATACCCACTGTGCAAATACTGTTTCTGGCGGTTTGGCATTTATGATTGTCAATCCTGATGATGACGAAAAGAAGGTATCCGTTAGATCTACAACGAAGCTACCAGGTGAAGAATATTGGCAATATATATTGACATTTAAGAGGAATTCCGTCTATCTAAACAACGAAAAGTTGACTATAAACTCTACACTCCCGGCGGAAGTCAAAGTGAAGAGTCCAAATAAGCCCATACCATTGAATGCTCCCGGAAAGTCTGTCAGCTTCTGGATATTGCCAAATACTGAGTTGGAACTTTGTCAGTTCACAGAGATCGCTGTTGACGATTTGGCGAGAGATTCAATTGAAGAAGAGGAAAAGGTGTTAACGAAACATGCTTCGTCGTCGGACAAACTTCTCCAGCAACTAATAGAAGAAACGGCCATTCCACATAGCGCACTTTTGCAAAACAGTCACCGTGGTCGCCGTTATGCCACCTTTGCCAATCGTGCCACACACGTTGTGCTAAAAGACAAAGAGGAACAAATTCAAAACTTGGCCAAACTCTTCGAACCGCTTTCGCTCGAAGAGAAGACACCAAAAAAGCGTGAGGAAGCATTAGAGGATAGACGAACAGCAGCGCTGAAATGGATTAAAGACTTACTCGACGCAGCTATGCAAGATCAGGAAGACCTCTCTACATTGAGACGTAATACCCGCAGCGTAGATGACTATTTTGGTGCCGTCTTTGGTAGGAAGGCCGCAACGCGAAATACGGCGGTTGTAAAGAAAATCACGGAAATTCGAAAACCAGAAAAAAAATCAATCAAACCGGCATATGATCCTGAACACTTTAATGAAGAGGAGTTCTTTAAAAACATGGGAGTTCAAAGTGAACCTGAATTGCCGAATGTACCCGAAGGTGATGTACATATCACCCATATAGCTAATGTGGAGGGAGATGATCTTGACGAATCTAAAGAGCGGCTGAAAAAGAAGGCAGACTCCATCGATGTGCATGGTACTATTGGTAAGACGGCAAGAAACGATATGAAACCACTACGTCTGTTGCCCACAGAGTTTTACGAGGCACTGCCAGTACCTAAACTAGGACAAAGTAAATCGAAGAATGCCAAGAAATGGAATGCTTTGCTTTTTCCAGAACCCTTCAAAAAGAAATTAAATATGAATGAAAAGAAAATTAAAAGCAATACTCTCGCTGAAACTTCGACCGTCAATAATGCGGATTCCGATGTAGAAAAAGTTGATGCCGCACAATTCCAAGCTGGCGGCCAGCTGGCAGAGGACTTTCTGCTCGCACAAGAGGAGCTCGCACGTGCTTTTCTACGCGAAAACGAACAGAAAGGGCAGACAGAAGGAAAAAGTAGTACGAAGGAATTAAGTGAAACCAATGGCGAGACTGACGACGAAATGCTTGAGAAGATCAAATCTCTACGTACCAAATACATTGACTATTTGGCAGAGAATTTGGAAAACTACTTCAATGAACGGGGTGGAGTAAGTGCTTTGGATGTGGGAAAGAGTTTGGAACGTGCGACCACGGAACCGTCTTGGTGGAACTTAAGCCCGTTGCGTAAGCGACGATCGACACGTGCTTTACATTACGATTTGCCCGAAGATTCTTGGCTTTCCAATATGATCACTAAAGATGAGGATCTCATGCCTTTGGGAAGTGTGGCACCTGAAAAGTTTTTGAGCACTGCGCGACGCGTCTCGAACCGTCAACCGATGGACGAGATTGAGGACGATGATGAAGGAAAGTCCACTGATTATATGAGAATAATGAAAGATAAGGTCGATAGGCTTGTCGATATCGTGACGCGGCAAGTAAATGATTGGTACAACACTTTCACTAAACCTGTGGCTGAGGCGAGGAGCGACATGGATGGAAATAGATTGAAGTCAAAAAGGGCAATGAAGAAATTATTGTAAATGAGGATTTCTGTTGATAAGCTAAACCGGTGACTTTGGATTTAATATGTTCAAAATAATGAGATATGACGCGCTGAAGTGAGCACAGAACTACTAACATTGTTTGTTTGTTTATGGTGTTATTTATGTATTTACACGTCTTTAAAATAAAGTGCTGCTTATCAAAACAACATTGAGAAATTAGTGTGACATTATTTTAACCTTGGCTAACGACTGGCATTGGAGTAGCGAAGATGAATGAGGGCAGCTTTTGCGGCCTTCTGACTATGAGCTTAACAATTCGATGAAGAAGGGAACATCATATGTGAGCTTGCTCTTATGTAGGAAGACGGTGGACAGCTGCCGAATGATCGCCATTAACGACTCTAGTCTACGGTACTTGCATTTCGGTTATGTTTGGCAGAGCTAATATGAATGTTAATCCTCATAAAAGTTGGCTCATGACAAAGCTAAGTGGGCATATGCCAAAAAACTTATGGATTCTGCAGCGGTGACGACAAGATTCGGAAGTAGGTCGAGGAGAAGTGAGATGGTGTCGTTGTTTCTGATTAGACTGATATGTATTTAGGACTCAAAAGGTGGTACATTTTTTAAATAAACATAGCGAAGGTGAGTTAAGAGGAATGAAAGATTGTCTACCGTCCCGACATCTCTTTCCAAAATAAAAGATTTAAGCCACAAACTCCTCTCCTCAGGTAATAGGGTCACAATGCACTTACACCGAACTGGGAAAATGGAACAAAAATATTTTTTATAATTTTCTCATAATATTTTTTTCGAATTAAAAAAAAATATTGCTCCCAACGAAAGTAATAACAAAACAGAGAGCATAAAACTGAACTCCATGAGCGTATATACATACATACGCACAGCAACAATGAAGAACACTAAGAGTCAAGAAAGAGCTTGGCAAGGAGAGGAGGAGACCTTAAACACATTGTAATTTGCGAGTATAGTTAATGGCCAAGAAGAAAAGCAGTCGTGCTAACCAACAATCGAAAGATTTGAGCGTCGATCAGTTGGAGACGACGAAACAACCGCTGCACAATAGCTGCCGACTCAGTCTCAAGTCGTTGGTACAAGGCGAAGGTTGTGTGCGAGTGGGATTTTAATAAGTAAAAAATAAAAAATATAATAAACTAAACCACGTTCACATATAGCTTTTACTAGAAGGTATGTAGATGCAAGCAAAGGGAAAATTTGGTTAAGGAACATTTAAAATTTTTTTTTTTATATTTAAACCACAACGCGCTGATGCAGCAAAATGAAAATTTAATGTGCAACTCAATATGGGTAGCAGCTTTTTTTGACCCACTAAAACCTGTGTGTACATTTCGAACGTTAACGTAGATACATATATGTATACGTACATATCTACACATCTATACATATTTATTTGTGCACTTGCTTTGGCATTCTCATATATAGTGGCGGAATCGGAAAAAAATTCACGCTATAACAACAACAACAGCATGTTTCCAATAGCACTTGGGCATGGCATTAAAGGGCATACAAACACATACAAAACATGTGCATTTGTATAAGATTTGTTGTTAATAAATACAATTAGATATGAGGAACACTCCATAATATTTTAAAGGGAAACTTTTGAGTCTCTTTGTATGTAAATATGTATTTTTAAATGTCTCTGGTCTTCGTATACGAAAGTCAATGTGAAGAATGCAGAAAAGAAGATTTTTAGTTCGTCTTGATGACGTGGTTGGTTAGTGCAAAGAAGAAAGTGCAATAACTTTGAGGCAATCCAGCATTGAAATCTAAAGAACATTAAAAAAGTCTACTTACTTTTATATATATCGATTCGATGTTTTATTTCATTTTTGCCTTTAAACGATTGGGTAATCTCAGTTAAAGTGTAATCGCTTGAAAAGGTGAAAGTAATGTTATTTTTACTCATATATATATATATATGTATATATGTATAAATAAGTGTGTAATGCAAAGCGATTAACTTGTGATTATCTTTTTCTCTTTTTTTTTATAAATTTTTCGTGATTTTTAATTATTGCGAAACCTCAACTGAAACTAAATATTCGTAAGACCAAAATCTGCGTTAATTATCAACACCGCACACTTTCACCCAAAAAGTGTTTACAACACATATGTCTTTGATATAAGCCATGGTCTGCTGCCGACTTTTGACTTGCACATATGTACATATATACTTTTATTAATGTTTTATCAGGGACAGATCCGTAATGGTGATATAAGGTACATTTTACCTCTAAGAGCTCTAGCAAATATGAGCTCTTTTTAAGAAAACTTATATTTTTTAAAGAATTTCAGTCAAATAGTGTGCTCGAAGTTAATTTTGGTTCCATTTCGATTCCGGGATTGTAAGTAGTTGGATTTTAATTTTCAAACATTGCGATGTTAAATAATTTCCCTCCAAGCAACATGCAATTTTTTAAATACAAACAATCCATGACAAAAGTCATGAAAAGAAACGTCAAACTTTTTGCAAAACAATCTTTTCTCTGCTTGTGAAAGAAGACGCAAGTCGATACAAATAGAAAGAAATTATAATTAATTTCCACTGCTGTTATAAATAAATTATACATTTTAATATATTATTTACATATATTTTTATTTCTTATATGATGAAAATCAAAACTCGAATCAAGCATTGGAATAAAATTGAATTATTAACACAGATTAAAAATGCCATGACATACAAACATATTTTGTATTCAGTGACTATGCAAACGTATGTATATATGAATATAAATGTATACATACATTCAAATTTGTGCACATCTGTATGAATAAACATAGTTTAAGGTTATATATATGTATACACGTATGTACATATGTATAAAACAAAATTGGCCGAGGTTCTTTGTATTCGCTGTGTGCCTCTTGATGGTTTCCCCACAGTTTTAGGCCGCTGAACATCAAGTGGATTTAAGCTTAAAATAATGTTAAAGAAAAAGCCCTGTTTCTTTTATAATATTGGGATGTTTTTATCAGACGTGCAGCCTTCCTGAAGACAATTCTTTTTACGGAGAAAGGTTTTTGGCAGCTGTTACTTGATTTCCACTTAGGTTCTTCACATTAGTAGACATCACCGCCTTGTAGAGTCGGTAATTCGAGCAACCATGGATCGGTTATGACCGCGCATACAGTGTAAAGCAGAGTTTCGAAGAAGACTCGGCATCGCCCGCAACTGTTGGACCTGTGCCCATCCAATTTATGGAAGGTTTTGAGGAATGATTTTGGTTTCCGGGCTGCAACAATTCACGAGAAACGACCAAGCGCGTTGCACGTTCGGTGAATGGGCCCAAACGATCGGCGGCCATGACTCCGATTTTCAAAATAAAACTTCGTTCAGCGATGAAGTTCATTTGAAGGGGTACGAGTATGTTAATAAAAAATCTTCACATTTAGAGTGATGATAATCCTTGCTGATAGTCTATGATGAGTGCTACACAGCCATTTTTAATTACTTTTCCATGCCTGATTCGAAGATGTTGATGTGGAGAACCATTGGTGCTATTTCGTGCGTTTTTTTTCTCAGAACATTTTTTTTATAATTAAATATTTTTTTTTTACAGAAACTACGAGTTTTATAACTCATTGAAATAATATAAATAAGCATGTGAACAGCAAAGGACGAGTATTAAGCGAGTATCGTGCAGCTCGCACTACCCTACTCACATACCCGGGTATCTAGGGCAATTGTTTATGAATATGCGCGTAGATAAAACACAACTGTTAGGTTTGCTGATTGAGACTGAAAATAGAGTAGAGCAGAACAAGCTCGGAGAAAAAAGCTCATGAAACATTTTTCGGCCAACAATTTTCAAATCCAAATGTTTGACTTTTCTGTTGTGAACAAAATAGAAATATTTACACTTTTTTTCATATATTACTTGATAAAATTTATTATTTTCATTGTCACTTGTATTTAAGTTGTTTATTGTAGCCCTTTGGTCAGAGCCGAAAATCGTGATCTGAGTTGCTCTCTTTTTGCTTAGAGCAGACTCAGGAAATAAAAAGTAGAGCAAATAAGATCATAAACGTTTTTTGAGCTAGAGTAACCTGGCGTAATCTAGAGCAGCTCAATAAACCAACCTATTATCTATGATTTTTCCAAATGTCGTCTCAATTCAGTTTAAAAAAAAAGAAAATAAAATAAAAAATTAAAAAATTAATATATAGCATGGCCGCAAAAACAAATTATGAAAATTAAAATGTATTTCTTGTTTCTTCTTGTTTTTTATTTTGTTTGTACTTATTCATTCAGTACCATAAAGTAACTGATTCCTATTGTATTTTGGAATAGAAACTGGAAGTCTGTTTTTAGCAAAAGAAATTATTTGCTTCGCTTATTTATTCATTGAATAATAATTTTGCAGTCCATTTTGCTTTGTATATATGTTTGCAATTTGTTGACAATTAGTTTATATAACTTTCCGGTTTCGTTATTATTGTTTGTATTATATCACTTCCAACTATAAATTTATTTATTCTATTGTAATCGCTAAATAAACAATTAAGTATATGTTCAAAAATGTCTGTATATATTGTACATATATTATTATAGATGGGATTTCTGAATGTGTTACCAAGCGCTGACTATTTTCGGGACATTTTGGTGTTGGCCCTGGTTTCGGGCATCGTTGCCACACTTTTGAGTGTTCGCTTCTATTTGCGCATTACAGCCGGCAGATGCTTCACGGAGGTAAACGTTTGCGATATCCCCCCCATTTACTCATTGCTTGTCCCAGCTAAATTATAAATACAAATAAATACAAAGTTAATACGTGTATATACCTAATTAAGTAGAAAAAACTCATAATGACCATTTAATTAATGCTTAAATGCTTTAAATGTTTGCTTAAAGACATTTCACCTTTGTTTGAGATATGAGGACTCATAAACATGTTTTTTCTTTGCATTTCAAGTATCAAAAAGACCGGTATGGCACACTCTCAACACGAAAAGTCGAAATAGTTTCTACTTGTGTATGACATATTTACATATATACATATATACTCTTTCTTTTTATACCCTTCATGTGCAAACTTTTGTCTGAAATATATATGTGAGTACCATAATAAGATAACGGCTATAACTATTAAAATCAGTTTGATTTTTGACATTTGATTTGTTAGAAAACTGAATTAAAATACCACTCTGCAACCCAACTCCTCATTAGAAACGTAGCCATATTTGAATACATACAGTTACAGTTTAAATACATGTACAAAAATAATGAAAGTAATAAAATGAATATAACAATAATAAAACACCCTTTATTAGGATATGTGGTTTTCAAAAAAAAAAAAATATCAAAAATTAAAATTAATGTCATGACCAAGAATTTATCTTGATTTTAAAGAAATGAGCTTTCCATTGTGTTTTATAAACGATTTCGGGCAAGTGCCCACCACGCTCTGCAGCAATTGGGGCGATCCCACATAGCCCCATTAAAAATAATCCAGCGCTGCTAATTCGCATGGTTTTGGAGGCCAGGCCACAGGCTCACGACGAGAGATAATGTGGCAAAAGTTACCTTCATAAGGTAGATTGTTTCGTTAGCTGTATGGCATGTTGCTTTGTTCAGGCACGAAAAAATCATTAATCAAGACTCTTTAACTGTGACATATGGCCGGCTTCATTTTTGACGAAATATGAATCATTTATTCACTCTGCCCAAAGAGCACAATAAATAGTGACTATTTGAGGAAGTTACCGCATTTCAATAAAGTTTTGTGGATTATCTTCACTCGAAATGTAACAATCTCGTTCTTGACGGCCCATCAATCAAGATGCTTGCGAAAAATTTTCTATATTGTGGATGCGCACATCAGTAATCACGTCTTCCGTGCGCACTGTACTACACTGGATGAAGATGCCATTATGTCGGCCGAATATTGGTAATGGCAAACAAAACTGAGTACAAATCAAGTAAAAATTGTCCGAAAAACCAACTCCGAAAAGTATTACCTCATTGAAAACCGCACGTCTAGAAAAAACCTCCGTTATATGGTTTCCATTATATGTGACAGCTCAAACTGAAGTCAAGATTTTTTGAAAAAACTTGCTAAATACTGTAGACAAAAGGATTGTAAGGAGTTTCTCAATTCTTAAAAACTTGAAATATTGGGTTGGATGTTTGACGAAACATCCGAAAATGAGTCAGATACAAACGATTTGTTTTGAGGATAGTTCGGTTTTGTATCTGTACGTTTGCTTAAAATTTCATTCTTTAACCCTTTTCTTCTTTGAAGGAAATTGTATTCCTCGAATTCCATTTCATAATAACAAAAGCTTCATGTTATCAACAACTAGATTTATTAAAAAATTTCTATTCAAAAATTTCAAAGTGAACACATACTCGTATAATGCGCGAAATTATCGCGGCATTTATGTAAAGTATCGGCTGAGTATCTGCAACAGTGTTGCGAAAGAGCATTGAGCAAGAGCAGGTATTGAGTAGCTCGAACAGGCCCACGCGTACCCGGCTCCCGCTTAGTTTTCATTCACATTTGTTGAGCATGTGGAATTTTATATCTTATTAAATATTTGTCCGAACGGAACATGCGCACATGCGGTCGATTGGTGTGATATAAAATAATCGGTGATTAGTATTTGACTGCCGACTTCCTAATATACATACTTACCTTACGAATGATTATGCCTAAGAAATTACATTAAAGTATATATAACTTTGTACATACATATCGTTGGACCTAAAATTAAATTGATCGACCTCATGCATACAGGGTATAAAGTATTTCGCATTACCCTAGACAACGTTTTTTTTTTCATTTTCGTACATACATACATACATACATATTATATATAGTTAGCTTTTTAGTATCAAAAGTTATGACCAGCGGCGCACGCGGCACAATTTTATAATGAACTTTGGAATATGATAAAAATAAAAACAAAGAAACTATTTCTTGATACATACTCAGATTTTACAATATAACATTTTTGATGCACTGGCAATGAAAGTGGGATTTCAAAAGTAATCGGAAAATCGTTTTATAATCACTTTGAGTAAATATATATCTCAAATTTACTTTTCAATTGCAACGCAACAAATCTTGTGCGAATTATTATTAATTATTGCATTGTATATAATTACTAGGACTAATAAACTGTCACAGAAAAAAGTGGTTTTTTGTGCTCATAAATAAAAGAAATCTAATAAAATCACAGAAAAAACTGTAGACTCATTACATATACGTGTACATATGAATCACAAAAATTTTCCTATGTTTATAGGAAGAGGTCATAGTGCGCATTGCACCAGGGTATATTAGTTTTATTTATTTAGCTCAAGATTGTTTATGAACTCAAAAATGATGTTAAATGTAAACTCAATGAATGACTTAATAGGATGAGATTATATAAGAGTTGTCTTCGGCCATGCCTGATGCAATTTTCCAATTTCCATGATTTTTGGTGTCAATGTTTGTCAATTATTTGCATACACATGTGTAGAATAGGAAATCTCACTCTTGTAGATGTTTTTTAAGGAGTGTTGATGAAAGCTTCATATATGAAAAAAACGGTGTACGGAAGCTACATACATTGGTATGTGTTGTAGTCCACGATTTCGATCATTTTCATCACGTGTACGTACGTGAATTAGAAATTTCACGCCTTTAAATGTTTTTTTTGACAAATTTATGACCTAGAATCTAAAATTTGAAGAATAGGTCGTGTCTGTGCTATGGTCATGATCGTTCCAAATGTACCCAGTTTGTTTGAAATATTTCAAAAGCTGAGGGACTAACTTCCGTACAAACAGACGGTTAAGACTAAGTCAACACAACTGGTAATTTTTATCATCATCCGATCAATTCCATACTGTTATACAATTTTACTTATTCAATCTATTTTATAGAATTAAAATTTAAGAACAAATATTTTGATAACAATTGAAAAATCTTTAAATTGTTTAATAATTCTTGAAGGAGTTTTTTCTAAGATCTCTTTCAACAACACCGGAATTTCGGCAATTTCATATGTATCTTAGACATGTGGCCAAAATACTAAAAGTATATTTCCCTGAGAAACATCTTGGATTGTTAAATAAAACTCGCCAACATAATTTGCAGTTTCTTTCGTTACAAAGAATTTATGTCCTTTATTTACTCCGTAATTCACAATTCAATTACAATGCACTTTACTATTTACAATCACTAGCATCAATTTTCACAATTTACTTTACTTAAATGTAATCTCCAACGCGTTTACTCCGCTATACTCTATGTTAACGCCAACGAGTTCACTTTGTAACTGACTTGACTTGGTAGCTGAGTGTCGCCGTAGTAGTCGGCTGTTCGTAGACGAAAGTGTAGAATAATCGAGTTGTTCGCTGTCGAAGGTTCTCGTTCTAGAATGTACTAGTTATCGGCCTCTCTCTTTGATTTGACATTCGCCTCGCATTTTCGCAACAATACTATTTTTTAAGCAGCTTGCAACACTTTAAAAACCTTTCGCAACCTCTCCACCTTTTTTGCGATATTTATTTTATTTATTATTTTCCCGGCTCGGGACAATATAAACTTTTTGAATAATAGTCGAAAACCATGTTTAAATTTGATTGGATTCGAGTTATAAGTTAACGCACTTCTTCTTTATTGACGTTGAAACCGGTTAAGCGATTTTAGTCGAATCCAGTTGGAAATTCACAGCCCGGAAAGCAGCACACTCTTCACCTGATCCTTCCATACTGAATGGAGGTCTTTCTCTTCTTCTGCTCTTCCACCAGCGGGTACTGCTCAGATACTTTCAAAGCTGGAGTGTTTTTATCCATTCGGACGGCTTGACGTAGTCAGCGTAGCCGCTGTCTATTCATTCGTTGAACTATATCAACCGTATAACTCGTATGGTTCATCGTTCCATGGCATGCGGTATTCGCCGTTGCTAATGCGCAAAGGACCATAAATTGTTCGCAAAACTTTTCTCTCGAAGACCTCCAGGGTCGACTCTCACATGTTGACATCGTACATGCTTCTGTGTCACATAGCAGGACAGGAACGATGAGGGACTTGTAGAGTTTAGTTTTCGTTCGCCGAGAGAGGACTTTATTTTTCAATTGCTTACTTAGTCCGAAGAAACTCCTGATGGCAAGAGTGATTCTGCGTTGGACTTCAAGGCTAACATTATTATTGGTGTTGATGCTGGTTCCTAGAGAGACGAAATTAACTACAACCTCGAAGTTATGACAGTCAACAGTGACGTGGTAGCCAAGTCGCGAATGCCATGGCTGTTTGTTTGATGATAGGAGATATTTCGGGTTGTTCTCGTTTACTACCAGAATTGGTAGTAATCGCTTCACTTTATTTTATCAAATCTGGAGACAGCAGAACTAACGGCACGGATGTTAAGGCTTATGATATCAATATTATCGGCATGCGTCAATAGTTGCACACTCTTGTAAACGATTGTACCTGCTCCATTCAGCTCTGGAGCTCTAATAATTTTCTCCAAGAAATCGCACTATAAGGAGTCACCTTGTCTGAAACCTCATTTAGTGTCGAACGGCTCGGAGAGATCTTACCTTACTTATGTATAGCATAAGAGATGCCACACCACTTCTTCGGAGCTTAATAAACACCATGTGAATGTTGTATAAATTTGTTGAAAATCGCTGATTTCAAACTGCAAAGTGGCAAAACAAACATTCACCGTTCTCACTTGGTGTTACTTATTTTCATTTGATGACAATTGGCTTCAAATGCGAGTAACACAAATCGTTTTATCGAAAAACAAATTCAAAATCTCTATATATACAACTATACATATATTTAATGTATCATACATAAGTACATTAGTAAACTCGTTCACCGACCATTATTTATATTACTGTTATTTATATTGATTATGTAAAAATTTTCATCATAAATATTTTGTTTGCAGACTAAAATGGAAGGCAAAACAGTTATCATCACAGGCGCTAACAGCGGCATTGGCAAGGAGACGGCACGCGATTTGGCCAAGCGGGGAGCGCGCATTATAATGGCCTGTCGAAATTTGGAGACCGCTAATGCTGCAAAAGGTTATTATCAAATGCACACGTATAAATATAAATAATAAATGAATGATATGATTTCACTTTTCCAGAGGAGATCAGCAAGGAAACTGGCAACAACCAATTGATTGTGAAGAAATTGGATTTGGGATCACAAAAGTCGGTACGTGAGTTTGCCGCCGACATCGTGAAGAATGAACCGAAGATCGATGTACTTATACACAATGCTGGCATGGCGCTCGCTTTTCGTGGCCACACCAGTGAAGATGGCATTGAGTTGACAATGGCCACTAATCATTACGGTCCTTTCTTGCTTACCCATTTACTGATTGATGTGTTAAAGCGGAGCGCCCCTTCCCGTATTGTTATTGTTGCTTCTGAACTTTATCGCTTTGCATCAGTGAATTTGGACAAACTCAATCCGATCGGCACATTCCCGGCAGCATATCTGTATTATGTGTCGAAGTTCGCCAATATTTACTTTGCACGTGAGCTGGCCAAACGTTTGGAGGGTAGTGGTGTATCAGTGAATTTCCTGCATCCCGGCATGATCGACTCGGGCATTTGGCGTAACGTGCCTTTCCCGCTGAATTTGCCTATGATGGCGATAACGAAGGGATTTTTCAAGACCACGAAAGCGGGTGCCCAGACTACTATCTACCTGGCCACCTCGGACGAAGTGGCTAATGTGTCAGGCAAATACTTCATGGACTGTAAAGAGTCGACCTTGAGTGCAGCAGCTATGGATGAGGAAAAAGGTCGCAAGCTGTGGGAGGAGTCAGTGAAGCTTGTAAAGTTGACGGCGCAAGATCCAAAAATCTAAAGGAATTTTTCACTTTCAGTCCTTAACGATGCAAGCTTTTTTATGAAATATCTACAAGTAATTTAAGTTTAGAGTGTGCAATATGCCTTTTTAAATGAATGTTGAAATAAAGATTTTATCACTTTGAATTTTTGAAAATTTTGTTTGTCCACCAACAGATTTATCATCAGCATTCATTCGGATATTCGAGAATTTTCCCCCGATCGTATTTGAAGCAAAGGGCAGGTAATACATATGTTGATGTTGCTAAGCTAAAAGAAATATTATTAACCATAAAAAAGGGATCAGTAAGTAGTAAAAGGTATTTCATTTTTATAAAGAAAATATGATTAGGCTCATAATTAGTAAAAATGCGAGGCTTAATTGTTAAATCGGGAGTGAAAAATCAGTTGCGACCATAATTAATGAGATGCCTTTGGTTTACCACGATGCTCGACAAAAGCAGAAGCAACTCGCAGAAATGGTTTGATTATCCGATACAATTTTGGCATGACTAAGATCAGCGCAAGATGCCTATTCTCCGCCCACTCCTTCACAAAAATAATAGCGGGTAAAGAGTTCACGTGCATTGGCTACCATACGGCCCAGACCTGCTCCGAGTGATTATTGCCTGTTTCCAAATGAAGAAAAATCGGAGAGGCAAACAAATTGATCGTTTATGAAGCCATTAAGGCATTTTCGGCATATTTGGAAGATAAAGAGAAAAAAACACTCTGTCGTGTGTATTTGATTTTTAAGAGTAAAACACCATGGCTTTTCCAAACTCTTGCCATTTGATCAATGAAAGATGAATTTAAAAAAATTGTTCTCGTGTTGCAGATGTTCCAAGTGTTTATGAAAAACTATTAGTAATTTATAAACTGTAGTAAGTTTGGAAATAAATCGCGTCGAACTAACAAAATCCTCGTGCCATTGAAAGCCATTGAGTTGAAAAGCTGCAACTTGGACGTGGAAAGAATTTTTTTAAGGTATGTCATTGGCTCTTTGACACTTCATACACGATGGTGAAAAAATGGTCTTGGGTCTTTCAACAAGGAGGATAGATCTTGGAGGATGACCCACGCCCAGAGCCCCTTGTGACGGCCGTGATCGAAGAAAATGTTCAGAAAGTTTCAAAAATTAGTACTGGCTGATCGAAAAATGAAATTGTGATAGATAGCATTTGAATATGTAAAAGATAATGAAAAAACTTTTTCCTTTTTTTTTCAAGTTTAAATAAAGGAGTTACGGAAACTCAGAACGAGAAGTCAGATGACTGTGAGATAAACGCGGCCGTAGAAAACCATTTTGAAGAGAAAAAAATATAAAACATGAAACTATAAAAACATGAAACTATACATTTGTTTCACTAAGTTCTTTAGGTCGCGAAAAAGTCGGTGATTTTTTTTGTCAATGTTTATTTTTAAATTTGAGTGTAGAATACTAAACTTCACGGATTTTTGAGGAAAAATCTCTGACTTGAACTTGTTTCGGAGCCATATGTTAGGTAGTCTGATTTCAATAATTTTCAATATCAATTTGTAATTAATTATATTATTTGTCTGCAGATTACAAAATTGTTAGATATTTAGCCCAAAGGCCGTAATTTTTAAGATAATTTATTTGCTCATTTATAACTAAAAAAAGTTTGAGCTTCATGAGGAACGTATGTATGTATGTTCGCATGGTATATTTTTTTAATTTGATTTTATTAAAATTAACAGATAAGTCCTTTAAATAGAGCTTTAGTCCAGGCCTTCAAAATATTGGGGTACAAATTAATTCGGTTCATTCACAGAAGATGGCTCCAGCTGCAAGTTGGGACTGATTTACCGGAATGAATCAAAACAGAGAGGACTCATTTTTCAGAAATGGCATTCGCAACTTACCAGAGTGATGGGAAAGAGAAGTCGCTTCCGACGAGCAATGCTTTAAGTTATGTGTTTAATACAATTTTCAAAAAAAAAATACTTTTTGAACACAAAAAAGACCAAATTAATTAGATGATAAGTATTTCAGCATTTCAATATTGAAAGTTTTCGATGAAAAGCTTAAAAGTCTTGTGGAGAAATTTTAATGTTTTTTATATTGAATTTGTTGTATATTGAAAGAATTTTTATGCAAAGTAATTTGATAGTTTCGTTTTGTGGCTATAAAAACAGGTTCATTGTGAACTGATTTTTTCATCGTTTGACCTAACAAACAGACACATGCACGAGTATACATGAAGGTACGTGTATATCTGGTTCATATATTTATGTATATGTATTATAGTATTCACATGCAGTGCCCTTATGTATGATCAGGGTCCTTGAAAGATTCCTTACCTGTTGAATAATATTATTATTATATGCAAGAGCATATGAGTTATACATCATACATACATACATATTTATACATATACTTGTCTGTGAATGAAAGCGTGCGCTCCTTTGCATATATTTCCAGCATTTCAAAAAGAAATCTGACAAATATTCTCAGCGGACCTTAAATGAGACGTGCAGCAGCACCGGCCAGGGCGACCGACCGGCAGTCACTTAATCTGATAAAATTGCACAATTTGTCGTTTCGTACAAGTCGTTTTCGTTGAGGGGTGAGTTCTGCGGCCGCCCCCTTTCAACACGTCATTTATTAGTGGTGACAGGCGCTCATTTGCGGTAGATTACATATAACTGATAATAATCGCAAACGCACATACACACATATACTTGTATGCATGCTTACAGACACAGAACATACACGGCGAAGCGACAGATAATGTAACGGTAGCAGCACGTGACCAACGGTATTTATGGGATATATAAGAATATCTTCGAAGTGCGAACGCCTTGTTGTGGGTGTGTCTGTGTGACGGTCTATTTGTTTATGTGCTTAGCAGAGCCAAACTGGTCGCTGATAATATTTTGATGAGTATAATTGAAATTTAATATTTCCTTAAAGGATTACCAAATTAGCCGCTTGCTTTTTGATCAATGGGAAATGTTGCGTATATTAAGAGCTCATCATATACTGATTACAAACACATACATACGTATATACATACAATGTATATTTCGGAGCTGAAATATGTTCTCATGCTGATTATCTGGTAGCTCGTCATTTTCATGTTTGCAACAATTACCACTTTGAGGACCATAGGTATTGTATATATGTACATGCGTGCAAAAAATATATCAATTAGAATCATGCTAATTCTCTTTAAATTTTCAGGGTTACATACATATACGCGTATGCATACGATATGTACAATATATAAGCACTCTCTGGGCTTAATGTCTTGTTCTGTCCCTCCAAAATTGTTCAGGAAGTATCAAATTGCTATTAATTTAAAGCCCTTTTGTTTCAAGTGCAGTCACACACGCACAAACATATGCCCCCATGTGCCACTAAGGAAGGGCTGTGCAGCAATATATTGATTTAAGTCCAGTTGGCTTGTTCGTAATTCAAGGAGAGCATTGGCCGGACTACAAATATCCTCGCATGGCAGTGGCGCGTTCAGTGGTCCTTGTGTCCATTGGCAATTCCTTATGAACCGGCGTTGAGTCTCTTTTTACGTTTGTTTTTGTCCTTCTATGCAAGTGACATTTTGACGTGTTGAGCATTTAAAAATAAGCATTTCCATCAAGTTGTGCTGGCGTGGTTGTGAGGAAATTCTGCGCACCCTAATCAGCAGGGCCAAATTGTGGTTTTTAAATGAATTTATGGCTTATTTATTTGAAACCAGCTCCATGTTTATGTTTATGTTTATGTCACAGGTGCCTGTTTTCTATGTTGTGATTTCAAATTAGTTTTTAAATAGTCCATAAATTTGGTAAATATTTTGTTTTCTATAAGAAGTTCGCAGCGGATAAAAAAAAGAGGAGTTTTGACATCTGTCAAACTTGACTTGGGGCACCGTAAGTGGTCAAATAATTAAAAGAGAGTCCATTATATCAAAAAAAAAAAAAAAACGACAGCGGCCAAACTGTCAATGAAAATTCGGAGCGTTACGGCGTATGATAACCAACTTTTTTTGGATTGCCGATCGAGTAATCTCTCGTGTTGTGCGACTACGCGAAAGACCTATTTGTGGGGATACACTCAGCACTTGAAAACCAAGTTAGTCAAGTTATGGCTGAGATACAATAAGTAATAATATTAAGTAATAATTATAAATAATGCGCGCAGAATATTGCACGGGACCGTCTTTAATTATATAGCTCACAACTCTGCTTTCAACTTTTTATCCTAAATATACTTATATATTTTACGTAAACCTTAACTTTTTTATTTGTCTCGGAAAGAAAATTCCGCCGCACTTAGCTCTACCTTACTATTATATTTGTGCTATTGGCAATGTCCGCAGACCAGCTGTCACCACAGTCAAGTGGCAGATTGTGGGTGTTTTTAGAATGGTCATTGATACTTTTCCATCGCTTCCGTATTGACTGACAGTGACGTGAGCTGAGGCGTCAAAGTTAAATGGACATATGGTGCATATGAAAACAGAAGACCAATAATCAATATCGTTTTTCTATTCTACTAAATTAATATTTATATGAAAACATTCATACATTGTATTTATATGAAAAAAAATATTTTACAGATTTTTCGTTTTCCTACCAGAGGAGGGTCAAATGGGTTTGTGGTTGGTAATGAAAAACCTTCAGAATATTTAAAAAAATTTCAAGGGGCGGTTGATCCTCGGCAAGGAACGGCAACTCCTTCGAGTATTTGCGAATTATCATCTGCAAATCGCTGGGGAATCTGGTATTTGCAAGAAATCATCCACTATGAGCTATGAGCTGCTCCCCCCGTAGAGCTCAGCTACGGGCAACAGGCGGTCAATTATGTTTCATCTTGAGCACCGTCGCATCACACACATCGATAGCGACTTGTCAGAAGCACGGAGAGCTTGCTCGGGGATTCTTATGCATCAGCTTTTTAGTCCATGGTAAATGATTTGTGAAGAAATTGCTTCAAGAGAGGCCTGTGAAAATCGATTGTGTGTAGGGTGGACTATAGGTCTTCTTCTTCCTCTGCTTCTACCGGCGGGTACTGCATCGAAAACTTTCAAAGCTGAAGTATTCTTATCCATCCAGACCACATGCCAAAGCCAGCGTAGCCGCTGTTTACTCGTAGAGGACTGTAAATCTTACGCAAAACTTTTCTCTCGAAATCTCCTACCGCCGATTCATCAGATATTGTTATCTACGACTTCAATGAAATGCCTGCCAACAGTGACGTGGGAGCCTAGCCACGAATGCGATGACTGTTTGTGTGATGACAGGATATATTACGTCTTGCTCTCGTTCACTACCAGGCCCAAGCGAGCGAAAGCTTCCTCATCCAGTCTAGAGAAAACAGAACTTACAGTGCGGTTGTTGAGGCCAATAATGTCAATATCATCGGCGTACCGCTCTTATTATTTTCTGACTTCTCCAGCAAAAAATAAAAAAGTCAACCGATAAGGAATCACCCGGTCTGAAACTTCGTTTGGTATCGTTGGACTCGGGGAGGTTCTTTCCGATCCTGACGGAGCTTTTACTGTTGCTTAACGTCAGTTTACATAGCCGTATAAGATTCGGGGGCATACCAAATTCAGACAACAAAGATCTGGTGCTTGTAGGTGTTATTTTCACGTGTCTTTTATACGATGTGGTGCATGGTGAAAATCTGGTCAATGGTTGATTTACCAGGTCTGAGGCCACACTGATAAGGTCCAATCAGTTTGTTGACAGTGGGCTTCAGTCTTTCACACAATACGCTCGACAGGACCTTATAGGCGATACTAAGAAGGCTTATTCCACGGTAATTTGCACAGACTGTGAGCTCCTCTTTTTATGGATTGGGCAGAGTTCACTTAAATTCTAATCGTCGGGCATGCTTTCGTCCGACCATATTCCGCAAAGTAGCTGATGCAGGCATCTGGTCAGCTCTTCTCCGCCATGTTTGAATAGTTCTGCCGGTAGGCCCTCAGCTCCCGCCGCTTTGTTGTTTTTTAAGCGGGCGATTGATATTCAAACTTCTTCATGGTCAGGTAATGGAACGTCTTTTTCAGCGTCATCGATTGGGGTTTCGGGTTCGCCATTTCAGCGTGCTGCAGGCTGGAGAAATTTTCCCTCCATAAATTCAATATATTCTGGACACCAGTTGCTAGATCTCCTCTTTATGTCTTGCAAGAGTCTGATCCGGACTTGAAGCTTTCTGTAGCCGTCGTGTTTTTCAGAGAATTTTCGAGCTTTACCCTGTCGGCCGGCTTTTCTGGCTCTTCATACTCACCCATATCGGCCTCTTTCTTTTTTTGTCGCAGATGTGTCTTGCTTCCCTCTTCAGTTCTATCTATCCCTCCCACACGAGTAGTGGTCGTTCGCAACGTTGCGAGGTAGGCACTCTGCTCTCTCTCCACTGCAACACGGCAGTCCTCATGGTACCAGCTGTTTTTGCTGTACGTAGGGAGCTTGATATGTCGTCCCGCAGTTCCCAACTGTCGAGCTGCTGATGAGTGCCCTCAGAGAGCAGGAGCGCAAGTCGAGAAGACAACTGCTCGGCAGCAATGTTAATAAATTGAAAAATTGAATTTTGCTTCCTCTGGGACAAGACGAATTTTCTCCAGTTATCAAGCAAACATTCATCGCAACCGGGATTCGGCTTCCGGAAGAACTTTACGCCATTGGTAAGATAAGGCCCTGGGTATACTCCAATTGCCGTCAAACAATGCAAAGTAGTATGGAATGGCGGTGTTTTCGCCAGTTAAAAAGAAAAAGAAGGAAATTGACCACTTTGATTTTTATTTATTTAGAAAATTACTATTAGTTCATTGTGCGTCATTTTTAATTGATATTTACAATTTAGGACGTTGGGGTCAGTGTTGCCATTTTCTATTTTCAGAAAATCAACGTTTAAGAACATATTTTCCTACATATGTAAGGGTGAACGGCGAATTGGCCATTTACATTAAGCCACTACCCTATCAACAAACATACTTATACATATGTTCATATATGTATATGTAAGCGATGAATCTATTTGTATGTATATAATTTCCCTGCAGGGTAAAGCACTAGTTGTT